CTTTTTGCAATTCACGCACGCTGAAGGAACGTGGGCCTTTGCTCTTCGCGCGATCCCGGGGGGCCCAGCTACCAACTGTCCCTCGGGCGAGTCATGAGCATTCGAAGAGACCTCTCCGTTTGAGTCCCCCAATGCTGTATGAGTGTCGCCGCTTAGCTGCAGAGACGTGCCTGACGTCTCGCGGTCAGTGCTGTTCGGTATGCTCAAGTTAACTCGTACATCCTTTCCCAAACTCTTCTTCGCGTGAGCCGCTCGAGGGTCGGACTTCCTTGATGTGGATGGGCGGGATGGAGGAGTCAAAGAGTATTGGCGGTCATTGTTGTTTGGGTGATGATGAGAAGGGTCGTCGAACGTTGATCGATCAAAGGATCCTGACATTGGCGGAGACAGATAATTGTTACCGGATGAGACCCTTTTGTCACCGAGTGGCGGTAGGTGGATTGATAAAGCTTGACAGTTCAAAGAACATCTGGGAGACGACACGAGCATCTGATGGCCATGGTTCTTTGGGTTGCACAGGGATTGCATGTTGAAGCAAGGTGAGGCGAGCGAGTGTGATTTGGTAAAGAAAGTTATGAGGTGTATCACGACAGCTGAAGTTGGTCCGGAAGAACAAAGGTCCTAGACACGCAACCGCCAGTTTGCAAATATAGCTTTGTTGTTCCAAGCTAGCTTTGAGGTCCTGGTGTCGTTGGAGTTGCTAATAGCACAAGCGATATCGCGACTATAATGTTTCGAAAATTTTCTGTAGAGGCAGACGAAGTGAAGCTTGACAATCAAGTATCGCGGTTGAAGTCGATATCGTCCCCAGGTACATCACCAGTCGAATCTTTTATGATATAAATTTTTTCTCGTAAACAACTTTCTGATTCTTACGCTCGGCTATTGCTTGGACGAGAACAAGATTCCCACGGGATTCCCGTCAAAGCACATCCAATCTAACGGCTAAACAATGTACTCGAGTCAATCATTGAACAGAACGAATATTCCACGTACCGAAGACTGACAAGGGAAAGTGCTCGCGGGGTTCATGCGCATCGAACCACTCTAAAGATGTTACGGAGAATATCTGTTGCCCTTGCGCAAACGCAGTAGATGCCCACGCGCAAACTGCACGAGATGCATGGTACGAGGACAATGCCAGCGTTGGGAGTCACTTAATCCACCAGCTGGGAGCATGATGTAAGGTTATAGTGCGTTTCAGCAGGCGTCTGTACGACTGCACATGTGACACCCGACATGCTGTCGGAGAATTGTAACGAGTCACTGCCGCAAAGCCTTGTATGCACGAGCTTTTCGAGACTGCAATGCATGACCTGCAGAAATTGGTAGCGGCTCTCGCTCTCAGCCTCAGACCGTTGCGGGCCGTCATCTCTGATGGGACCACGTCACCGACTGTAGGTTCACACTTCATCGGTGAAAGCCTTCTCGAATGGGAGATATTGTTCTTGATTTTGTGCGAGAGGGAAAGGCTATCGTGAAGTAGCAGCCGCATTGGTGTCCGACATCTGCAGGTCCGCATTCTTAGTCAAGTACGGAGTAGTGTAAAACCAGATCGAGCGATTGCTAATATGGATTACTCCCCTTCACGTCTTCCTTCACTCAATCAAAACCGCCAAACGTTGGAAGCGCACGAGTATTGCATGCACAAGCAAGCGAAGTTCGCGACCTATCGACTACACCTGCTGACTTCTGCTGCCCCCAGAGTCGAGAAGAAATTTTCACACTAGTCATAGAACGCCCAGGCATGAGAGTACCTGTGATTGTGGACGGTGATTGGCTTCGACGCTGATCCTTGAATGTGTGTGGAAAACAGCAGTGCTTCCCTGTGAGGTGAAATCGGCTGAATGACAGCGAATAGACCGAGGTTCAATCATATAAGCGCGCTTGAACGTCAATAAGTGAAACCAGTCTTGCCGCCAAAAGATCCTTGGTGCGCATCAATACCCACATCTTATCCGACCCACTTTATTTTATTTTTGGGATCATGGGATGATAACAATTAACCAAAAACATCGCTCGTGGTCCCTGCTGAGATTTTCTCCGAGAGGCTGACCCACAGGAAACACATCTCGATGCCCAGTGGGAGCCGCTTTCTCATCTAAACGTAAGATATTCGCTCGCCGCCTGCACGGCCCATGCCCATCAAATGATCTCATACCATCGGCATGGACCGTGATGACTTTCATGCCACGACCTGGTTTTTACCAGCAGGACCCTGACAACGCTTTAGAGCTTTGGCCATTCTGAGTACTGGTAGCCGCAAGGCTCTCGGGCACCGTGGGGTCCCCACTCCCGAGCCTGTTCGTTTCAAGGTCAGAACTGACCATACGGCAATATTGGAGGAAGGGTTCATCTTCGATTGCATCTCCGATTATTGCATCTCATGTTACGGAAGAATACGTCAGTATCAGATTTCGTTCATGATTGTATCCTCTCAACCCATTTCCACCAGTGTCCCGAGCGCTGTTAGATCAAAACTTGCTCACACATTTATGATTGAACGCATGAAAAGGAAATGGGACAGCACATGCGTACCTGGAGGTGATCTTCGCTTTAAGCTTGGACCATTCCTAGCCCATGTAGGAGAAAAAAAAAATTCTGGTAAAGTAATGGTTGAAAGCGTAGATCTCTGTTCTATACGAGCCAGCGAGAACGAGCGGAATATGTCGGCGCGTATCCAGGAACCGCCGGTGCGAGAGACTAGGAAAAAAGGCAAACCGGATCGCGGGATAAGTAGATCAATCAGATCTAGCCGGCGGGATTGGATGTTTCAGTCTCGACCCGTGGAATCTTCTGTCTTCGAAACCCTAGAAGTCGAAAAATGCCTCTTCGCCTCTCAAATTGAAGCGCTGGCAGCGACAGAATCCTGAAGGAAATGGCGGCAGCCAATGTGTCAGGCAAGCTGTCATCCTGGCTCAAAGCCCATCTGACCGTTCATTGCCGATAGGAACTATGAAGACAAGTTGCTCGAGGAGACCATAGTGTGAGGCATTTCTGTAGGGTCGATGGAGGACAATAGTTATACCAAACTTGTGAGAATCATAGCAGAGTCCCAAGTATCTCGGCGGGCTTGAAATAAGTACTTGCTATATCCTTGTACGGCAAACACTGCTTGAATTGGTGATATAATCTGCCGTAGCTTTTCCCGCTCTCCTAAGGCATACCATACCTCTTCGTACTCAATTCCCCAACCATGTCATCTGGGCCCAGTACGACTTCTTGAATTTTATCTCTAGTAACCCCAACCCTGCTAGCGACGCCGGTTATCCCATGCTCAAAGTCTCTCAAGACCGCAGCTAGTTGTCTGACTTGTTCCTCGGCGCTCTTTTCGACTCCATCCTGTCCTCTGTCGAACATCATCTGTTGCATTTGTTGCATAGCGTTGGACTCCACATCTTTCAGATAAGCCTCAACTTGGCCAATACTACGCTTGTAGGCGTCCAGGGTCTTTGACATTACATCGGCTTGTTTCGAGAAGTATTCCACAAGGGTTCGACTTGCGCCCACCTCTAAATCTTCTTCTGGAAATGACGATCCTCCACTTTGCGATATCCCTGTTGTGTTCCACATGCCGCTTTGCTGAAATTGTTGGGGCATCTTCAAGTTCTGGATGGTTTGAAAACTCAACTTCGCATCCGCTACATCGACCTTCACCAAGCCTTTGGCAAAGGCAATGGATTCTGCGTTGTTTTCCAGGGCTTGTTGCGTCGTATCTAATGCCTTCGTGCAGTACTCGACGTCTGGTGGTATTTGATGACACTTTTGATTGATGTCCTCGGTGTGTTGAGCACATTCTTCTTGACATCGAATCTGTCCTGAAATGAAATTGTCCACGTTTTCGATGACCTTTTGTAGGTCTTCGTGTAAATCATTGAAGCGTGTTGTGGAGCGAAGCTGGTTCACATCGAGAATCCGAACCCCTGGTACGGTTTGCTGCTGTTGAGTGTATTGACCAATCTGGCTCGGGAACAGCTTGCGGGCTGGGGGTGGCTGCATTGTAGACTGCTGGTTTTGGGCCGGGCCTGGCATATTGCCACTACGTAATTATTAGCCAGAGTTTGGGAACCCAGCGCCTTGCAAAATGCAATACACATGTGAGATAGTACAAACAATAGTGAGGACGTTTTGTTCTGGTCACTGGTTCCACCGAATAGACTGTTTTGCGGTTGCTGGGCTTGATTTTGCCCTACTGAGCCGAAGAGATTGGTCTGTTGAGGCTGAGGCTGTTGAGCGTTTGTGGAGCCAAACAATCCACCCGTAGTCTGTTGATTAGCTTGCTGTGACCCAAAAAAGCCTCCGCCGGACTGAGTATTTTGGTTGCCACCAAAGAGACTGGAACCCTGTTGTGGCTGCGAGGTAGTGTTGCCAAAGAGGCTGCTTGTCTGTGCCGGCTGAGAGGTAGTGTTGCCAAAGAGGCTGCTTGTCTGTGCCGGCTGAGAGTTGTTCCCAAAGAGGCTGCTTGTCTGTGCAGGCTGGGAGGTGGTGTCACCAAAGAGACTGCTCGTCTGTGCAGGCTGGGAGGTGGTGTTTCCAAAGAGACTACTTGTCTGTGCTTGCGCAGCGCTTGCATTTTGCTGAGGCTGTGAAGTGTTGAAGGATCCGAAGAGTGAAGTCGCCGGCTTGCCGCCCGATGGAGGAGGTAGGCTTGATTGATCACTGTTGAGCAGGTTAATGTGGTTTTCTTCAGCAACGCGAGCTAATGTTGCAAGAGCATTGTCCATTGTTCACTCACGGCAACGCATTTGCTGAGCTGGTGTTGATACTCAGGCCACCGGGCCCACTCTGAGATCGACCAAACATCCCTGGAATGTATGCTACAAGCCGCTGAAGAATGAGACAAACTGACAAACAAGCCGCGAGCTCGAACGCGGTATTGCCAAGACCTGACCAGAATGGAAGGTGTAGCGAAAATATGTGCTGGGGCGCGGGCTACCCAGTAGTGAAAAGCTAGCCAAGCATTGTGAGAACACTGAGAATATCGCTGCAATTGAACATGTTTACGGTACTGCATTCTCCGGATCCTCCCCATAACGATATCTAAGAAATAGATTACATCGTCGGTTAATCTCAGAATATATGAGATTCTCTACAGCCTTATGATCACCGTATCGAATTGCAGTAGATATTACCGAGTAGATATGTGTGTTACGATCAAATGCTAATCGTTCTGAGAAGGCTAAGCGAGACTCGCTCTGCACCCAAGAGTATACGTCCTCGAGAGCGTTAAGTAACTGCTCGTGACGTATCCCGTCGTCCTCGTCCTCGTCCTCGTCCTCGTTGTCCTTATCCTCGTCGTCCTTATCCGCGTCGTCCTTATCCTCGTTGTCTTTATCCTCGTCGTCCTTATCCGCGTCATCCTCATCCTCGTCGTCCTCATCTTCACTCGTAGTAACGATATCGATAATATCGTCATATAGCTTCAGAATAGTGTTATGTTCGTAGAGAATCCGAGTATCTTCTAGCTGTTCTATCGTACCCCGAAGCTCTTTATCTCGCTCTGCTTATTGAATACGAATAGAATTCTCCGAATAATAAGTATCGTAGTCTTATTAAGTGGGAAGACTGTGATCTCGATGTAAATCTTATACGTTAAAGGTTGGACGTTGTGTAGGATCTTGATAGCGAAATTTGAGATTATCGTATCGATGAGGAGGATCGGGGAGAAGTCTAGTAGATGATTTGTTAAAGCCTTTGAATGTGTATTGAGGAGGTCTATGAGGTGTTGTAGGCTGAGGTTGACAGCGTATTATTATGTTGTAGAGTGTGGGATCTCGATGTTACTATGAATTTTGTTGATTTCTCTAGAATTGTAGCTGATTTTGGGAGCGTAATTGCGAGAGGGCATGCTCATTTTTCTGTTGTTGACGCTTTTTTTAATAACGATTCGCAGTACGTATGGTAGTAGAAGAAGAGGCACCATAATCGAAAAGAGTTAACTGAGACATAATTTGTAGAGACAGAATTCTTTTGGAGAAGAAATGGAGAGAGACGGAGATAAAGTTGAGATTACTAACAAAATTTGATGTTCGTAGTTAAGAAATTTAGTTACTTCCCGAATAGGTACCTGGCTTTCTCGATTCAGATCTTGGCAGTACTTTTCAAAACTTGTCGACAGGAAGAAAGCTAGCTTTCCAACTATTCAACACTGCCTCCCAACTTCTATAATCGCCAGAGTTCCTGACTTGACGTTCGTGATTTTTCAAGATGGAGGAAGAAGATGAGGAAAGCATGTATGCGCCTGCTGAAAGCGCCGAGCCAGATCGGGGTGTGCATGCAAACAATGGGACCGGCAATGCACCAGTCAAAAGGGAGGGGAGGAATGATGAAGAGGATGGTGAAGAAGAGGGAGAAGAGGTAGAGGAGGACGAGAGTGACTCGGTTGGTGCGGCTGCCACCAGTATTCTCGCTCTATTCCTGATCGTCTTGCCATAGGATATAGATATCATCACTGAGCGAAAGGGCTCAGAAGCCAGACCAGAGCCTGCGTATGGCCAAACCTTAGCCAGCGCAAGTACTCAGCTAACTTTGCACCTTAGACAGCCTCGTCGTGTTGCTTCACTAAAGGAACCGCAATCTGGGACACCATCTGCAGAAGCAGTGCCCGCTGCTCAGCGCTCCCCAGCAATCAAAAACGAACCTTCAGGCAAAGAGACTCCAACGAGACTCGGCTCATCCTATCCAGCAGTCAAGATTTCCAATATCGAAGTCGACGCCAAACCCATCTACGAGCCAAATGGAAAACCAATTACAGATATCGACATGGATACCGGTGCGTGCCAGTATCTTGTCCTTTGTTGGTCGCAAGCTTACCCAGATCGTCTCAGATTTTCCCGAGGACGACAAGCCTTGGCGCCGACCAGGTACAGACATGACTGACTACTTTAACTACGGGTTTGATGAATTCACATGGGCGAGCTACTGCTTGAAGCAAGGCTCCTTACGGAAAGAGGTCACGGATTCGAAGAAACAAATGGAGGAGATGCAAAATTTCCTCAGCATGCCATCTGCAATGCCAGGTATGCCTGGAGCCCCTGGAGGTGCACCACCTGGTATGCCACCTATGGGTGGACCCGCAGATATGCCACCAGAAATGCAGCAGATGATGGCGCAGATGATGGCTCAAGGCATGGATCCCACGCAAATGGATCCCGCAACTTTCATGCAGATGATGCAGGGGGGTCAAGGAGGAGCAGGAGGAGCAGGAGATTCGAACCAGAACTTTGGTGGACAAGGATTTGGTCAACAGGGTCAGAATCAGCAGATGGGGTACGGATATGGTGGTGGTGGTGGTGGTGGTGGTGGTGGTGGAGGCGGCGGTGGGGGCAGAAATCAAGGCGGCCGTGGAAACCGCAGATGGTAGCCTTTACGAATAATCATCACAACTCAAACATCCAGATCGGTCACTGCTTGTCGGTGTATTTGTTACTGTTGAGCAAATTTTAGACATACTGCATGGGGCCTCGCTTATTCGCTTGCTGTTCGTAGATGTCAGAACGCTATTCTCTTGGCATTATGACTCTATCTAGACCTCACGGAGAAGGAGTAGTCCAAGGCAAGCATGAAACACCATCAATATGGGTATTTCCCTCTTGCAGACCTCTAGGATCCTTTTCTAGTCACGCTATCCATAGTAAATCCACTGGCTAAAGCTCTCTGTTCTCAACATGAGACCCTCAATGCCCAGAATTCTTCATCCTACTATCGTTTCTTCTCCGCCCAGCCAGCTTCTGTACCCTTCTTCGAGCACAACGCATCGAATGTACTAGCGTCTTTGCCGTTTGGAAGCCTTTCTAGCACTCACATGCCCAATCCGAAGGGACAATTCCTGGCACCTTCCCCAAGCTACTCCTCAAGATTGTGATTCCAGACGCAGGAACATATCATTCTCCCTTATCGTTTCTGCCAACCCTGATACCTTGCTCGCTTTGCTTGTCATATACGTCGCTGCTTGCCTATCGGTAGTCGCAAAAGCGCAGACGATGCGGAGTACCGCTTCTCCCATGCTTGAAATGGGGGAAAGAAGCACCTTCAAAGGAGCCCCGGTCCAAAGACAGCGCGATGCCTGTGACTTGTATCCTCCGCTAGAAATCTCGAGCAGTGCCCCATTTCGAAACATAGGCATCCAAGTCTTGCATGAGCTTGCGTGGACTTCAAACATGCGGGGAACGAAGGCTGCTTGGAATCCAAGTAGAAAGGCTTGCTGCTCTTGCTATTCTTGATGCTACCCCAACACTTTCGCTGGTGCCCATGAGTTCGAACTGCCAGTGCATCGACAGTAGAACATCTCTCTGCTTGATCCAGTACATCAAGCCTTCCCCCAAGAATTGAATGCCGCGCTCCTAAAGCTCATTTTAGGAACACTTTTTCATTCGATTCAGGTCTCAATTGAAGGCTAGCTCCAGGTGCGTAGATCAACAGAGAGACGTTTGGAGTGAAGAACACTTGCTCTCAATTGGTGCCATCAATCATTCGGATCGGCCACCACTTCTGTGAGGCTTATCAAGATCTCAAAGGTTTCTCTCCCAAGCGATTGTGTATTCATTACAACCCGATCACATTGACAAGACAATGAATGAAGGCCGAGGCCCATTGATGCTATTCACTGATGCAGCAGACATTGTATTGACCCTATTCATCCGCTGTACTTGGTATTGTCACTGCTCACCATTAGTGAATCAATTTTGCCAGCCATCTTCCCCTAACGTCTTCCCATTTCATCCCTCTGTATAAATTCTTCAAGCAGCTTCCACTTCTTCATACCATAACCCTTCATCGGCAACCCTCTCTTCCATCATCCTGCACCAGTACAGATTCTCCAACCTTGCCAATTCCTTTCATCCTTCATGCAATTTAGCTTCGTCAACCAAGCCATCGCTCGAATTTACTGACGCAATTTCGTTTGAGCTGCTGATTTCTTGAACTCAATTTGGAAACCCGATTTAGATACAGTGAACCATTGGTTATCTTGCATTGGTCAAATTCAACTTCGGTAAGTCTGATCGGCTACCTCGATACCATGGTTGTATGCTGTACTGCCCTAGAGTACTCGAACATTGACTAACAACGAGCTATTCTCGTGAACAGGAAATTCGCCATTCTGTCCAAAGCGCTTGCGCACTCCCTCAGAGCCTGAATCTCGACCCGTAAGCTATCAATCCTTTCTACTACGAATTGGCGCTGCACCGTCAGTAACTGCGAAAAACTTTGCGCTACCTATGCTGAATTTCCCCCAATGATTGGTCGCTATTGATGGTTACGTCTCTTCATGATACTGACACATGATGGACAGACATCCAGCATCGGAACTTCCGGTGCTACTGATCAGATTCCGCTCAATTGATTATCGCAACTTTCTGGGCTTCACTCGTTCAGACGCCAGTTATTCATCTCCCTATACTCGAAACAGTCACTTTTTACAATTCACCAACGACTCTCTGCATTGACTTGAGACATCAGGTTACTAGAGTCGTCCAGTGCTGGAAATTCTTACATCATGGACCAAACTTATCAACAAGACTTCCAAAAAATGCAAGAATTTGATGCATGCTGTCAAAATGGCAGATTTGAGGATATGCCATTGAGCAACGAGCTCCTTGATTGCTTCGATATGGATTTCTATCAAGCAACAACGCCTGGGTGTCTTCCGTCACCCAACTCCTCCAACCCTGATTTACCTGGCAGTGGTCGACAGAGTCCATTTGCAAGCGGATATGGCTCCCAGCCAAGCGATGGAAGCTCGGGTACGGACAGCAATCCCTCGGGCCTACACCTACTACAACAATCGCACGAGTCGCGCACAAATACAAGCTCGAATACAAGCAACGGCCACCCCAGCACAAATCAAAGCTTCTCGAATGCAAGCAACAATTCCGCAAAAACACTCGTGCAACAGGGGGAACCCTCAATGACAAGCGCGAATTCTACCAATGCGAGACAAAGTCAAACTCACATTGCACCCTCTGGAGGCCTACTTTGTATTCCAAACAATTCGTTCCAGAACCATGCAGCTACAGCATCATCGAATGATTCTTTTGAGCAAACAACACCAACTGGGAGGCCAATGTCAACACATGTACCAATTGCACCCAAAGTACTGAACAACACATCTTCCGCTAGCGTACCCGCTGAGATACAAGCTTCACCGACATTGAAGCCTCAGCACTTTGTACGACATCCTTCACATTTACGCCATCAAATTCATCCTCAGCTACCACAGTTTTCACCATTTGATATGACTGCTTCAGGTGTTTATACTACCGACCAAGTGCCAGACACCATGTCACTTAACTATGGCTTCACCGACGGCCAAGCGCCTAACGTGTCACTATCTCATGGTGACTACCAAAATGTACAGCATGCATCGAATAGGCCCCCATTCCGTCGGATCGCCAGCGCACACAATCCAAGCCGAGGATCTCAAGTCTTGCAGAACCATCAGCCTTTTCAAGAGAGCAGCTTAAGGACCTCAGTGACATCAAACTCGGGACAAAATCCTTGGGAAGCTGGGCATTTCCAGAAGCCACAGTATCCCGACCCCCAACCAATGTTCCAACAACAATCCATTCGCTCGCCGTACATGGGCCATCACCACCTCTCAGGGTCCCCAGGGAAGTCAATGCCCAGCCACTCACCGAAGCAGTATCGTATGCAACTTAGCGACACTCGAGATGCGCGTTTCATGAGCCAGGAACCGACAAATTCCAGCTTCAACGGGTCGAGCCCAATGAGCGTAAAGCGCGAGCTGTCTTCACCTGGTTCGGATCACGTGGTGTCCACCCCCAACTTCAAGAGTCAAATGGCCCCGCGGGAGATACAGAAGAAGCGACGCGTAAAGCAGGAATTGAAGAGTAATGATGACAACGAGGTGGTCATCGATCCCGTCGCGCTTCAAACAGCGGATTTGACGCACTTGAGCCCAACAGATCACACTAATGTCGCAGCATTGGTTGATGCAATGCATAATACAGACAACGTTGAGGACAATCTAGGCATGCAGAAAACCTGGGAGAAAGTTCGCAAGGCCAAAGCGTTGAGAATTAGAGAAGTATGCGTGGACTTGTTGGTGAGTGCGAACCTTTACAATGTGCTCTTGAAGGCAATGATATTGACTTCAGATACTTTAGAATTTGACTAAGCAAGCTCAACAACAAGAAGGAACTCCCCTGGGGGAAAAGAGACCTATCAATCAGTATTCATCATTTGAGAAGCGTTTCGATGCCTTGTGCGAGACTCTTACGGTACTCCCACCCTCTCTCATTCACTATGTTGGGCGAACTCTGCTGATATTGTGGTCTTAGTTTCAAAAGACGGTGTGCAAGCATTTGATAGAGCCTCCTTACTCTTACAGTGTGGTTGACGATCCGCAATACGCGAAAGATGTATGTTCCGTTCTTCAGCATTGACTTGATCCAAGGCTGACATTCTGCAGCGCGTCAAGAACAACCGCCGAGTCAATTATCAGAAGGCAGAGGCAATCCGTCTAGGGCGTGAGCATCTGGGTGAGAAAGGTCAGGGCAAAGGAAAGCCCATGATAAAGACGAAGAAGCGTGGACAAGCCCAAATGGAAGATGATCAAGATGACGAGGAGAATTCGGGTGACGAGCTGTTAAGTGACGGAGAAACGGATAGGTCGCTTTCCGTGCTTGAACCCAAGTTTGCTCGTCCGAATCCTCATACTCCTAAGAGGACTAAGCCGGTAAGTCGCTCGAAATATCAGTCTATTGATGGCGTGATGGTTGATACTTCCCAATCTCAGTCTACAAACAGCAACCAGCATCACGAGCAGAAAGCCAGCCTTGAAGCCGCATATTTACTACAGGGTCAGAATCTGGAAGACCCCTTTACCCAAGGCTTGCATCAGAACATTTATGCTTCCCCTCAGCCTTCGGAACACGACCGAATGCTCCATAGACTTGCCGCCAGTCAGCAAATGCCCACTGCGGATCAACACTGCGACTTCCAATCCAGCAATGAAACCGGGGACGTTTTTTACGGAGACAACTCCACCGGTGGCAGTGACAGTGAGGGCCTTGGCGGTATCGGCTACGGATACAGTTGAGCTGTGCGAGGACTTGCAGGTGCTTTGGCATTTCGATACTTCAGCTCCAGCACACGCCATGGGAAGCCTCTTCAGTCTTGAGGGTGGGCGGCACTGTCTCCAGCATCCATTCTACCATTTCAGCATCATTCTCGAAAAGTCTCTAACTCATGGGCTACCGCCATCACTCGTCTACCGGGCCCGGGACCCCACCTTCACATCTTCGCATCCGCCCGACGAATTCGGCAATGTCGTTCCTCCGCTTCGTCGAATAGGCTCCGTCTCCGCTCAAAAAACCCCCCGGCCTCTACGAAACTTTTTTCAGTCTTTCTCGGTTCAAGCAATTCACGACTTCACGACCCAGCATAGCGACGGCGTACTCCACGACCAGCATACGTTTCCAAACATGTTTGCATTCCTCGGCGCCTTCGTCCTGCCACACTACATTATCACGCGATGTATCCGTGGCATACGATAGACTATTCTTATCAACCTCCCCGTGCGCATAGCTAGCGGAGGAGCAAATAAGGGTATTGACGACTCATAGAGCGCTGTTGTCTTATCGATGCAGAGGGATAGAGAGCGGTCGATTGTGTCATTCATCTTGTACATACTTGAGCAGGCGTGTTCGAGCCTTTTATGGCTATGCGAGATGCCTCTCATGTTAGCAATCAGTCATGCAGTTCTTCAAGTCAAACATTAGATCCCGCAATTAAGCAACGTGAATTGGTGGGCTGCTAGAGTTTCAATGGTAATGCTCGCCAACAGCAAATGCTGTCAGCCTTCTATTCCAGGTTCTACCTGCCCTGATTAAAATTCATGCTATAACTACCAGTATTCGGATCTTTGTCCATCTTGAAATTATCCGTCGACAGCCCGAACGGTTTCAGTATACCATTGCCCAATTCCTTCAGCTTGCCCATCATATCGCCCATCTCCCTCTCCTTGGCTGTATTGATGCGTGGCGGTAGACTTCTCAAAGCTGCCTGGACGATCTTTTGGTCTTGTGGTGGCAGCGTCGGTAGTTGTGCAAGAGCTTTGTAATCATCCTCGGCACCTTGTAGATTTCCCCATCCTCCTTGCTCTGAATTTGCTTTCGCTCGACGCATGAGAGCTTTGGAGCGTATGCGGAGGATGTCATCGCGCCGCTGGTCACTCATTTCAAGCTTCTTAAGCTCTTCTTCTGCTTCCGCGCCTTCGCCTTCAATCTCCACAACACCTCCGTCTTTCTCGGCGTCATCCTCCTTGTTCTCTTTCTTCTTGGGCAAGAGCCTGTCCAAGGCATCTAGAGCCGTTGTAGCTGACTCAACAGCCGCTTTCCAGTCCTCGAGCTTCAAGTGGCAGGCAGCGATGTTACTTTTCAGTACGGCGATTTCGTACTCTAGGTAGTTCGGGCAAGATGACAGCGCTTTGTCGTACTCGCCTATGGCTTGTGAGTACTGTGATGAGGTAAAGAATTTGTTTGCTGTGCTTTTTTGCGCATTAGACTCCTGTAGCAAGGCCTAAAACGTGTCCATCAGCTCCTGGCCGGAAATAAGACAGAAAGAAAGAGAGAAAGAGAGAGAATGCGCCCATTCGCAGCGTTTGAGGGGAGGAGATAAGCCGAGGGGAAGGGACCATGAGACGAGCATGAGCTTACTGCTTCTTCCTCCTGGGAAAAACGTGGAACAAGCGAGGCTTCAGATTCGTCAGGCAGATCGGGAGATGGATCTGGAAGTGCCATGTGTGACCGGCTATAAAGTTTCTTGTATTACTATCTATCTATAACTTTGAAGGCCCTTGCTTGATAAAGTAAGTAGTAGTACATTACTCCGTACTACATTAGAGGTAGTACCTGAGTAAGTACTCTACTTTAGCTTGTTTGCATTAAGCGACAGCCGCCAATGCAAGCGCGCATCTACTCTAAGAGTAAGAGTCTAAAGTACATACTTACTTTTAAGTCTCTAACTCGGAAGCGAAAATAAAACGGGGAAATCCAAGCAAAACTCTCACAACGTGGTAGAAAGTCTAGTAGAAAGTTAGGTCAAGGCGGTGAAGCAGGGCAAGCCTGCATAGTTCGCAAGGGAAGAAACGTGCGAGATGATACCGGATACCGATGTGCATAATGGACCCCTCTCATTTTGTTGGGTTGCCTCCTCCTCGCACAGATACAATCTGTGCTCAGTCTCTTCATTTCCAATTTCCTTGTTCTCAAATACAAATCCCCTCGGACTCCTCCATCTGATACACCGCTCCAAACCCGAACCAAGACACAAATACATCCCTAAACACAAAGCTCACAAGCCAGCTATCGGCCTTATCACGTACCAACACCGCCATCATGATTATGGCAAACCCTGAGTACGCTTGCCTGATCATTCGATTTCTCCGTAAACTAACAGTGAGCTCCAGATTCCCAAAAATTCGCGCCTGTCTCTTTGACATGGACGGACTTCTCATCGATACCGAGGATATCTATACGAAATGCAACAACGTAATCCTGCATGAGCACGGCAAGCCTTCTCTTCCCTGGAAAATCAAGGCCCAATTGCAAGGCCGCCCTGGTCCCGACGTATGCCTCTCTTCTCCCGAACCCTCTTTCCCCACACCCCCACGCAAATTGACAGTTTCCATAGGCGGCCGAAATCTTCCATGCCTGGGCCCAGCTGCCTATCGCCCGCTCCACCTTCACCGCTAAGCAGGCCAAACTGCAGGCCCAATTCTTCCCCACAACGCAACCGCTCCCTGGCGTTCCACTCTTGCTGAAAACGCTCAAGAACTCGAATACTCACCTCGCCCTCGCCACTTCCTCGCACGCCATCAATTACCGCTTGAAGTCAACGCACTTGCCTCACCTCTTCAGCGCATTCCCACCCTCGCGCCGTGTCCTCGGCGATGATTCTAGGATACCCAAAGGCAGGGGCAAGCCCGCACCGGACATCTACCTCTTGGCATTGGAGTGTATCAACAAAGAACTGAGAGCCAAAGGAGAGCCCATTGTCTACCCTGAGGAATGCCTAGTCTTCGAGGATAGTGTGCCCGGGGTCGAGGCAGGGAGAAGAGCGGGAATGAGAGTGGTTTGGTGTCCTCATCCGATGTTGTTGAAGGAGTATCTGGGGAGGGAGAGGGAGGTGCTCGCTGGGGTTGCGAATGGCACCGACCGGGAGGTTGACGATGCTCTGCACGAGGCTGGCATGCATGGCACTGGCACGAAAGGGAGGACTAACGGCTACCACTCCAGAATGGATGATGGATGGGCTGAGATGGTGACGACGTTGGAAGGGTTTGACTACGGAAGATACGGGATTCAGATCTGAGTGCGAGTTGCTGAGAGACGAGAGACAGACCCGATTTTGAGCGATAAAATGGTTACGTACGGACTGAAGAGAGGGATAAAAGGTAGACTAGATTATAGATATGTATGGAGCATTGGATGTTGCTCCAAAGATAGACTCAAATCTCCAAGCATCTCCACGAATCCTGGCCGCTGCCCTTGACAGAAAGTTTCATAAACTTGAATATGGTACTTTTTTATGGTATCTCCTATCTCTAGTCTATGCACCGATGACTTCTCTCAGGTGAAAAAGAATGCATTACCCTCGGCATCCTTCCTCACGCCTTTGGTGTAGTCCTTCGTCGGATCAAATTCCTCCCACACACTCGCTGGAAAGATATGCTTGTTCCGCTCATACCACCGCCGATCCACCACCTTTGTAAAATTTGGATCAGCGTTCACACCCTCAAGGTGTCGATCTGCAGGCGTGACCTGGCCGTTGTTCTTCTGCTTCGTCTTCGATGGCAAAGATATTGGGTCATAATCATCTGAGATCTGATCTGGAGATTCGGACCCATCCGACGGTGGGACGGTGGCCGCGGCGTAATCGAACAGCGGCGTCGAATTCGGACCAACAGTCTTGTTGACGATGAAGTAATAGAGTTCGTAGTGGTGAGGTATGATGATCTCACCTCTCACAAGCATCAAATCATCCACGCCAACCCTTGCCCATTCTCTTCTGCTGTTAGCTTTCTCGCCGCCTCCTACACCCAGCTCTGCTCCAACTTTCCTGCTTCGGTCTAGGAACAGCCAAACGTAGTCGCCTTTCTTGACTTTACAAGCGCCACCGGGTATGTTTGTGCCGTCATAGAAAACGAATGGTATAATGATCTCCGTGGCTTTGACAGCTTCTTGCATCAAGAGGAATTCCTTCCGTAGCTGTTCTCGGGTCTGAGCCTCCTTGAGCAGCGCGGACTTAGTCATTGCTTTGGGGGCGACGCTGAGATTGGCGTTTGCCCCAAAGCGCTTTCGTTCCGTGGAAAAATCATTTCGCGACGAGGCTGGTGACGCTCTGGTGGGTCCATCTTCGTCTGGCGTACCATCTCTTGGCGTCAGATCCGTAGATTCGATCCTCTCCACTCTATCCAGCTCCTCGTCATCTACCCCAAACGACAATTTTCCCTTGGCCACGTGCTTCCGTTTCTTTTTCGGTGGCTGTCCATGGGAAGTTGAAACACTGTGCTTTGACCGTCAGCATCTGCAGCCGCCAAAAAAACGTGCTCTACCTTGCATAATCCCCACAACTTACCCGTTGATGATACTATTGTTAACGTCTGAAACTGAGTTCCCCGATGCAGATGACGATGCAGGCGCAAAGCGGCCAAAGCTTACGGCAGTCCCCTGTGCTTCGCGCTCCTTCTGCTCGAGCGCCTCTGCGCGTCGCTTTCGGAAGTCGGAGAGGTGGACTAGGCCGACGGTTTGAGATGCTAACAGATCGGCGGCTGTGGAGGCTTGGGTGGTGAAACGAGGGTTTGGTGTTGGGACTCTGGAGGTGTCATTTGAGGAGGGGTTGGAGGCCATCGAGATACTGAGGGTGAGGGCGAGGGTGAGGGTGAGGGTCATAAAAAGGTGAAGATGATCGAAGTTGCTGGTGGGTGTTAGTACGGCCAAACGCTAAAACCGTAGCCAATAAACCCCGTCCTGAGTACGACGACCATTATTCCATCAAGCTCACTCGAATCCTTTTCGAAATTTGACTGTTCAAGCACTTACGAGCGAACAACAATAGTCTGATCTGTTGGTAGTGACGGTGGCTTGTTCATCAAGCGCGAAACCAATAATGATAGAGATCCAAGTTTTACCCGTTCTATGATGCATTTCCCTATTCTGAGTCTCTGAAGTCACAGTGCAAAAGTAGTCCATATAAAACTTGGTATGGAACAGTCCTTGCGCGAAGACGTTGGTCCTCTCAACTTGCCAGATGATTTTATTTCCATCGCGCTGGGATAGCAACGAAGGTGGTGGCTCCACAAAGTGGGCTCGTCCTATAGAGGATGGGAGCGTCCAATCGTGATTTCATAGAACATTATTGTCTTTGGAAGGTGGCCTATACGGTAGACATGGAAGCTAGCATCTACCTCTTGAATTTAGGGGCAATGAGCTGCCTAGTACTTGCCTCGCCAGAGAATGTTGATCTTTCCATGAGTATCAAAAGTGGAAAGGGCGTCCTTTCCTATATTGAAAACCACCTTCTCCGTTCCACTTATCCCATTAAAGTCATCTCAACTGAATCCTCTACTTCCATCGCTTTCATCAAGGTTATCCTCTGGCTTTCTCTAGAGTAATGGACTTCACGCTACGTTGCAATGCGCTCAACTGCCGAGTCCAGCTCGTGGAGCGGGCTGTGGTAACGACTTGCAGGTGCGTACACCCTGTAGGCTATGCTTGCAGTATACTAACAGCAAGCCTAGCCATGTCTTCTGCAATCCTTGTTCTGACGAGCTTGGCTTGACTGCACCAGCTGGTGCTAATCGGGTCTGCCCGGCATGCCGAACTCTTCTTTCTCAACCTGATGACGCTGTCTCTACATCATTGCATCCGACCGAGGACTACAAGACGAGCGTTCTGAGTGGCCTCAGTCCTAGCACTATTATGGAATGTGCTGGGCGTGGGTTGGCCTTCTGGAGCTACCAGTCGACGCAGGAGATGTACGTAGAGGGGTGGCGTTGCCGCTTACACCCACTGATACTTTGTAGCGTCTACCAGGAGTACACGGTGAAGGCAATGACTGAGAAGCACAACACTCTTAACGTGCAGATCGACAAGATTCTCAACGACGCCAATTCCGAACTGAACATCCTGAATCAGAAGCTGAACAGTATGATTCGCGATGTGATGAGTATCTACTCTTCTGATTCTACGAACAGATATGCAAATAGACCAGGACAGGCTCAAGCTTGAGAATAAGAATCTCGTAACAGCCTTCCGAGAGAAAAGCCGCAAACATCAGCAGACACAGGAACTCTATGATCGCTTGAAGCGCAAGGAGATGACAGCAGCTACACAGTCTGCGGCGTTCGAATCCGTAGATGAAGTACTCGGCAATGTCCCAGGTCGTCAAGGCTTCGTTTCTTCTCAGCGTACTTCTGTCGCTCCGAGATCTCACGCTCAACAAGACTTCCAGTCCCCTCAACGGAATCGCAACGGAATAGAGCAACTCCATGCCCGACGGAAGAGTGGCAGCAACGAAATCCAAGGCAATGGGGCAATGATGCCTCCTCCGCTTCATCGACCAGGAGGTACTGGAAGCAATACGTTCGGATTCGGTGAGCCAAAGCCCTGGTATGCCACCCACGCTGCTGATGGTCGTTTAGCAAATCCCATGCCTACACCATCCAACCATCGCACCCAGCTTGGGCCGACAGCTCAATCCGCCAGCCGCCTGGGAACACTTGGTTATCGACATGACGCCAACATGTTCAATAAGGATCTGCAGAACCATACTCCAGGCCAACGGCAATCTCTCGCCAGTCTCAATATGAATAGCGTGAATAGGAACGGCTTGAGCGGGTATGGAATGAGTGCAGGTATGAAAGTTGGGAGGCAGCAGGGTGAGCTTGCCCAATTTTCGAGATAGTCCTCGCCTGATATTCCCCGAACCTTTCTATACTGGCTGCTACTCACATTGCTCCAGGATCACGCCCCTCCGAAATGACACACTCCAGCCATGGTCAGGCTGGTGCGCCGTTCGGTCACGAATTTCAAGCCCAGCAGTTTCAACGCGATGAAGGTGTCTACTATTGATTTCCCACCCAGAGTTGGCCAGATGTGTCGGGGTATCTGCTGTCTTTTGCTCAATCGTCGCACTTCGCTTACAGTACCTCTTTCATAGTTCGATTCATGGCACGAAACACGGACTTTTGCTTTATAGCCTAGTTGTACGCGGAGAGGAAGGGGTGCCAGCAGAATAAGTCAGGATTGAAAAATATCTGCTAAGGAACACACCACATTGACTTTCTCGTATTCGTATTTTGAGGCATCCGATTGGATTCCGCGAGCGGAGTTACTTTATGCCGCATGCGTTGGTTGATTTAGCGCTAACCTCCAATCGCATTTGGAAATGTTTCATTGGATCTGTCTTCTGACTTCTACAGTCTACTCCTCGTGCATGTATCAAAGCCCCAAAAATCACACCAAATATGCGTCCATGAAAGCTGAAGCCCTGCATTTTCTACTGTCTACTTAAAGATGCAAAACCCTCCTCTTTTCTTGATGAAGCCTTGCTTCCCTTGTTTCGTTGCAGAAAACATAGAGGCTTCTAGGTCAGATTTTCATCAAACAGACCACCATTCTCTTTCCTATCCAGGCTGCGAAGACCCCACATTATAATTATACACTTCCAGCACACCAACCCGTTACTTCTCTGGCCTCCGTTCATACCACGCAATGGTCTCCCTTATAGATGTCCAATCCTCGAATTCCCGTATTGCCTCCGCTCTTCCTCCGCGTCTCGTCGCCGTCTTCGTCGGTGCCACTAGCGGTGTCGGCGAAGTATCGCTGAAGCAATTCGCCAAGCATGCCCGCCAACCCCGCGTCTACTTTGTTGGCCGCTCACAAGAAGCCGGAGATCGCATTGCAGCCGAATGCAAGACCCTGAACTCGGAAGGCGAGTACATCTTCATCAAGGCAGATACCAGTCTGATCCGCACCGTGGATGATATCTGCAGTGACATCAAGTGCAAAGAGAAGGCGGTCAATCTCCTCTTTCTTAGTACGGGATCATTGGTTAGCGCGGGTATGTCCGCGATCCTTCTAAAGTTGCTCTATTGATTTACGGAGAAAACTCCGCAAACATGAGAATGAAGGATTTGACCGTAAAATGAACACAGAGACTTCGGAGGGCCTTAACTTCGTCACGGCTTTGGTAACCTATTCCCGCAATCGATTTATTGTAAACCTTTTGCCACTTCTTCAACAGGCCACTGCCCTTCGTCGTGTCGTCACCGCATTCGCCGCTGGTAAAGAAGGCCCAGTTAGCATCAATGACTTTCAAGGCTGGAAGGTCTCTGCGCTTTCCGCACGTGGCCACGTCAGCTCACTTGTCACCGTATCCCTTGAAGCCCTTGCCAAGAAAGCACCGGACGTGACTTTCATCCACAACTTCCCGGGTCCGCTCAAGTCAAACCTTTTCCGGGGTGGCCAAGGCGCAACGATATTCGTTATCAATATAGTCTTCAAAGCCATATCGCCCATGATGACTTGGTACTCGAATCAGGAGTGTGGTGAACGTCACTTGTTCCTCGCAACGAGCGCGAGGTACCCGGCAGCTTCTCATGGGAATATAACTTCTGGGGTGCCGTTGAGCGGTGAAGTTGCGATTGCAAGAGGAACCAATGGGGAAAGTGGAAGTGGTGTGTACTCCGTCGATTTGGCCGGTGAAAGTTCGGGACCTAAGGTGGAGGAGCTTCTGACCAATTTCAAAAAGGGAGGAGTGGGGGAGAAGTTCTGGAGACATACAGAGGAGGAGTTTGAGCGGATTACTGGACGGGCAGCGGCATAGATCAAGCCACGGTACTTACGCGTCTCATGGACCAACAGATTGATGCCATGTATTAGTTAACCATGGCTGATACAGCTGGATGATAGCCTGAGAAGTGGTGGTATCAATAGGTGATCGCTGTATGGTCCTGCTATGGTTCTGGACGTCCAGCATTGAAAGCATACAGACGCGAGCTTGGTGTGCGTGTGCTGTAATGGGGTAATCATTCCATGAGATTCGATTATTCTTGGGGGAGACGGAGGTAATGGACGTTCATTCCAGCTTCAGGACTCTATTTGTCAGCTGTGGTTTTGCTCTTTTGCTCAATTCGATCTGTTCATTCCAGCTTCAGGACTCTATTTGTCAGCTGTGGTTTTGCTCTTTTGCTCAATTCGATCTCGCTTGTAAAGAAACTCACATATTCCGCTTGAATTCAGCTCTTGAGCGGTCCTCAATTTCGGTTTCTGTTAGTGATCTGAATTTTTTACGAGTCGCCAATTTTCTCACATCTATCAAAGCAAATCCATCCCCATAGCTATCAATTTGAGATGAGAAGGTGGGCACTTTTTCATGATCGTGACTGTTCCTTTGTCCCAAACTGTCGCATTTCCATTGTTGAGAAGAGCACTTCCTTGTCAGATACCTACTGCTTGATGTATCCTTCCCTTTCAACAGCCAATTGTTTCGACTTGCTACCCATAGTCGCCGAATGTGGAAGAGTAGTGCTCACAACTGCCAACTTTTTGTGGCAGCGTGCCGGAATGGAAGATAAAGCAGGAAGGTCCTTGACTGCATAGTACCTCTTGGGTTCCCTTTGTCCAAGAAAGGAACGGGAACTGATTCTGATTGTCGGCAATAATACGCTGCTGCTGCGCGGATCCTACCTATACATCTGACAGACTCTATATTTTGGGGAAGCCTTACTGTCTTGTGGCGAGGCTCTGGACAAGTCTCCATTCATATCCATTGATCAGCTTGGGCGGATTTGCACTCCTTTGACGAAGAAAGACGTTCTTTATCTTGTACACTTGTTGGCGTTGTCCTCTTTGAAGATCTAAGAATGGATCAGTTCCGAAGGACAATGGGTGTTTTCTATCCTGGAGTGGTTCATTCTCCGCCGAATCCCTCATTCCAACGACTACGAGGATCAAAGTCACACTGCAGTCATCAAACACTACCTTTACGTATTTCCTCATCAGACGAATAGAAACTCCCCAAAAACACCTTCTAGCCCCTTATGGCTCAACCTAATCGACCTCCACCCAGTACCGGCCAAAAAATACTCGAATTTATTCTGGACAGGGACAAATATGGTTTGCAGAACAGTCTACTCGGAAACCTAAACCTTCTCGACTATATGAATCTAAGACGTCAGACTCAGCGAATCCTGCATTCGCTCGACCCTATCGTGCTGCAGACACAAAACCTCCACAATCCCCCGGCCCCCAACCGCAAGGATCCAAACGACTTCCTCCAACTGAAACTCGGAGCACAGTGTGACGACATGCGCAAAATCTACAACGTCCCGGCGGCGCAGCAGCGGATCCCTTGCCCCAACGGGCCCACAACACGGGTCACCATGCGACCCTGCAGGCAAACGGATCCGCAATCGCACCCGCCGTTCCCCACCCGGTGCTTCAACGTGTGCAACGACTGCCTCCACAGCTGGAGCAACTACTACCACCGCAAGATCACCAACGGTCTCCCGAGCCGGCGATCGATCCTCTGCAAACGCTGCAGCCTCCGGCTGAGACGACGGCACCGGCCCGGCCACTCCGCCTGCACGTGCCGGCGGGCCATCTTCGCCGACGCCAAATGCCACACCTGCCGCCTCGAGACCGAACTCGCCACCTACGCCGCCGGCGACGCCCGCCGGCGCACGCTCGAACGCACGCACGTGAGGCGCGCGGGGCCGGGGGGGCGGCGCCGGCGCGTGCTGCACGTCGACCACCGTCCGGACACGGTCAGGGCCAGGGCCGCGTGCGCCACGCCGGGCTGTGGGAGGGAGGCGTGGACGAAGCATTCGAGCCGGCGGCTGCCGGGACAGAACGAGCCGGGCTTTTCGAGGCATCTGGATGCGTGCCTGATGTGTTTGTGCTGTAGTGGGGAGATTGTTCCGTGAGGGTTGATGGCGTTTTTCGGGGGGGGAGAAGGTAGGAAGGAAGGTGAGGTGTTTTCGTCCCTGCTTGGAAGCATTCTTGTCTTTATGTCTGGTCCGGGTCTTTCGTCCGTGGTTTTGCTGGTCAAAATCCACTCCTGCCGTTTGGGCCTGAGGCTCCACCGGTCATGATTTCTACCTTTTCTGTTCGAAACACAGTTTTTCTATTGCTCGAGTTTTGTTCGCAACGAGTTGCCAATTCCGTCAAGTGCTTGTCTATCTGGTACATGCTTCCGACTGTTGTCAAAATCTCGCTCTTTCAGACCCAGGTCCCCTACTTGCGCCGGTAGTTTTGGCGACGAGTCTTCTGCGCTGTAGGAACAGATGCACAGCCTGTGCGTCGCAAGAAATGTATCCGTCGGAGCGCAAACCGTGTTTCCATGCGACGAAACAAAGCAAAAGTATTCTCGAGCCTTCTCGCATGATTCTTCTTCTCAACTGTTTCAACACACATTTCTACATTCTCGTATCGCTCAGGTATGAAGACGTTCGACGTGTTTCGTTTCGCAGCCTTAATCCAGCTGAGCGCCCACGCTGCCGCAGCGCCACCTCTCGCTCTCCCAGATTCGCCGCCATCTCTCACGCTACCGTCATCATTGACACTGCTCGAAAACGCAACCCACCCCCCCAATTCCACCAGTGCACTCCGAGCCCCCAATTCTCCACTCGAGTAAGTTCTTTGTCGAGATCTTCTGTAAAAACTCAGGTCTGACATCAGCGCAGCGTCGCTCCGCCTCCAGTGCCGTACGTCTACCCCGTGCGGTATTCCGACATCAGCCTGCGGTGCTACCATTTCGAAGACGTTAGTTCGTCCAGACTGGAAAACCAGCTAGAAGAAGCGTTGCGGGAAGCAGTTCGCGACATGTCGTTGCATCACGAGCAGCGCTTTGAACCGATTGGCACGGGGGAAAGGGTGTACGAATCCGACCAACCAGGGGCCCAGGGTGAAAGTACAGATATATATATCTGGCCGCAGGCAAACATGACCTGGGATATGTGAGTGGCCATTTGTGAATTCTTGCCTTTTTCGTGCCCCCACAAAACCGGTCTTACAACCTGATATTTCCGCGTCCACAAAGTGATGCTGACCCCGCAATGTGTAGGTGTAGTAATGTGCTGATCGGAATGAAGAATGTCGCGCAGACGTATGCGGGGTGGGATTTCGAGTTTGAGGTTCTGGTTGATGGGACGGAGGGAACGGTGGGAAGGGGTTTGTTGTGGACGCAGTGACGGGAATGTTCGACGCTAAGCAGATACTCGAGATAGTTATCCTGGCTGATTTGTACTCAAGCCCAGAGAGCTGCGATGTAACGAGCTGAGTGTCTCGAAGGGTTCGAATGGTAGGTGTCGAGCTCGTCAGTTGTAATGTATGGAAAGCCGTTTCAAACCGAGCACAGCGACTATGTTCGTCAAGTTGTGTCTATTAGATTTTAGAACCGGCTTTAGAAAGATGTACGGAGTAATACGGCCGCAAGCTGACGTTGCGGAGAGCCGATTTACGGTTTGTCTGGGGGCTCTTAATTGGTGAGAGGACGTTCGAGTTGGACCATACTCGAAAATTGGTTCTTTTCAGCCTTGGGAAGAGGTTCATTAATTATAAGTGGATAAGAAATAGATCCTCAAATAAGGCCAGAAGGTTGATATGTAACATCATGCCCGCTTGAATATCTAGAAAACAGAGAAGTACATTATGTGTCACCATCATCGTCGTAAGCAGTTCACTTGCAGGCGTTGAAGTTGGTGAGGATGCGGGTGCAGCCCAGGTGCATAAGGTGCCATCGACGACCGCAGAACTGGAGCCAACAGGAATGACGGGGCCTGACTGTGTGATTTCGGACCCTGGAGGGAGAGTCACGGTTCCGAATACAAGCCCACCGCTGGCGCCTTTACGGTAAGAGGTTCCATCTACGCCAAAGATATTAGAGCCGACGGACATCGTGTGCCCCGAGAATATTGTTTGAGTTCCCGATGGAAGGCTCATGGTACCCATTACCACAACACCACCAGATACACCCTGTTGAGGCGGAGAGCTGGTATAAGCTAGCCCTGGAGGGGCACCTGGATGTGGTGATTGCAGATCAAAGGAGGTGCCATCCACAAGCACGAGACTAGAGCCAACGGAGACAACGTGACCTGAGTGTGTGGTCTCAGCCCCAGGTGCAATCGTCACAGTGCCTAGTTCAAGGCCTCCGCCAGGAGCCTCCTGTAGAGATGCACCGATCTCTGACCCTCCGTTGCTGTCGTTTTGGGGAGAGACGGAGCCTGGGTTCCCTTCACTGGCAGAATCCGGAGCAGTCGAAACGCCAGGATCTTGAGGATCAGCGCCGTTCGCTTTCGACCCTTCGGCTGGCCCTGACCCTACGTTGCCGCCATTATAATGAGGTGTAGAGCCCGAATTACCTCCATTCCCTACGCCCCTACGCTGGGAGAATCAGAAGTGCCGGGGTTCGGAGGATCTGGTTGATTGCCTTTCGCAGCTGAAGCCTGTTGTGACCCTGAATCACCGTCTTGCTTTCCTTTTTTTGTAGAGACTGGATCGCCTCCACTTGCAGCGCCGAGATCTTGAGAATTCGTTTCACCTGGATGACTCGGAGGTTGAGAAACCTGCCCAACATCTGCTACATTTGCCGTGCTGAGAGCGCCAGTCCCGACGGCCTATCGGAGGGTTGCTGAAGGTTCAGGCTCAGCTTGAGTCACAGACGGGGGAGTTGGTGTCGGAACAGGATTTCTAGTCTTGTTCAGCGCTCGGGGAGGGTCGTATCTCCGAGGAGCCGCAGGAGTGCAAGTGCTCCAAAGAGGATCGACTTTCGAGACACCGGCGGGAATAGAAAATATTGGACTACCAGCCGAGATCTTGGACGAGTCTACAGTACGCGGATCTCTGTAATCCATAGAACACGCAGCTTGCGTGACCACCTCGTGATCGGGCGGAGGGTAGTATAATTCCGTGTAATCAATCGACCTCCAATCGGTATGGTAGCATACGCCTGTTGACAGGGCGTCCGGTGGGTATCCAATCGTGACTTCGTCATAGATGGTACCTAGATTGGGCGCAGAATATGTATCGCAGTCATAGTTTGCCACCAAGGTGCTGTATTTAATATAGACTGATGGCGAAGTGCTAATTGATATTAGCATCGATTGCTGCATTCAAGGTTGGACGTTCTGGTCAACGGGGTGTTGTCCAGGCCAAGCGTCCTGATCTTACTAACAACGTATAATTATCAGACACCAGTGTATAAGGTGTCATTTGGAGATCCGAGGCGGACTCCGTAGGATCGGGCTGCCAGTAGACAAGTCGAACCTTTAAACATTTTATGAGCGTCCTTCTTTGAAAGTATGATCTTGAGCAATGAGACTGCTCGAAGAAATTTTGAGAGCCTTTTGCTGCCGGAACATGCTTTTCACTGCGCACGATGTGGTTTGAAAGTTGTTGCGTAGCGAAATAGCGAATAGTACGGCGTCGTCTTTACGAAAGATCACCGTATCTCTAGGAACGAAAGGCAAGGATTTCGGCTCACGAGAAAGATCTTGCAAACCCTGTATTGGTTCCGATATCGCTTATGACTGTCCAAATTCCAAATTTGTGGAATAGAACAAGGAAGTTGGCCCTGGTCTGTGCTTTAGACTTTTGTTCCCTTCCTGAAAATCGTGCAATAATCTCTCCAGCTCGGATTTACTTATAGAGCCCTGCGGTTCATTGGTTCCTTGATCGAGAGCGAGGTCCAAGAATACACCAGTGCATCTCTTCAGTCGGACGGCCTAAGTGGAACAACCAACGTTCCTTCATTCGATGATGATCTCGTCTTGATGACGGGAGTCTGCTCAGTGCAGGGTCGAGAAGCATGAGAAACGTTCCGCAAGACTTTTGGTGGCCTCTAACATGGGTTGGAAGGCGATATGATGCCCTTCAACTTCGTACTCCCGTCCGCACCACTGCTTGGGAACGGAAAGCGCGATAGTGCGCGATAGTGCGCGAAAGACGCTTCCAAGGACGCTTCCAAGGACGTATATGGCCATCACTAAAGTCGCCGTGAGAGTACACGGCCACGGGCCTGGGCTAGCAGGCAAGAGTGAGGCATGTGGAAGTAAGCTCGGAAAAAGTCACTACACCTCACCCCTACGGAGACCACTGGGCCGAAGAGGGTCACGATTGCGGTTGGTAATTCACGGGCCATTAATACCTTGCTGTGCTGTGGTGTCCAATGAACGGAAGCGGCAACGATTTCGGGTTTCAGTTTGACACCAAGTCAAACACCTGCCACACAAACGCATCCTACTCATGTACAACAAGGTCTCTGATCGGCCAGTATCACAAACATGTTGTGCTTCCTTCTCAGTTCTATCACGTCATCAAGGGAAAGATCCCTGGTGGCCCACGATAAAGAAAAGATGGACTCGAAGTCCAGCAATGATTCTTAGCCCTAAGTCTCGCTATTTTAGGCTAGCTTCTCGCCAGAGTAGAGACCTTGGAGCTCATCGATTAATGACACAAATGAAAGCCATACTCACATTCGTAAAAAGTCGTATTGTGCTCGCGTGCCGGTCGAAAGCTCACGGTCAAGTTGATCCAAACCGCGGCAAGCGGACGGCAATCAGTCCCTGAAGCACGCAGGCGAGGCTGAGCTGAATCCTGCAACACAACCCTCCCCCCCCCCCGGGGATCGCTACTGGGCAGTATCCCTTCAAACAACATTTCCCACACACGCATAAAAGATGAAAGGCTCTCTTATCGTGAAAGAATACAACGGTAGGATCTCACGTCTTCCACGTCTCAAACCCGTTGCACGTCATTGTTGCGATCCTATCATTCCTGTTTCAGTCGGCCGTGTGCCGTTTCAAAGCAGGGTGGCTGAGCGCAATGTCCGGTTTCGATGGATCAATTGACTCCAATCGATGAGGCGGGACAGTTTTGCGCCATACAGACGGTGTTGCATGTTGGGCAAAGAATAGGTATGACGTGGTTTCGTGTTGGGTATCTGGTATCTTTTGTCTACATAAACCCTCTTCATACTGCCCCATATGCTTCCCTTCCATTCCAATACACTTCCCAGTACAAGACCATGCGAAGACACCCCGTCATCATACACCAATCCCCTCAAAACCATCCGAGCCACCACTCTTCTGTCAACACCAGCACAATGGAGCGCCGCCCTACATACGAAGCCATCAAGGCCGATCCCTCTACATTGACCCCGAGGAACCGTACCACCTCTAACGCTTCCTCTTCGTCATCTTCTTCTTCGTCCTCCTCCTCGTCGACGTCGCTCTCTCGCCGCAAGCTCATTCGTGACCGCTACAAGCGACCATGGCAGCTCATGTCGGTGATCACGCTCCATCAAGAGGACATGCCTGTGGGTAGGAGTGGGGGAATGAAGAGTCCATATCCAACGCCGGGACGGAGGAACTATGACAGGGTTTGAGGGATCTGGGTCGATGTGGATCGTGAGCTGATACGAGTGTGTTGTTTTTGGCGCAACGATGTGGTTGGCGAAAGAAGAGCCACCTGATGTCTTAGGCCAGGAGCCAAGACATCTTTCATCTTGTCACATGCTTGTGGTTAGGCTTAGATACCCTCCTTTGGCGTTCTCTAAGAAGTGGTGTGAGAGCAATCTCTGTGGGTATTCTAGATGTGACATGATCATGGAAAATGACAGCACAATACTATCGTTAATGAAGATGATGTCACCCGCGCCCGACTGTCCAAAGGTCATGGGAGCGCGTGAATCGTACTGTCTGTTGGAGTATGATTTCCCACAACCCTTCGCTCCGGATCCGGATCTGCCTTCCAGCTGAAAATCCGCGGTGCACTCCGAGGGATACCCCTGGTGGCACTCGATCCATTGCTGCTCTTCGAGCCTCGAGTTTTCCCATCGTCACTAACGACTGGCGTGCCACGCTTGACTCTTTGCCCGCCCCAACTCTCTTTGGAATCGTACCATGCTTCTCGTCTTGCGATTGTAGAGAGAGATGAAAACCCAGGACTCGCTTCTCTGGGTGTAATTGGACTGACGATGAAAATCGGAGAAACATCTTTACTAGATCTTTTACTCGGAGTGTTGCTTGGGCTGCTGATCCCTGCGGTAGTCTGCGTATTTTGCCGACTCAAGCTATGCAAATCCTTAATGAGCTTGACCGGAGCAGAAGCTGAGTCCGAGATTCGAATCTTTGAGGCTGTCTCAGGCTCATAGTAGCCTCGAGCACTCGAACAGTAAGGCAGCTCAACTGGTTCATCTGGATCGTGGCCGATGGCATTGATCGCGTTTCCAGTACTCCGGTAATCAGCTTCAGTATATACTGGAGTGTCAGGCTCACTTCCTTCAAGTTCGCTCTTGGCTGTCTTCGCCGGCAGCTCCATACATTCCCGGCCGGTCGGAGCCTCAAAGGCGAATCTATCAGATCCGCCGATCTCTGTTGGTGTTTCGGGTTTGGGTAGACGGAAGAGCCATCTGAGGAACCTACTGTTTGAGGTCTTCTTTTTGGGCTGGTCTTCGTCTTCCTTCTCTCTAAAGTAGTCATGAGTTTTGTCACCCCGTCGAGAACGGATACAGAGTACGATCAGACAAATCAAAGAGACGAGAGCTATGGCACCACCAGCAGCCACGCCGGCTATCCCAGGTTTGCTTAAGATCGGCTTCGGAGGTACAACTTCTGGTCCTTCGAATGTACTATTCGGGGGTCTGGTAATAGAGATCAAGTCTGTGTCTGCTAAAGCGTTAGGGGAAAATGTTGCTTGAAAGATCGAGAAATTGTTGCGCTCGTAATCAACTTTGAGATAGGTTTCTTGTAAGAAAGTCCTTCCAATGGTATATTGTGTGTTGTTCGCAGCTTTTCGAAGCGGAAAGTAGTTTGTGGGAGGTGAAGACTGGTTGGCGTTCAGGCCAGGATACGGATAGGAAAGTTGCAAATCGAAAGCCTCATAAGGCAGAGAGAGTGATACCGAGTTCGAAGACCCTGGTAAATCCGCGACAGTGAATTGAAATGTCATATTCCAATTGACCAATACTTCATGTTGGGTAGAATTGGAGCCAAAGGTATACAATTGAACGACGTCATCGTAAGTAAGACCGAATGCTTTTTCAAATTCCAAACACACTGCTTCGGGTAACCAAAGGTACGGCGTTGAAGAGTCTATAGTGAAGAGATTTGCGTCACTAGAGCCAAGCAGTGTCAGCGAATTGCTAGGCCATGCGGCGCTGACGTTAGACGACGGAAGCGGTTGGGCGGTCACCGTGATCTCATTGAGCGCGACGACTGGGTTTTGGTTTGGGTCTAGTTCGAAAGTTGTACTGTGAGGCTCAAATCGGTTGGCATCGAACCCTCCCAGTACCAACGAAGCAGGAACACTTTTCAAGCCTAATGCGATTAGCATCCTGTCACTCTATCATCTCGGACTAACACAGAGCTTACGGTAATGCGCGCCGGCTGTATAGCCATAACTATGACTTGGAATCAAGCTCATAGTTTCCACCATATTGTCGAGAAAAGTTGGCTTGTCGGCAGAGGTAAAATTAGTTGGTTCGACTCCAAGACCAAAGAAACCAAGCCAGTAGTCCGTGGAATTGATGACGCCGACCACCTGCGAGGGTACTGAGATGTCGTTGCTTAGAGATATGTTATCAAACCCGTAAATTCCATTTCCACTGAAGCCAAGCTGGGGATCAAGACCTAGCACAAATGGTCCTTGATCGGCCCAGGTGCTGGATTCGTTGGATTGGAAGACGCCACCTCGTTTGGTCCGACATTCAGTAGTACCGTCGCAGCCTCCATTCCCAACGACCCATGTCTCCTGGCTAGCGGTACTGACAAAAAGGTCGACCCACTGTGGTGGTGTCCCTACTCTGACCGACACAGGACTCCAATTGCCATCGTATCCAAACCAGTCGGTCCTTACTGGTATTGACACAGGAGAGGGTCTTGGTGCAGCCGTGATGAGAGCAACAGCATTACAGCATATGGTTGTCAGTACTATGGGAAGCAAGCTGTTGCTGCCCCACTTCGTCATCGCAGCGATTTCTGAATGCCAGTACAGCGATTGTGATGCTCCTCAACATGAATCTGCGGCTGGTGTGGAAGTCGAAGGAAAAGATGAGAGGATGAGGTCGAGCAAGGTGTCAGACATTGGACCAGGCATAGGGATTATCGTTTCACGCAAAAGGATAAAGCAGTAATAGCAGGAATCTGTGCAATCGATACACATACCCGGAGACGCGTAAGAATAAGGAGAAGGCGGGAAAGAAGCAGATGACCAAGAGGTAAATTTGATAAGATCTCGATACTGCGCGTACTGTACCCTCCACGTCGGAACTAGACACGTAATAAAGGGGCTTGCAGCATGCCCAATGCACGGATGGTCGACAAGATTTTACGCTGGGGGGATGCATCATGCATGCTCCCCCAGAGACCAAAAGGCCAGCAAAACCAGGGTTTGAAGAGTCCGCCCCACAGCTGCACAGCCAACAGGACCGGTACTGACGAATGAGCGCTGTCTTCCGAAGTTTCGTCACACAAGCTCATGATTCCTGGTTGAGATAGGCTATGGCGTGTGTACCTGAAGGACCGTCGCTTGTTCGCCTGTAAAAGCCGTTTGAAGATTCCGAGAAGCAGACCTGTGATTTGTCCAAATCTTTAACGCTAATGCCCTTTGAGCCTTATAGGGCTGGCCGCAAATAGAATCACCCGCAACTTTTCTCCTTCTCCACCACTTTACAGGAAATCCTCTAAGCGCAGAGGCACTGTTGGACCAGGAGTCTGCCTTGAAAGTATTCAGCGGACCAGTCAGATCGAGAGTCGGCAGGGACAGTGAAGACTCCAAGCCTCAAAGACGTGGCCCGAAACCTGACCCCGGGGTCGTATTCGAAGACCGGAGACCGTCGATGGCCTGCTTAATAGACTGGTGCTTACTTTCAAAAGTGAATGATGAGACTACTGGCGTCAAAAGAATGGCATCAAAGCATTTCTATTGGACAAGCCGCTTAGCCTTGAGGCTGACGGCTCGCCTCAGCCTCACGCCCCATCAGCACTATCGACATCGCTTCGGCGTTGTAACCTCATTCGCGCTCTTCCAAACTGAAACTTACCTCCATAATTCTCCTAATCTTTCTCCTTGGCGAAATTCACTCAACTGCTTCGTGCATGTGGTAGGAAGAAGCGTATAGTTACGAGGCGCAGAGCACGAAGCTGGACGGCAATGCCGAGTGTACCAACAAACGAGCTGAGTCCTCATCGACGAAAAGGGCCGAAATGCTGGGCCCACGTGATGATGATATTCACAAGTTGAGATAGTGCCCTGACAGCATCGGGAGATAATATACATATGCGAGTATGGCGCCGGGCGGGGAAGCCAGATCCTTTAATTCTCCTCATGGCCCGAGAACCTCTTTTACGCGCATCTGTCAAAGCTTCCGTATCACTCTTCACCAGCTGTCGTTCAGTCCAAATCATCTGATTCTCCATTCATCAAACTGTCTGTCGTTACCATAGACACACTATCTTGTGTGATTCTCTTAGCCTTTAATCTTCTTTGATCGCCATCTTTTTGGGATGACTTTTACGCGTCCGCTCAGGGCTCCTATTGCAAATGATGGCATTGCGCCAGCTGCTCGGCGTTACTTGCCTTGCACTTCGTCTTCTAATATCTTCTGTTGGCGTACATGGAATTACAGACCATTCCCGAGGTGAGACTACTTTGAATATATTTCTGGAGATACTGACCGATCTAGAACTTCACAGCAAGCCCCAGGATCCTTCTTGGAACTCCACAGGTGATACAAGTCCAGCCATCAGTGCCGCTGCAACGTCGTCGAGGCTAAGCACCCCTTCTTCCGAAGGAATTGTGGCTCCTCAGACGACTCCATCAAGCATTCAACCACTAAAAGCTGGTGCTGTCTTGTTGCAGCGTCCTAGGCCTTTTCAGCGTTTTCGGCCTTATCAAAAATTTCCCCCTGGGGACCACGCAATCCTTTCTGCGAATACTTTACTTTCAAGCTCGAGGGATACTTTAACACCAACTGGGGCAGGTTCCTTGTTCTCTACCGATAGATCTGTTTACATTTTAGGCGCGACTCGCGGAAGCTCGACCGCATCACGAAGTATATCAGCGTTAACGTCGGCTTATACTGACGGTTTTCGAGTCGTACGGCCGTCCGATGGCACAGCAGGTCATGTTCCGGCGAGCGCGCGCAACGCATCCTCGACTCCGGCAGGGTATCCACAAGGTCCAATTGCAAGTCTTCCACCCGCAAGCTCCGCCATTCGAACAATGACTTCAGGCTCTGCACTTAGTGGTAGCAAGAATGCATCGGCAAGCTTGAAATCTGTCGCTGCAGCATCAGGAACAGGGGAAAGTCCAAGGCTCGTAGAAGTTCTGGATTCAATCAAGAACAGAACCGAAAGCAGGACCAGATTGCATCCTTGGCTCGGACCAAGACCGCTTGATGTTGGGCCAATTCATTTGCCTCTTTGGAGCTTGAGGATTGGAACGTACGCCACCGCTGGAGGGCAAATACAAATGCCACCTTTAGCAACGGCTACAGGCAGCGATAGAATCTCATCAACCGAATTTAACTTGGCACCCTCGGGAAAGGGAGAAAGCTCGGCGCTAAGAAATTATCTCAACTCTATGAACAATAATAGGACCGAAGGCAGGAATTCAGAAAGAATAAAGTTGTATAGACCTTCAGAAGGCCAATACCCCACAAATTGTTCAGGTCTTGTCACCAGTACTGCACATATTGTGTACGAGACTGTCACTTCCACAATACTGGTCAATGAGACCTTAACGCTAGGTCCAAACGCTACGACACCGCTTCCTGTGTTTATTACTCCACCTCCAGCTTGCCAGACTATCACCGCGCCGTGCGAAGGGCCAGATTGCCCTTCGAGTGGGACTCAGCCCATCTTCCCTCCCATCATTGGCCCTCCTATCCCCAAGAAACCACTGCCACAACCTCCTATTGTGTTGACACCATACACGCCACTTACAATTACAAGTACGCTTCTTGTCACCAAAAAATCGCCTGCCATTGTGCAACAACTGTCTACGGTTGGAAACTTGTTCGGGCCCTCAACGCCAACTCCCCAAGCTATAGCGGCTCAGCCAATTCCGGATGGCCACCAAGCTACGGGACAAAATTCTGGATCCTCCAGCCCTGATATGTCTTCACAATCAGACGATTCGAGCCCGTCAGAGTCTGATAGCGACAGCCAGTCTCCTGACAAATCCATGCCCCAGCAAAATCCCACAAACGGCGAATCTCCGTCCGCATCTTCCCATAGCCGGAACTCGGGTTCGCAAAAGCCGGGCGTAGGATCCAGTGGGGGCCAGTCTACTGGAAGCACTGATCAGATAGCCTCGAATGGGATTCAGCCGAATGGAGGAGCTTCGAACAATGGAGGTGCTTCGAACAATGGAGGTGCTTCGAACAATGGAGGTGCTTCGAACAAAGGAGCTAATCCGAACTATGGAGCTAATTCGAACCATGGAGGTATGTTCAGCAACGGAGATGCTTCGGGCAATGGGGATGCTTCGAGTAAGGGAGGTACCTCAAACAGTGGGAGCACGAATAGCGGAGGAGGTGTTTCGAGCAATGGAAAGCTTGCGAATAATGGAGGTGCTTCGATTAATGGAGATTCTCCGAGCGTTGGAGACGGTTCGAGCAGTGAAGGAGGTTCCTCAAATGCTGAAGGTACCTCGAGCAATGGAGCTGCATCGAACAATGGAGAAGGCTCGAGTAATAGAGATGGTCCCGAGCCGGAAGACGAAAGCAGTGCTGACTCACACGGAATCCAATACGTCCCCAGTATCGTTATGGCTGGCAATTTGCCGGTCTCTATCGCTAGCAACGTGGTAGTTGTCGGCTCTCATACGGTCAACGCTGGATCCCCGCCGACTACCGTCGTTGTCGGTGGTCAAACGATAGCTATTCAGCCGTCTCAAATCGTGGCACAAGGAAAGACAATTCCCATACAAGCGGCAGTCACCCCTCCGCCTGCGAGTTCTGCGACAATAGGTAATGTGCCTGTTGTGCTGCGGCCTCAAGATGTTGCAATTGGCTCTAAAACATTTGAGCACGGTTCAACGCCGACATCGGTCGTTTATAACAGTCAAACATACAGCTGGGATGCTAGCCACTTAGTGGGGGCGGGCGCAACGGTCGCTTTTCCATCCGTGGATTCCTCTGCTCCCCGCGTGACCGCTGGGGGTCAGGTGTTCTCTGTGTTCCCCTCCCAGCTCAAAGTATCGGGAAGATACATACCTCTACCCAATACTGCAAATGCTTCTCCTTTCGTGTACAAAGGCCAGACTTTCGCGGTCAATCCCTCACAAATTATCGCTCCTGACATAAGTATCATACTACCTCCGGCCGGAAAGGTAACACCGTTCGTCTACATTGACCACAGTCTTTCTGTGGATGCGTCACAATTCATGGCCCGATCGACGACCATACCCTTATCTTCTGGATCCGGAATTGTTACCTACAATGGGCAGGTCCTTACTATCAAGCCGTCCGAGATCATTGGCCCTAGTACGACCATTGCACTTTCAGCGCTAGACGATAGTGGTGCATCGCCCACGGCTGTCACTACTGGAGGTCTCACATTCTCAATAGGACCTTCGGCTGCAGTGATTGGATCTTCAACCTACTCTTTCGTTCCTGGGAAGGCTCCCGCAACTATAATGACCCATGGTGAAGCAGTCCTCGTGGGGTCAAATGGCGTACAATTCGGGAATCTTCATGTTCCAATACCTACAATTACCTCTAGCTTTTCAGCCATCACTCAAGGAGATCTGACCTTTTCAGTCGCTCCATCAGAGGTGGTCATTGGTGGTCATACTAATAATATCCAGTCTGACATGACCCCAATCACTACAATTGTCGATGGTCACACAATCAGCATCGGCCCCAAGGGCGTGGGCCTTGCCAGTACTACCATTTCTCTCCCAACGCCCAAGCCAAGCTTTTCAATGGCCACCGAGGGTGATCTAACATTTTCTGTCGCTCCTTCAGAAGTAGTGCTCAGAGGCAAAACATATTCTATTGCATCAAACAAGGCACCCATTACGACAGCCATCGATGGCCAGATAATGACCATTGGGCCCAAAAGCATCCACATCGAAGGCACCACCGTCAATTTGCCGGTCATCCAAACTTCAAACAGTGTAACAGCCGCCGGTCTCACTTTTGCAGTCGGAGCCACAGACGCAGTCATCAGCGGCACTACCTATGCCATCGGAAGCGGAGCACCACTTCAAACAGTCGTGGTGGGTTCCCAAACTATAGAGATAGGAAGCGCTGGGGTCATGCTTCCCTCTACCACAATAGCCCCTGAGCAGACACAGATTGCCGTAACAGCGGATGGCTTGACGTTCTCAGTGGGCTCTACCAAGGCAGTGATCAATGGTACAACCTACGCCATTGGAAGCGGTGCTATGGCTAAGACCATAGTAGAAGGGTCAATAACGATGATACTAGGAACGGATGGTGTCGCATTGCCATCGACGACGATCAGACCTTGGTCGAGCGCCGCGCAAACAGGCTTCTCCTCTGTTCTCAGGACATCTGGCGCCTCGTCTGCTGCCACTGCAACTGGACCTTTGACACCAATAGTCAGAGGTAAGGAAGGCGACAGGACGCATGCAGCAGGAATCTCGATGAGAGTTCCCAATAGCAGCACACTTCTGGGTCTCGTACTTGGAATGTTGATGCTAGGCCTGAGGTTGATTTAAAATTGTGTTTTGAAAAAGACGAGGCTGGCTACCCTGGATCTGATAGGAAACTGTACATAGATAGCAAGACCGATAACAATGAATACTTGGCCTGGTTATGATTGACAAACCTCACCACCTTATGTTCCCAATGCTTGCAGGTTACGCTACATGGAAGACCGTACTACGGTATTGCATATCATAAGAGAAAGCACTCTTGGCAGTTTTTGTGAGTGTAAGCATCAAATTTGCGTCACAATATCCTTTTGCTTCCAAACAACAACGCGTTCTCCCCATCGACTAAAGCTTTCGACTGACCAAGACCTGGCTCAGTCCTTCTGATCATCCTATCACGCCATCAACCTTTATATGCAACCAGAGCCCAACGAGACTTCCCAGAATATTTCGTTGCCGCAAAGCTCCCAAGAGAACACCCGAGACAGCCAACATGGATTCCATGATTCAGATGTGCACCCTTCCCCCCAGCTTCGTGCTGGAGAAGGGAGGGCAAAACCGCGGCGTTCCGCCAGCAATACGAGCCCCTCAGCATCTTCTGCTGGAAGCTCTGACGATGCACGGGAAAGACCATTGCGGAGATTGAGCCCGCCCTCGAGGCAGAAGAGCGGGTCACCTGTTGACCGCATCATCGAACATGAGAAGGATTTGACTTATTTGCCAAAAAAGAGGGCTGAAGAGCGTACTTTCACTGTCGTTCAGAGAGGCAAGAATCTTGGCTCTGCTCAAGTTGCGATTGGAGATTTTCCCAATGGTCCGCACTCCACATTTGCTTTATTGCGACAATGGCTGATATTGCAACAGAGGTCTTGACTCATATACTCTCTCATCTCCCTCCGTCCTCATTGTCAGAGGTCTCCCTTGTATCACGGCGGTTCCATCAATTGGTGACGACACCCCACGCCTGGAGGATAGCTTTCTCGCGCTTCTTCCCTGGAGCAGAGGCACTGAGTGCATTGGACACCAATTCGGAGCTGTCGGAAGATAGTGAGATACGTTCGGAAAGACGGTTCTTTACCCGGTTGACAGCTCTTGCATCATGGCGCAGCGAATACATCTTGCGCACCCGGCTACTTCGATCGATAGGCCGTGGCAAACCCACGGAATCCTTGACGCCAGCTGGTTCTGGATCCTCGCGACCTGGTACAGGCAGCAACGGCAGCGCTCACGTTACCTACAATTCTGATCTGGTCACGCTTGTTGACCACCTACATGCTACGTTTGGGACTGGGTTCAATAAAAGACTACCTCGCTTCATACATGGAGCCACTGAAGTCGGCATGGCTTCTTCTAGCGACCCCAGAACCAGCAAAGTCGATGCATGGGGCTTCTCGGATTCTCTCATTACTCAGCAATTTGAGGATGTCCATCCTGGCGAAGCTCCCTATGGTCTTGGCGCTGGTGAAGTGATTGGCCTGCCAAATACCATGGATATAAGTCAACCGTACGGAATGATTTATGCAGAGGGAATGCCTGGTGGCAGGGTCTACTACAGATCTATGGAAGAAAAGCGAGGCCGTGACTTGGCCTCCCCATTGGACAATTCGATACCAGAGCTTGGCATCCCGGCCACTCTGCCAACCGAATCTATGTGCTCAGTCTGGATTAGTAAAACACCCAATGTACCGGATCTGTCCGAAGGGATTGTTGGCATGTTAGTAGGTTCTTCAAGCGGCCTAGTCTCTGCGTATTCCTTGGGAACGAACCCTCTGCGTGAAAGACGGCTTGAACGTGGCGAATTGACCGCTCGTTGGGTGCTAAGCCCAGGAGTACCCATCATTGCTATCGCGGTCGACGAGAACTTTTCTTCAAAACGCCGATTGCTCAATCACATCTGGGCTTTTGCACTCAATGCGCTTGGGGAGGTGTTCTTCCTTAGCGATTTTCCTGTTCGTCCTAACTTGGATCGCGCACTGAAACTTGACAAAGCACGAATTGAGCGACTGGCATGGCAGACCGGACGCACAGTCCACTGGACGCTGGTAGAAGCAACGAGGCGTATTGCTAGGCCCGATCCTTTCGATAGATCCGAAGTCGATGGTAGCTATTCACCGAGGACCTCTTGGGATGGAACATGTCTTAGCAAAGAACAACTTGCCGCTGAAACTAAGGAGATTGACGTTTTTCTCCGGAAGAAGCCAAAGAACTTTCGTAAAATTTGCGAAGGTTGGGACATGCGCAGGCGTCTGGAGGTTGACTTCGCAGCAAGTGATGAGAATGGAGCCGGTGAGGTTATTCTTGTGATAGGCTGCGGTTTAGACGAGGGACAGCAAGCCATGATCAAGCGATATACACGCTGCAAAGTAACAGAATCCTCGGACGAAGATCTGGCCGGTCAAGGCCCTTCGATGCCTATTGCACAAGGCGATGCCAGCCACGGTTCAATATTCGGCGACCACAATCTTTTGATCAACGGGCAACCTACCTGGTCTTTCGAAGACAGAGCTCTCTCGCGGCGCAGTTCTACGAGTCCATCAGACTCCGAGCTAAGGACACGTTTGATTGAAGAATGGCGCACATCAGTGTTTCTACTTGGGGGCCTAAAGTCACCCCAAATAACCACGACAGCTATTGACTTGTCTAACTTCGCCTTGCTGACGATCACGGAGGATCCGCTACTCAGCGTGAGTGGGTCTTTGGCCGGTTCATCTCCACCGTCGTCTCCTATGGGAAGGATGTTATCACACTCATTGACCGATGTTCCCGGCCAACGTGCGCGACTATTTGCCATAGGTACAAAGACTGGAACCATCGTTCTTTGGAATGCACGAGCTCCTGTCGCTAGCAATACCATCTTGGAGAACAATATCAAGCCCATACGGATCATTTACACAGACTCTCCGCAGATCTCCTGCCTGGCCCTAAGTTCCCTCTACCTCGTGCATGGCGGGAACGACGGTCTGGTACAGGCATGGGATCCTCTCGCTTCAACCACGGATCCCATTCGTACGCTCAACTCTCGATTCTCTTCCCGTGCACGACGTCGCCTCGTCCAAGCTGAAGCATCTCCCGCTGGCGTCGGAATCAACCTCTTTGCGGCAGGGGCCATCTGTTTGGATCCCGACCCAACTATCCTCCGCGGCATGGTCTCACTCGGCTCGCACCTACGCTACTGGAGCTACAGCTCTCAAGCAGCGGACCAGTACAAGGGTAACAAACGCCGCCTCCGCCGTTCAGAACGTGGCAGCAACCAAGGCGGTGACCGCTTTTACGGCACCGGCAGAGGAGCGCTCAAGGATTACATCGCTAATGAAAAGCTAGAGCTCGAGCGTGAGAAGCGAGAAAAGCGCGAAGAAGAAAAAAGGCTTGCTGGCAGATTCGGGGTAGATCTTTTGGGACCTGGCGCTAGTGAGGATGAGATCCTGGCTTACGCTACTATGTTGAGTGAAGAGGCCGCGCAAAGCCACGAGTTGAGGAAGAAGAGTGCGAGTGACGGCGAAAGCAGTAGTACGATAACTGAAGAGGCCGTGGCCTCGTCGGTCTCGTCGGCTGCACAGGATGATATCGACGACGATATGGCCGAAGCTATCCGCCTGAGTTTGCAGGAGAACAGCAACACGTCACCTTGCGCAATTGGCATTCCAGCCAAGTACGCCAAGGTTAAGAGGAATAAAGCATCACCTTCTGGCTCGCCTCCGAGATCTGGTGCCTTCGGTGCGTCGCCTAAAGCAAGTGAGGCGTCTAATATTCCAGCCGCTGAGCTGGACGACCTCGAGTTCGCATTGCGACTGAGCCAGGCCGAAGAGGAGAGCCGCGCACAAAGTGGGAAGGGGAAGGGAAGAGCTTTTTGAACGCAACACAGCATTCGCGCTACCGTTTCATTCTTCCATTCAGCATAAGAGAAGCGTTTCGAGCTTGTTTGATAGATCCATCCCTTTAATGATCACTATTTGTCACTCCTTAGCAGCTAACCTGCCACTTCCTATGTCCAAACATGCATGCATTTCTTTTCGCTTTCATAAATGGTATCATAGCTTCATAGCCTCATAGCCTCATAGCTTCCTCATTTCGAAATGAAACACTCGACATGCGCCAAGCAAATGCCTCACTTCCTCAGAACGACAGTGCCATCATCCTGTGTCATCCTGACAGCCACACTGCCATCTTCCATTCCGAAATACGCCGCGATGGGTTTCTGGCCACCAGCGATCTTCCCCCTTGCCTTGGCTTGCACTCCATTCTCTCCCACAAATAGACCGACGCTCAGAACTCCCTCAATGGCTTTAATCTCTTTCGCCAGTGCCTGTACTTCCCACTGGCCATCCTCGCCCTGGCCTTTGAGCCCCTTAACCCCCTGCTTGGCCGCTTGCTCAATGTCGGTATAGAGGAGTAAAGAGGGAAATGGCGCATCGACGATAAAGTTATCCTGATCCGTCTTTATAGGCCCAGCCTTCTGAATAAGCCCTTCCCTCAAAAACGGCGCGGAAGAGCCGAGGTTTTTCAAAGCAGAGATTACGGTCGTCACAGCCAGTGGCTCCACTTCGATAGGAATAGTAGGCCAAGTGGTCAGTAGGCGGGGTTGGAGTTTGCGGTGGTCGGCCACACAGATAAATTTCGAGGCTTGAGTCGCTACCAGCTTTTCCTGGTAGAGACAGGCACCACCGCCTTTTACGCAGTTGAGGTCCTCGTCTATTTCGTCGGCGCCGTCGAAGGCGACTTCAAGAAGGGTGTCGGCGGGTAGGGAATCGAACTTCATGTCTTTGAGGCCGGCTTTAAGTATCACCTAATTGTTGCCAGTCAGCTTCCCTACCGGTAGCGTACTATGAAGACAATTTCTAGCGTACCTGCCGCGATTGATAGCCTGTAGGAACGAAGAGGATGTCTTGTATACGGGGGTCCTTGAGCTCTTTTATGGCTTCGACAACGTAGACGATCGTGCTGCCGGATCCGATGCCGATGTAGCGAGCTTCGGCATCGAAGTGCTCTTTGACTGCAAGTTGAGCGGCGGCGCGCTTGGCGAATTCAATGGCGGAGAGTCGGGTTGCGGCGGAGGTGGACATTGGGGGAAGAGAGGCGTCGGAGACGGGCTTTGGAAAGTCCATTGCGTGTGGGAGAAGGCGAGATCTAGGTACCGAGCTGCTTCTGAGTCGATTCAGCAGGGAGCTTACGGACAATAAGCGGTAATACCACGGAACTGAGAGAAACGGAACGGTTGTACCTGAGAAGAAGGCGGGAGTGAGCGGTGATCGTTTTCAGCATCCGATGATTTCCTTCAGCTCACAATGATGCGATACATCTGCATGTAGGCATTGAGTAGTAAAGGTTAATGAGAGCTCAATGTTGTAGCAAAGTGTTGTCTGTCGTGGACTTTTTGTTTTGCCGGTGGATGACATCGCAGTATACTTACGGTAGCTACCCGGCGCTCAACACCAGCCGATCGAGTGTTGTTTCGATGCGATCAAACAGCTCTACGAATACCTCAGTGAGCTCCGAGTCTCCTCGTCAACAGGTTTCCAGAATCACCATGGCCGAGAGAGCTACTACCCCTCCAATCCTACAAGGGCCCACAGCAAAAGAGAAGAAATACGACAGGCAGCTTCGGCTGTGGGCAGCGAGCGGGCAAGCAGCCCTCGAGACCGCAAAAGTACTGCTTCTGAACTCGGGTCCTGGCGTCGTAGGAGTTGAAACCCTCAAAAATCTCATACTACCTGGTGTTGGTAGCTTTACCATCGTTGATGAGGCCAATGTGTCAGAATTGGACCTGGGCGTCAACTTCTTCCTCGAGGAGTCAAGCTTGGGCAGGTGGAGAGCTGAGGAGACCCGCAGATTTTTGCAAGAGCTCAACCCTGAAGTTAGGATAAACGCTCTTGAAGGGGTTTGACCATCAGAATCAACAAGTATTCGACGTTGTACTAACTGAGATCGACAGTCAATCGACGCCTTCGCCGATCATCCCAGGCGCCTCGAGCAGTATAGCCTTATACTGCTTGTTGGACCTACAAGAAATGCCAGGGTGCTGGACAGGATATGCCAACACGCCGACAAGTCATCAATACCTCTGTTCTACATACACTGCCAAGGCTTCTTTTCTCACTTTTCGGTACAACTACCTGCTCAGTTTCCAATCGTCGATACCCATCCAGATCCCGCTTCCACACAAGATCTACGCCTCTTGAATCCATGGCCAGAATTGCTTGAGTTCTTGGAAAAGAAGACAGGGAATCTGGGCTTATTATCAGATCACGATCACGGTCACGTACCATACCTCCTCATCTTGTTACACTTTCTCAATGTCTGGAACGCCTCACATGACAGCCAATTTCCAGCCAATTACTCCGAGAAAAAAGAATTCAAAGCGCTAGTAGAAAGTGGAGCACGAAGAAACAACTCAGAAGGCGGAGAGGAGAATTTCGACGAAGCAGCAGCCGCCGTACTGAAGAGTCTAAATCCGCACTCAATATCCAGCGGTCTCCGTGAAGTCTTTGAAGCAGACGCCTGCCAAAATCTCAGACCCACGTCCGCAAACTTCTGGATCATCGCCAACGCAATCCAAAAATTTCAAACCTCACACAACGGCATCCTCCCCCTTCCCGGCGCCCTCCCAGACATGAAAGCCCAATCTTCCGACTACATACAGCTCCAAAACATCTACAAAGCCAAAGCGCGGTCTGACCTAGCAGAAGTCACTCGGACAATCCGCAGCTCAGAGCAAGAATTAAGCAGGAGACTTTCAATCGAACAAGCTGAGATTGAGGCATTCTGCAAAGGCGCTCAATTCATCAAAGTGATTCACGGCCGCCCTATACGCGTTGCCAAATGTACTGCCGAAATCGACTGGAGTGACAGAGCAAAAGCTCTTAGCCAAGAACTTCAAAATCCAGACTCGCTGCTGCCGATCTACTTCGCTTTTCTAGCCCTCGATCGATACCAAGACGATATAGATCGGATTCGAACCCTCCGACAACCGGCCAACGACCAGCAGTTCAACGACATTCTGACAGGCCGGGTGGTATCAGGTGCAGTACCACCATTGCCAACTTTTGCCGAATCTGCACATTTCTCTACCCCTGCCGTCGATCCTGAGCATGATCCCAAGCCATGGCCACGATTCGATACTCCAGAAGCGCGGACAGCGTTTGATGATGTTGTCAAAGAGCTTGACCGTGCAGATTGGGGCGAGCTGCACAACATTGCGGCATTGACAGGTGGAATGGTGGCCCAGGAGGTCATCAAGGTGATCACGAAGCAGTACGTACCTGTAGATAATAGCTGCGTTTTCGACGGCATAGCGAGCAAGACTGCTGTTTTCAAGGTCTAAGAGGAGCTCTTAGAGCGAAGAGGGAAAGCGTTGCAAGCGGGTGGCGTCCATGAGCGGGTGTGAAATACGAATAGACGAAGCATCTGCATTGTTCCATTGCAGGCATAGCATTCTCCCAAAACTACAGAATGCTATACAGTCCACCGTATCGGTATAATTGTTTCATGGAAAAGCGATGATCGCATGACTCAATACCATCAAGGGCGACCCGGCCTCTGAGTTGGTATATGAGCCCCAGCTCCGTCAAATGCAACCAAAGCAAAGTCCACGCTATGCATGATTTCCCCTTATGATCCCGCCAGTCTCCCTTGTTCACAAAATGTGTCCAAAGTGGACGATCAGGGAACGAATAATCTCGAAAAGCCCACAACGGTCTGCCTGCAACAAACGCACGTCCCGAAATTGTTCATAGCAAGACTAACCCTACAATCTTCACACAGACTCAAGCAGCGACACGGCCAAGCAAGTACAGTCCTGGGTGCGCTCTGGCAAACCACACACTGTGGGCCTCCTGCCCCCATACCTACTGCACCATCACGCCATGTACCTGCTCCTTGATTGATAGAAGACGCGGGTTGGGCGCGTCGGGTAAGGATCAGTTGCTCAAGAAGGTACGCTTCGTCCTCTGGAGAAAGTGGCCCGGTGGCGGGGATCGAGGAATTGGTGGGACGGTAGCGGGTGGAGGTGAGGAGTTTGGCATTCGCAAAAGACTGGGCGTGGCGGTATTGCGAACGGGTTGTTATGCCTGTATTGGTAAGGTGATGAGCGAGCATGCGGGCTTCGGAGCGCTGATGGGGGGTTTTGGGGTCGAGCAATGTGGCGAGGTGGCGCGGATTGAGCTGAGAGTAGTTCTTGGATGGGTCAAGAGCGTCTAATACATTTGGATCTGAAGGCGAGAGGCTGCGAGAAAAAGGCTGTCTTTGAGTGGGTGTGCTGGCGCCTGAGCCCGCATCCGAATCGACGTCAATAAATTCGTCGTCAATGTCTCCGGGGGAAACTCCGCTAGCATTGGTGGACACAGAGACCAAGCTGGTAGTATCATCGTCCTGTGCAGGTGTTTGGTAGGAGCCACTGTCGTCTTTCTCGCCAAACCATCCACCGCTTGCCCACCAGTTGTAGACCCTCGAATCGAGTGTCTGTTCCTCTTCCTCGCCCCAGCGTTCGTTCTCGTTCTTCAGTCTTCGTTTCATTTCGTGCTCCACGTCGACGTCGTCATTCTCCGGTAGCAAGAGGACACCCTCGTCTGATAACATCCAAAAGTCGATGGTATTCTGCTGCCGGATCTGTTGCCCTTCCTCTTTATCTACTTGTAATCCTTCTTTCGCTATTGGCAGCCTGAGCCATTGTGGGCGCCAGGATATCCTCGCTTTGTCCATTAATATGTTCGTAATCACTTTGTTCCAGCTTACAAAAAGCCAGAAGATACCACGAAAAAACTTCGCAGCCATCAAATATCGCCCTCCTCTCTGCATATGGCCTACTCCATCCCCTCTCTGTCTCATATTTGCAAATCCTGATCCGAGTTTGTCTGCTGTGAAGCTCACTACTCTATCGTAGCCACTCGTCCAGCGTTCCGTAGAATGTTCGTCTGCAGCGACTGGTTTCGCGAAATGGACAGACACGCCTTCCACTGGATCGTGCGATGGTTCAAAGGCTTCTATTTCCTTCAACCTCTCCTCTTCCAACCACGTTGATGTAGCGACGTTGATGCGCCGACCCTCATTGAGATACACTGCTTCACTCGCGACGGTCAAAGCGGTGAAACCTACCTTGAGCAACGCCGTATAGAAGTCCTCGGTCACATCCAAGCGAACGCTGGAGAGCTGGGCATTGGCCTGCATGTTCTCGCGGGCCATCCGGAACCTCTCCGCCAGCGTTCTAGGCGGTGGTTCATCGTTTGGTGGAGAGAAAAAACAAAGGAGTAATGCAAGTGAGTAGATGGAGGCACATAGCAGTATTCCGACGAGAATTAAGAGATGGGGAATAAAGCCGACGATGCAGACAGTAGGAAAGCGTAGGATGATAGATTCTGGCCCCGACTCCGGTCTCAAGCTGAAGAAACCCCATCCGAACGCACTCATGAAACATATACCCCAAATACCGGTGTTTAAGAGTCGGAATCTGGCCTGCATGTTCAAGACTCCTAGGATCTGGCTGCTAAGGTTGTTGAGACTTGAGATCAACACCATAAGCAGGACTTCTGGTGGCGTATTCATCTTGTCCAGTATCTCGCTTCTGGTGAAGAGCTTACCCACAGGATCCGGCTGTGAAGAGTTCGAATTCGCCTTACTAGCTTTATGTGCTGACCATAAAGAGAGCCCGAGTTGATTGCTGATCATAGCTTCTGATTCTGCAAAAGCCAATGAATGCTCGAAGATTGACATGCCAGTCTCGGTCATGAGCTGTCTTCCTTGAACTGCACACGAAAGAGTTTCCACAAATTGACCAAGACACAAGGACTGGAAGAAAGGCCACAGCAGGGATAAGGAGCCGCTTCGGTCCCAAACTTCAGACCGCGATGGAATCATGTCCACTGCCAAGCAGGAGCTGGCATCATTTTCCCAGAATAGGAGCATGGAGCTGATCCAGTGAATGATGCCTCCATCTCCCGAAAAATCCAGGTCCAGGTGTTTGTCGGCCTTACCGTACCTCAAGGAGGAGTACTTCGGAGATGTCTGGCAACGCATCGCTTGTAGGAGGCTGAGGGTATGGGAGAGGAACATGATAATAGGCAGGATACGTATAGCAAGTCGTATTGGCCATGACAAGCTGATGTGACGGCGTGCCGAGGCATAGATCTGTGTCCGATTGAGGATGATGGCCTGTCGCTTGTTAGAAAGATTGCAATATGGCAAAGCAGTAGCCCGCACATGGTGTAGACTGACCAGCGTGAAACATGCCAGAGCCCACTTGCTCGTCATATACGCGAATATACCGCCAATGTTTCTAACCTGGTGGAAGCTGAACGGGCTGGCTTGCGGGGGTGCTTCTGTCGCTGCTGCGCCAGCTGCTGATGGAAGAGCAGCGATAGGGGAAGAGTCGGAAGAGAAGGCTGTAGATATCATCTTCATACTTCCATTGCCTGTGGCTTCTGCAATCATGCTTCCGCCGCCCCTAAGGCCAATTATGCTGTCTAGTCGTTCTGGTACGGTGACAAAAGCAAAGGATCCAGCCCTAGCCATAATTCGAGGGAAAGCCATGACAAGATCGTTGGAGAAAAGGCTCATCAAGGAGGTATTGTTGGATACTGAAGACATATTGTGATCGACGAGTGAAGTAAGTGAGAAAGCCAATCCCCGAGGTCTACGGCTTCCTCGTTGTCAACTCTATGTTGGGGCCACGAATGCTCGTTCCCTCAAAGGTTGCGGGGCTGATTACCGTCAGTCTGGTATGAACACGGCGAGAGAAGTCTCCATTGCCTCCAATCAAGCGTTACCGAAGGTTTGTGAATGGCTTCAATGCAGTTGAAGAATGTCGGTCCGACATGTTGACTGAGACTCTCTTGTCTTGGCGCTACATGACGCACAGCCGAGGTTGAACGGATCGCTGACAAGTAGCTAAATCAGAGGCAAGTTCAGGTTTGACAATGGATTGCTCTATGTGATCTATATCAAGATGTATACAAGGCCACGGCGTATATGACTATACTCCCCAAACCTCGTCCCAGCCACTCTGATATCCTTCTAGCGGTCCTGGGAACCTTCCAAACCTGGCTGCATTTCCTGTGCCAGCCTCAGGCAGGCTCATCCATTGTCTCACCACACCTGGAACCTCCTCTTTGATATGACTAACGCATATCAATGCCTGATCCTTGATCAGTCCCTCAAACATTATCTCACTCAGCAGCTGCGGCGGGGTATCATACACGAATCGTTTCTCGACATATGCTCTCCTGTTAACACGAGCCCCGAACGATTTGGTCTCGCCCCATGTCAGAAAGAGCATGCACTTATCACGCACATGATCGTCCATGCCGCTGAATGCCTCATCTAGAACGACAAGATCTGGCTTCTTGATGATGGCACGTAAGAAGAGCGCTACTCGTTGCGCAGAAAACGGAGCATCGCCAAAGCGAATATTGTCTGCCCAGTCTATGCTATTTGGGAAACCCTTATCTGACTTCCATAATCTGGTCACGAAACTAGTGGTTAGAGGAGTGAAGGCGGGATTCAATTCGGCTTCAAACCACCGCAAACATGTGTCCACGGCGACGTCGATCTCGTAGTTTAAGCGTGGTGTCCCAAGGAAAGTGTCTGCCCAGGCATTTTCCAGTGTCTGGCGTATGGAAAGATTGCGAGGAAAGAAGGCGTGGATCTCTGGAGAAGACTGGCCTATGCGGGATTGGATGTCAAAAATGGATATGCCAGGCAATCCTGGTTGTGGCAGACGACCTCGTCCAAAGACCTTGATTGGTAAAGAATAAGCTTGAGGGTGATCAGAGCAAATCAAAGAGACAAGTGTGGTCTTCCCGGATCCTAGTATCAGTGAGCTCACATGTAGTACCTTCGTAGACTACCAAGCACATACCATTTGGACCAAAGACACCCCAGCGTTCTCCACGTCTGACGGTCCACGACAGCCCCTTTTCTGTTCGATCTCCAATCTCCTGTTGCCAGCTGCCCAAAACTTCTTTGTCGCCATACCTCACACGGACACCTTGCATTTCCACAAGAGCTTCATTGACTGAAACGTGGATATCTGCATCAACCAATGGAATGCCTTCGCGACTTTCAATTGGCTTCGATGGATGAGATGAGGAGTTCGCTCGTGGCAGGTTTCGAATACGCTCGTTTTGATAAGCCTTTGTGAGCCCTCTCTGTGGAATCACATTTCCCGGAACATCAACTCGCGCTAAAGAGGCATTCCCTGTAGAAGTCAGTCACGGCAATTGTTCCCCCCCCCCCACCCGCCCCCCACGTGGCCCAGATATTACTGCATCGGAAGCACAGATCCTCTAGAATGATGAAGTCCTAGAAACACATACCAATCAACCTCTTCATGACTGCTTTTGCTTGTGTAGTCCCAAGACCCACAAGATCCTTTCTACCTTGGTAGATGATTTGGAAGTTAGGGCCCAAATGGATGACATGAGTTATCCAATCTGGTAGTGGATCTTGTGGCCTTAAAGCCAATATTAGTCGTGGTGAGCTGGCCCGGGCAAGTCTGTGTAACAAGGTTGATAATGTTGTCATGGTTGGTGGATCTAGACCCACTGCACATTACGCATTAGCATCTTTAGCGGCAGTGCACAAAGATTCGTCATCATACTGAATGGTTCGTCCAAGAGCAGAACCATTGGTTTTCCAAGTAAAGCCCTGGCAATTCTAGTCCGTCTTGTCTGACCGTTGCTGAGGTTCCCGATTGGCATATTGACTAGAGCCTCAAGTTTTAAGTCGCTTATGACTTTTTCAAGGCTATGATCATTTATGTCTTTCCCTTCCTGCTCTTCTGACGGGTTGAGATCCGTGTTGCCTCTAAGAAAGTCCATCACAGAAAAGTCGGTGGCTTCCCTTCGGCTCTCATATCTAGCACTCAAGTAGGCGCCTCTTGTCCCAGAATTCCCCACACCGCCCCTCTCGCCGTTGAAACCGACATATTGTATTGCACGTGGAACGTTTCTATACCGAGAATCTTCTATTTCCACTTCTTCTGTCGACAGGTACGGGTAAGACCGGGCTGTTGGAGGGATGCACAAATGCTGCCCCCGGATAATATTGAAGAACGTTGTCTTTCCGGCATTGGATGGCCCGAGGACTGCCCAATGCTGTTGCTTTGCGTCTCCCACAGCGTTTGAGGGAAGTGACCAAGTCAGTCCAGGGAACATCGCATGATTTGACACCGCATTCTGATCCGTTGCGGAAGGGTATTTTCTATAGAAAGTGCCGTTCTCAATCCGAATTATTGGCGGGCTCTTTACAATGGTGGAGCGCCGTGATGGTTTGAATGGGGATGAAAGTTTTGAGAGTGGTGGAAATCTTCTCATCTCCAGTTTGTGTCCATAGTGCGTTACAGACTTAGGAGTGGTTTGGGATCAAAATTTTGTTGCAGGGATAAGTTTGGCCTCGGCAGCGGCCCGACTTGGCTTGGCATTCGAGAAATTTCTTTGGGTTTTCCTACAACAAATGTCAACAGCTTCACAAATCAACATTAGTACTCCAAAGCTGAATTGAAACGTTTCCATATTTGTAGCAAAAGCTCCAATTTCATCAAGATGGCAAGTCGCGGCAGTACGCGTCCCTCAGCCGATGTGAGAAAGCTAATTCCTGCTCAGACGACAGCACTCAAGTCGATCAAATCGCTCGCCCCTCTCCTCGACCGTATACTCGTTCAAAGAATCAAGGCGGAGACCAAGACAGCCAGCGGCATTTATCTACCCGAGAGTAGCGTGAAGGAACTCAACGAGGCAAGAGTTCTAGCTGTCGGTCCTGGGGGTCTTGACAAGGAGGGCAAGAGAGTCACACCGAGTGTTACGCCAGGAGACAAGGTTCTGATACCACAAGTATGCTACAAAATGCGGGTTGAGCTTTCCAGAAAGAAATTGGCTAACGCTTAATGTGCAGTATGGCGGCAGCCCAGTTAAGGTTGGAGAGGAGGAGTACTCGCTTTTCAGAGACCATGAGTAAGGCATTACCATATTCCGAAGCGAAAGGCAATTGCTAATTCCTTATAGACTGCTCGCCAAGATCAATGAATAAATGTATGAGCAGCAGATGCATCTCCATGTACCATATGTACATTTACCATATTTGAGCGTTGCGGAGGAGTCATGTCCCGTTGCATCCTGGAAGCGTTGCATATACAATGTGATCATTGGAAGTAATCAATATCACTCCACTCTCCTAATACGTGCCATTGTCCAAAACAATCTACGTGACTAGCCTTGACCTTTGGAGAGGCCGTTCACAAGGCGCCAATCAATACGCAAAGTACATACGTCATTAAGATCTCAAGCACAATATGGGCTTGAAGATCCTCTCATTGCAACAACATCGCTGCCCGAAGATCCAAAAGATATTGAATGACAAAAAAAACATTCGCTTCACGTGACCATTAGTAATCATGTCTTGGCAACAGGTTGAAGGGGGACAGAGCGCCAGCAACATCGACCAACAGTAAGACGATCCTGCTAAGTACAGCAAAGTTTTAACATCTAGTCCGGTAGAGCTCGCAAGCTTGCACTTTCGCCTTCTTCCACCATCACAATGGCATCCTCATCATCCTCCACTCCGCTCCTCTAGTACGCCTCCCCTCCCTTCCTCGCCGCACTACTAATGCGATCACCATCACAGCTCCTGTATCGCCTACCGTACAACGATCCTAACCGAGCACACTACCTCCGCATCCTCCGGTACCTCGTCGCTCGCCTCTCTCATCCTCCCCAAGATCGACCACTCCAAACCGCAAAAGCTGACCTACACCCACAACCAAAACTTCATCCACTACATTGCCGATGCTCCCTCGGACTATCCTTCGTCCGATCCCACAGCCGGCGGCCTCACATACTTGGTCGTCGCTTCCTCCAGTTTCGGCCGCCGCATACCCTTCGGTTATCTAGTAGAAATAAAGAAGCAATTTCTTGCCCGCTATGATCCCGATTCGACGGATTTTGCCAGCTTACCGCCATACGGAGCGGCAGATTTCAACGCGCAGTTGAAGAAATTGATGGTGGCGTATGGGACTACAGAAGGAGGCAAGCAGGATGCGATTACAAACACGCAGCAGGAAATCAACGACGTAAAGGGTATCATGACACAGAACATCGAGAGGGTACTGGAGAGAGGGGAGAGGATCGACTTGCTGGTCGATAAGACCGATAGGCTTGGCGTCGGGGCGCGCGATTTCAGGGTTAGATCGAGAGGCTTGAAGAGGAGGATGTGGTGGAAGAATGTCAAATTGATGGTGCTTTTGGGTGTGGTGGTGGTGTTCTTATTATATCTGTTCATTGGTTTTGGATGTGGATTGCCTGGTAAGCGGATACTCAATGACGCTATCAGAGAAAGTTGCTGACAGACTGCTAGGCTGGTCGAGATGCGTGGGCTCAAAATCGAAGAACAACTAATCGCAAAGGTTCGAGCAATCAACAGCGGGCGTTTTTGGGATCATGGATGGCCAAGGATGTACTATCAGGGGTTCTGAGGATCAGCCTATCTCTACGCGTGAGCCTATGAACCAGGCAAATTCCCTTTGATTCCGGCATGCATTACCCCCCATATGCAGTACCAATTAAAGAAGACGCCCTGCGCAAAGTTATTAATACGAGTAAATCCGCCATTGGCTCTCCCCGGTCCAGAATCCAACCGTGGCCAGTTCTCCAACACGGTCCTCAAAGGCATTGAAGCGCAAAATCACAGAGCAGTCCGAGCGCAATCCCTGCGAGTTTCCCCCCCCTCCCAACACGATCTACTCGCTCGCTTCCTGTTGCAGAGCTACGCCTCACCCTCCACCCGCCCTTATCGCCCGCCGCATGCACCTCAGGATTCCTGCGGTGCGTCGTTAGCCTGTCGCACGATAAGCAAAGCTGCGTAAACCACTCCCAGAGCGTCAAAAGGTGAATCGTTAGTGGCCTTTCCCTCGTGATGTATTGCCAGTTAGATAACTAGACGGTGGGGCTGGCTTCTATATAATAGATAGAAGGTCGTGTCCCCAGGGGTCCTGTCGGAATCTGCGGTCTCGGTTATTCGAGTAATGATCAGTAATGGTATTAATGTTGTGAGAAGAAGAAGAAGAAGAAGAAGGCATAATGACACCGCCCCAGTTGCAATTGCCCACGATAAAGGTCTTGGATATTGAAATTCTAACGGATTGGGACTTTGAGAATGTCAAGGCCTTTGGGGATAGTATTCCCGGCTTCCGGTCCAGCTCGAGTGAGTAGCTCATACGCTCTCGACCTCTTAAATGAATCATTATCATTAACGAGCACCAGCTTTCCTGACAACCCTCCGTTCTAATCTCCACCTCGCTTCCGACCTCTCTCCTCTGAACAGCCTCGTCTCTACACCCACTACCCCAGCATTCGCCATCAGCCACCTCCCGCAACCTTCTTCCCTCTCAATCACCACCACTCCCTCCAAAAATTCCCTATTGAAACTTGACCCCAAACCGGAGCCGATCCTCTCGACAGCCCTCGCCCTACCCGGAGCCCCAGAGGACCGCAGTGCAGCTCTACGTCTTATTGCAGACTCGGTGGTGCAGCAGAGGCAATTAGCTGCCAAAGAGCTAGTGTTGCACCCGGCTACATTGGCTGTCACTGTGCTTGTAATTGCGGTTCTGGCACAGTTCTGCGAGTGGAGGCCTCTGTTCACTGCGGCCGCTGGACTCACGGTCGCTGCCTTAGCTGCAATATACTGGATCACGATCGATTACGCAACACTGGCTGAGAGGATCAATTGGGATTGGCTGGGTGGTTACACCCCTCCTTCGACTCCTACTGGTGAACGTGGCAGTGGTCTGAAAAAACAATCCAAATGCGACGATCCTGTTGTATTAGTGTCCAAATGGGGTGAGGAGGTTATCGGCGCGTTAATAATGAAGGTGGTAAAGAGGGAGAGGAAGGCGTATGTGAGAGCGTGGACCGTGGACGCAAGTTGTAGAGGCAAGGGGATTGGAGTTGGCTTGTTAGAGGAAGGCGTGAGGGTTGCGTGGGGAAAGGGAGCGAGGGCTTTCGAATTTGAGAGAGGCCATGCTAGTAAGTTCAATCCACTCTGATGAATACTCATATGATCTGCTTTGGTGAAACACAGTCAGCCTTTTGAAAGCCACGCTGACTCGTCCGTTCCGCAGATTCCCACCGTGTGCTTCCACCATTGTTTAATGGCGGCTTCGAGAAGAGAGATGCAACTGCGAGAGTAGTGCTGGCCGATGTTGTCAAGGAGATTAGACGGGAGAGAAGCAGTAGATGACTTACGAATGATACCCTCTTAGTATTATTGCCTTGACATGAAATGTTCCTCACCATTGTACTTTCAAGTGTTACATTGCCATCCTTGGCATTGATCTTGCGCGAGACATTCCTCACATCGCTGCCCTCATATTCGCTTTCGAAACCATTGGGCTTGCTAGATCACATCACAAGCTAATTACCCATATGACCCTACCGGGACAGGCACTTGGCTCATATAACGCCTGCTAATGTAGACGCCACATACTCAATGTGAGAATTTTTCCAGTCAAAATACCTTCCCATAGCCGTAAATCATGCTTGTCGTAAATCCAACCGGAGCTAATACTTCGGATCGAAGCCTGTGCTTGTTAGCTTCGGCCGTACGGTTCACTGAAGAACACTTACCGTAGATAGGGCGGCCTTGCTATGCGAGGAGAGAGTATTAAAGTCAGTAGCGCTCGCGAGAAACATGCTGTGGCCGAATTTTGCAATAATTGCAGCAGATGAAGCATGAAGGCTTACCCTCTTGAGAGCGAATATCACCTGGACCAGATTTTTTTAGTAACCTCAACCTAAGGGAGCGAGCTAAGAAGATCGGACATACATCTCTCACAGTCACAGCTGTGTGGGAGGATATAACGTTAGCTGAGATTCCGAAATGTTTATCGAAAGCACCACCGCTCACTCTGGCGCTTGGAATGATCCAGATAGATCACGCATTCTTGTAGGATCTAGCAACTTATATTAGTTCACGCGATCTCAACCCTCGGAAGACGAAAACATACAGTCTTCAAGCGATCCACCATTGCTTGGCGTGTCTCGTCGTATACAGTCCCTGAAATCCGCTTGATGCCTCCTCTCCGTGCTAGACGACTGCGAGGGGCTATCAGCACGCTTCTGTAGAACCACAGAGAAGAGAATGCATACCGAATGTCCCCTTTCGCTATGAGAGTAATACCCGTCAGCCACAAGCCATTCAACAGGACCAAATCGCAACTCACTTATGCCACGGATCGAGTCCCTGACCACCTTCCTAGAAAGCGCGTCAATACCAGTCTCGATTTGTGTGACTGGCGGATAGACAATGTGGATGTTGACCATAGGCCCGCACAGTAGAATACGGCCGACGTGCTTCGCGGGTGGGTCCTTCCTTTGCATCCCTCACTCACCTGTGCCTCTTCATCCCACCTTTCCCTAGTCCCTTCCCTCCAAGCCCATGTTTCTCTTTGCCTCCACCAATCACGCCTTTTCCACCGAGCATCGGACGTGCGCGATGGGTCTGACTGGCCGAGGGTGTGGGAGTCGGCGTCGGAGTATCACGAACAGGACCTTGCGGCTGGACCCCGACCGAAGGAAGGAAACGACCAAGACTTAGAGGCATTTTGTCTAATACTGGCAAGCGTCAACTATGGGTACTTGCAAGCAAAGATCTAAGGAGCCAGGGACGATTAAGCGAAGGCGGTGGTGGGAGCTGGTAGCTGGTTGATTGATCGCGGGGTGTGATTCGATGCGCCAAGATTAGAGTAAACATGGCGTCTCCAACGCGATTATTTCCGGGGGATGCCAAGTGCCAACATCGATTTTATGAGTTGCAAAACCAACGAGATTGCTTGGCAAAATTGATTGCGCGCCATCTCTATTTTTTTAGTAGCCAGCCCCACCAAAATTTGATGAGAACCTACTCAAATCACTGCAATCATCAACCATCACCCCTTAATCTATATTTGAAGCTCTAGTATAGCGAAGACCAGTTGTTCGGCCGTCACCTGACTCGCAAACGCTTGCCATGCAACGCGGAGTTCCTCACTTTATAGATTTATTCGTTGACTCTTCTTACGAGTTATTCTAGCTTTACTTAAGACTCTCGAAATGGTCAACTTATGGACCGCGATATCCCACTCCTCTTTCAGAAAACGTGCTAATTCCTTCTGATAGAGCTACGGTTTCTGACGCTAATACTCAAGTAGGGCCTTTAGAGTAGTCGATAAGAGGCTACGAGGTCGCCCAGGTATATATAAATTACGAGGAATCACTGTGTCGCCGTAGATCTCAAAATTACGCTTTTATCGGTACCCCGTTACGTAACTCGAACGGGCGTCTTTAGCTACTGCATTAGGTCGTTAATAAGACTCAAGGAGTAGTCTGGCTCGCTGGCGAATGTGTATTTCTTTGGGTGGTATCGCGTATCAGCGGAGGGAGGGAGGGAGGGAGGGACTATAGCGTGTTCCTATACGATTAGCTATGGACACCTAGATCAGTCAAAAATATCAAAAAAAAGAGTGTATACTCACTGGCCTATGCCCTAAAATTATCCGATTGGGAAGTAAGACGAACTGAGAGGTAGAGACTGGTGCAGTTGTTGAGAAGTACGATCTCTACAAATTTTGGTGGGGCTGGCTACCAAAAAAATAGAGATGGCGCGCAATCAATTTTGCCAAGCAATCTCGTTGGTTTTGCAACTCATAATTCCTTCGACCAACAATCTCTTACGAGTCGTAACAATCGTGGGAAACACACTTTCGCCCGCTCTTTAAGAACGGAAGTATGAGGGTGCACTAATCGTGCCACGCACTCAGCTCGCTGATAGCGACCCATTACAATTATGTCTATTGTCTCCAATGAACAAGTCTGCTGTTGTCTGCAACTTGGCGATCGGCACCGAACCTCAGTGCGACGCCAGTCTGCAGTTCCGGAGAGTCGAATTAGGTATCATGCATTCAAATCTGTCCATGAACATGGAATCAAAGGCAAGTAGGCACGAAGTGCATTGGATTTGCTTCGGCTTGCTATGTACTTAGGCAATGTCACACGAGTCCCAGCAAGTTGCTTTGCAGACCTTGAAATTGGGCCGGAATGCCAAAAGTCTGTGCATCCGAGACACCCGCAAGATCATTTGACTCAAACTCTCAAGACCATCGAGGGTTCTGATCAATACGTTGTCATGAATCCTAGACTGGAGGTGCGTGCTGAAGCTGCCCCTCGATAGAGGTGCCGATGTCAGGATGAGAGGCTCTCATGGGCAGACTCGGCGAGATTGAAGCATTCAACTATAGGGTACACGGCAGCTGTAGAGCTTTTCGAGGTCAAAACATATAGGAACCTCCCTTGGCGATATTATTATCGTAGAACATCGGAGCCTGTCCCTTAGCTCTCTATTGTATTGTATCGCATGGACGGACACTTTCGAGTATCAAGTGATCTCTCCAGTCCTAGTGCCAACCCGTCTACAGGTCCTACGAGGGTACCGGCATACAAAAGGAAGCGAAGCGAAGCGAAGCTTGCGCCTTGGAGTCTTCATCCTTTTCTATCATGCATTCACCCTGTGCTGACACGAGATCTTTATAATGATGAGAGTGTCGGACATGTTTTGCTTGACTACTTAGTCTATGGCATACATCCTAGCCACACCGTTTCCGCAAGGCTTGGACAGTTCGAGAATGGCAAAGAGACTGCATAATTTTGGTCATACACATCGTGAATCATCGAACACGGTTTGATATAAAGAACGAGCTGGCCAGCCAGTCGTTACATCAAATCTCTTGAATCTTCCCAACCTCAGAGATGAAGTCCGCGACTACGAAAGATGTGTCCGTGCTGTCGCATGTGCCAGCGCTTGCGCTTTGTGGTTCCAGAGCAGTTGCCGAATTGAGACTGACACCCCGAGCCACAGTAATTCTCAGCCGTACCGCAGTATCTAGTAAATTCATCAGCGCTGACCGTTGTGAATAGCAGGTATGGCGACTGACCCATGAGAAGAACAACACATCCCTGTCTTGCAGGTCCCACCGCCATTGCTACCACAAGTGTCAATAGACCCGTCAGCCGTAGACATGCTGGATCCGTTGCTGTCAGTACCCGCAGGTGCAGGCATAGCAGTCGTTGCAGAATCGTATGCCTCCATTGAGACAGTGGAGGAAGCTTCTATGGGTGCTGAATTAGAGATAGCCATGGGGCCACTCGCAGCAACGACCGCTGCCAAGTCGAGTTTCGGCAGGGGTGCGGGCATGAAGCTGGAAATAGAGGGCGGTCCGTTGTAATTACCTGCACCGCAACCGTTGCGAATCTGTGTGCAGAAATTTTCCCAATTGAAGCAATTCTTGCTACCCGTGGGTCCGGCAGAGTTGTAGCAATCGGTAGCCTGGACAGAGCAATTCTGGGATGCCTGTAGACGAAGTCAGCAAGCTAAATGATTTTCGATGAACATGGTAGACAAAGAGACTCACAGCGTAACAGCCAGTTTCATTAGTGTAGGAAGAAGGTATGAAGCCACACCAATTGACATTTTCCATCACACATGCGTCTGGCTTGAGGCCAATCGTCTGGACCATCGCACGAGCTTCGAGATCACGCTTGGAGCTACCAGCTGTATACAGAGGTGGACCGAAATCAGGAAATGGTAGCTTCATGGGCTGGTCGTAAATGTTGAAGGTCATGGCTGGCGTGCTCATATTGATGTATCCAGGAATTGAAACGGTATTGAGAGGGTCCGCGGAACCGCTGGACGACAGGAAGATCTGCGCGCAGCCAACGTAAAATTGGGGATCGGCTGGTGTCTTGTCTGCTTGTTGCAAAGCCAGAAGTTCTGGACGAACAAGGTAGTAACCGCCGGCGAGATCATGGGGGATAGTAGCAGCGAGATGCCCGTCATTAGGGATGAGCTTTTCAGTGCACCACTTGCCAGCGGTGCTATCGTAGCCGTCTTCCATGATTTTGAACCAGCCATCTCCGGCGGCATTGTTGGAAGCAGCGGAGTTGTCGACTTTCTTCATATAGACCGCGCACGGACCTTTGTGACTAGGATCAATAGATCCTGGCTGAGAAGCATCGGGCCAATCGCGCCATTCGAACGCGAGAGTATCGCCTGCGTTGACGCTGGCGACACGAGACACGCCAGTCTCGCCATTGACACCTGACAAATTGTCAGCTTCGCGGTTTGTAGCTCGAACGACGGTCAAATGGTGGGGGATGATTTGTAGCCCACATTAATGTACCACCAGGAAGCATAGAAATTTGGCAGGGAAACAAGAGCAAATGTAGACTTACCACAGGCCATATCAGGGCTAGTAACGCTGCTGAGCGGAAAGGTCGCCTGCTGGATGTTATTGCTCATGCGGACAGCAGTGCCATCACCCTGGTCAACCCCATCGACGAAGAAGTTAGTGAAAGCGGTATGAGCGCGAGCAAGTTGAGCAGCTCCAGCTACGAGGATGACAATCTTGACGTGTGAGACGAGCATGTTGCTAATGTTGAGGCCGGTGTTGTGTTTTCGAAATGGGAAACAGCTCGATCAACGAGCCGCAGAAGATGAGAGAATGATCTGGAAGAAGAAGGCAAGTTTAATTTCAATGAGTGTACTGAGATGATGACCTGAAGAATGATGAAAAAATCTTTGATGAATGTAAGGAAAAACTTGACGTGAATGGAGGAGGTTGTTATGAAGATAAGTTACTCAAAATAGTTATTGTTGACTCTTGGCGCTAGCGTAGGGGCGACCACCACGGATAAGTGCATGAATTCGTATACTTCCAGGACACAGGCAAAGGCTGTGATAGATTGTGGATAATACGGTCAAAGGAGTGAGAGTAGGCAGTCAAAAGAGTGAGTCAAGAGAAATGCTAGTTGTTTCTCCGAAGCGCCATCTCAGAGGGATGCGAAGCGCAGTATCAAGGAGAAGTTCATGGCTAGTTGTCCTCTTTAAACAACCACTGCTCCGCATTGGACTTATAAGTATTAAGGAGATCATGCGAGTGGAGCCGGCCATGATCCTGCGGGGAGATTTAGCCCTGTTGAAGGACTCGTACATGTAAATCATGTTCCATTAAAATCCAAGGCAAAGGTGATCCAGCCCCTTGCCATCCACAGACCAGCTACGATGGTTTTCAGCCCAGTATGTGGGTTAAGGGCGTTGCGTGTCTCAATACTAGACTGACCAATGCCTCGATGAAACGAAGAGAGCTTTGAAACAGGGCGCCAAATCCGCGAAATTGTTTGGCCCTTACCTCACCCGAGGCTTCCAAATGCATTTCCTCGGTGAACATGGTGGCAAGTCCTGTTCCTCCATCCCCCATGACAGAGCTTATGTAGAGCGAAATGAGCAGCGGATTCTCCTTAACGAGTACGTTGGAGGAGCGAGGGTTTCCCTCTTGCCCGTGAGATGTCAGTCAGATAAGGTTCCAGGGCGGAAAAACGTACTCCCGTACTTACTCGCATCTGCCTTACACCCGCGAGCCCGGATATTCAATCTTAAATTTTCAAAAACAATAATGTAGACTTCATTTTCTTGCAATGAACATGCTCAAATTGCCAATCTATTCGTAGCCTTGGATCAGCTCAGACAATGCTGATCTCATGCGGCTCATCGATTGCTTAGCATACAGCGCTAATCGAAACGTTATGGCAAGAAGAGCTGCTGTTTCCCACTCCCACGCGCTCGAACGTTGGCTCGCGCACGTAGTGAATGCATCAAATAGTCAGACAGCTGATCGATGTAGATTGCCTGCCTTCTGACCACCAGCCTGTCTGTCCTGATGACTACATTGTTTATATTCAGCGCTACTTGTCGCAGTGGATGCCCCATCGAAAAGTAATAAACGGGAAGGCGGTGTTGAGTGAATGAAAGGAGCCAGGGATTGAAGTGTTCCCTACTCTATCCGGCCGCATGGCTGATTGTCATGCTAACAGGTCAGATTCAGGCGTATTGGTGGTAAAAAATAACACGTTTCGATGGTTATCGAGACGCCTTGCAACCATTTGTGGTGGATACAGTGCCTTTGATCGAGAGCGCACAGGAATCTGCCCAGACAAATCTCCTGGTGGAAGCCGCTAATGCACTGATGTTGGACGTGGACTATGGGTAGGTTCCTTGCTTCGTTCAAACGTTTCAGGCTTTCAAATGTCCAAAAAATTAAAAATCGTTCAATTAGTTAGGGATTGTGACACAGAAACTCTGCCCAATTCAAGGGAACCGAATTCGCTCACCGTGCCACGAAGCTGGCGATGCGTCGACAATCCTTGATCTACACAGCTCCTGATATCGGGTTTCTTACCGTTACTGACAATCTTAACAGGACCTACCAATACGTAACCTCATCAAACACAGGGATCGACGGTGTCATTACCGGCCTTACCCTGAATCCCTTCAAGATAAAGGAGATAATAGGTGTGTTGAAAAGCCTACACGACTCGGGTAGGCGCGGGACCCCTACCTACAGAACAGCTCAACGAGCACGGGGATAGACTTCAGTTTATTGGCAGAGAACTCGGGGTAACAACCAGGGCTGGCTGGATCTAGTCATCGTGAAATATTCTACGGCAGCGAACCACTACACCGCTTTGAATCTCACAAAAGTCGACATCATGGACGACTTTCCAGAGATACAAATAGCCACCGCATATCAGCTAAACGGCCAGATTCTCGACTCCTTCCCAGCAGACTTGCAAAAACTAGCAAGGGCACAGGTCCAGTATACGACCTGAACGGGATGGCAAAAACCCGCAACAGGCACCAGAACTTGCTATGATTTGCCCAAGAACGCGAGAGCGCATGTGGAGTTCATTGAGAAGTTCGTCGGCGTGAAGGTCAAGTACATAGGTACGGGACCGGCGAGGGAGGACATGATTATGAGAACATGATTGTATTCTACCATAGACTTGGGGTTAGATGCCCATAAACTGCACGATGCCTGCAATGCGTTTTTTACAACCTAGGCCATTCCCGATAGTATTGACCCGTGCTTTTGGGGTATTCTGCAGACTGTGCACTTGGGGCTGCGGTCCTCGACCCTTTGCTACCCCCTGAGCCGCCGTTTCTACGGAAGTGCTTCTTCTCTCCCTCCACCAAAGCCTCGAACCCTCCGGCAAGTCAGAACTATTTCAGGCTCTACCTCAATTTCTCAACCTTTGGTCTCCCCTTCCTGTCCACCCTCTCATCCGCTGGGTCAAAGCCTCCATTGCCCCAAGTCGCCCATTCTGGAGTTGGTGGGCCCATGTAGTCCTCAGGACTGAAGTCCTTCCCACTCTCCAGACATTCAAAGAACTTCTCGTAATCAATGATTGTATGCCACTTCTCTTCAACATAGAACCTCTTGCTGGCAACGAGCACGCAGCAACTATGCGCATGCTCAGCTGCAATGCCATACTCTAACCCTCGGCGTTCCAGAGCAACGTTGAGAACTTCAACGAAGGTAGTGATCTCGTCGTAGAAAGGAACATTTTGCATCGTCAGTCCTGCGCCCGCGGAGGATGAGTTTCCACAGTAGGTTACGCCCTTGATCTCAACGAAGCAAGGGAGTCCAAGGGCAACAAGGTCAGCGTAGCCCTCGACTTCATCGTCAATATTGAAGCCTTTCACGAGGGTCAGACGGAAGACGGTGCGCATTCTAAACCGCTTCTCACGTAGAATATCAAGACAACGTAGGAGGCGTTGCCAGTAGTCTCGATGTAGGGGGCGGTCTATCTTCCGCAACGACTCGGCGTTGCTGGCGTCTATGGACACGTAGAGCTGCGTAACGGATTTGAGAGTAGCTAGTTGATCTGGGTGCTGCGCATTGCAGACTAGGAAGCTGGATATATGTTCTCTGTGCAGCATCGCAACGAATTCGTTGATGTGAGGGTAGAAAATGGGTTCGCCGACCAAACTTAATGCACAGTGCCTAATTTTCATGGCCTCCTGGAATCTCTCAGCTCTCACCCCTGGCACACCCCTCATCATCTTGATCTTCTTGTAATGGCCCTCCTTTGCCCCGTCGAAGATCATCTCCGGCGGATCAACTTGCCAGCGCCAAGTCGTACCTACAGGATTCGTGCCGTGGCGCCAACAGAAGACGCATTTGTTAGAACATGAAAGAGAGGGAGTGGTTTCCATGCAAAGATGTGATTTGATGCCGTAGAAGGAGAACTTGTAGCAGGAGCCTCGGCCACGGAGGGCAGATTTAGTCCAACGGCAGATTTTGACACCGGAGTGTGTGCCAATGATTGTGTAGCCTTGTTTGGTGAGGGCTGCGTGAGTAGGTGAGGAGACGGGAACCATAGCTTTGGGAGCTTGAGGAGTAGTGGATGTGAGGGAGGAGGTAGTGAAGTCGATAGGCAAGGGAGAACGAAATTCCGAGGCATCGCCCGACTTGCCTCCTAGGTCTTCAAGGTCATCGACGGGTGAATTTTTTTGTTGTCGTTTCCGCTTGGCCGGTCTCCGAGCTTCTACTTTGAGAACCGTTCCCGGCTCTGCGGCCTCGTCCGCATCCTCCTCCTCGCTTTCCACAGCGTCTCCGCTCCCAGCGACACCTTCACCTAGACCTCCATTAGCAGCTATGTCCAGCAGTGCCTTTACCACCCCGTCTCTCCATTCGCCCAGTCTCCGCTCTGAATCTGATTTTACATCTCCCAACCCCAATGGATACGCTCTTTTCCTTCCAGTTAACTTTGCCATCCATTTGTCCACCTCAATTGCTTGCGAGCAAAAGCCTTCTTTCTCCGTGCTCCATCCTTCCTTGTCTCCGAAGCCAAAGACCGAGTACCCTGCAAGGCCAGAAAGTGGCGCCGTGTCTATCCGGAAGTCATTGTGGGTTTCCTGAAGATGGGCCAAGAAAGTGTCTAAGGTGGTATCGATGTTGTATGAGGGTAGTATTAGAAGGTAGAAGTATTGAACATGCTGATCAATCTGGTGAGACTTGGGAGGTGTGACATAGAAATCATCGTAGTCAATGTAGGATAGATCATGAATCTGAGGCTCCAGTACTGTAGATGAGTGGTCTTTCAGTAAGGTATGTAGTTCTTTTAGCAATGCTAGAGCACGAATTTCCGTCGTCCCCGTCAAAGACGAAAAGAAGACCAATGGCTGAATCCTCCGATGTGCGGAGCTTTCAGACTTAGGCTTCCTATCCCCTTTGGAGCCTGTCACTCTTTTCGGGCCGGGTCGTGGTCGCACAGAGACATTGGGAAATTGCATTGCAACATTTTCATCTGGTTCTGCTTTCTCAGATCGCTCATCTTCACGTTCTGCTAGTATTGTGGACTTTGACTTCTCATTCAGCCAGCCCAACTTTTCCACTGTACCATATTCTGGAGTATTCGCGGCGGGTGAGGACGTTAATCGTTCCCTTCGAAGCCTATTGTCGAAGTGCAAAAATACGGCTAGGCCTAACAGGACTGCGGCGAGCAGCAAGAGATATCTGTACTCATGCCATTGATCAAGGATGAATGCTATTCCATATGTAAGATGCATCTGATCAGCGAGTAAGGCTATCCACATACCATATATCAGGATGCCTCGATCTTTGGAGCCAGAAGCTGGCCTACCGAAGACCTCCATTATCGCAACGTGCAACGTAGAGAGAAAAGAAGCTCCGGCGAAAAGTATAGTGGGCTGGGAGGGGCACGCGGAAATGATCCCTCATAGGGCTGACTGCTTGCCCGATACGCCGATCACGCGGTTCTTCATTGTTTACTGTTTCTCCCTTCACCGTCGTGGAGCCATACCTGGTTCTATGGGCAGCGAGAATATCTCATCCAGTATACTGAGCTCAAAGCATCCGCCATGGGCTCCTATGAGATAGACCAACCCGTCAGCGGTGCTTGCGTCGACCTTTCCTCCCCAAACATCTTCAACTTCATCCTCTCCATGTAGGTATATTTCCCGCTCCCAGACCTTTACCTATCCAGTAACGGTCCCATAAGTCTCATCCTCCTTGGTATTCTTGTGTCATATCTCCCGCAACATCATCGCATCATCTCCCGCCGATCTTCTACAGGCATCTCACCGTACTTCGTGCTCCTAGGCACCACATCCGGCACCTGTGCCTTTGCCAATATCTTGACTCTCCCTGCCAGTCGCCGAGATCTTGCATGCTGCCGAGAGCTAAGTGGCTTTGAATGTGTGGCGGGAGCCTTGGGTATAGCGCAGGTCGGGGTGCAGTGGAGTTGTTTCATGGTCATGTGAGGGTCCTCTCGTCATCTCGGTCTTTGACCATGGTCTCGATGGCTGATGACAGCATAGACTATTCCTCTTCCTCCTATTCTTCCCGCGCACACCCTCGGACGCCAAGTCCAAAGATGAGCCCACCTACCGTCTCGCCATCACAGTCTTCCTAACCTCCATAGTCCACCTGGTCCTCACCTTCCTAGTGTCCGTCATCATCATCTACCTCTACCGCTCCCGTCTCGCCTCATGGGCACATTTCCTTGGTATCTTCGGCACATGCTTGGCCGCTATACAATTCTTGCCTCAGATATGGACGACGTGGAAGCTGCAAGAGATGGGCAGTTTGAGCATACCGATGATGTGCATACAAACACCGGGAAGCTTTGTGTGGGTGGGGAGTCTAGCAGCGAGATTTGGGTGGGAGGGCTGGAGTACGTGGGGAATCTATCTTGTGACAGGGGTACTCCAGGGTTGTCTGTTGGTGATGGGGATCACCTTCGAGTTGAGAGCACGGAAGAAGGGGAAAGCTGGGCTTGGAGGCGTGGCCGGTGATTCTAATGAGCATGCTAACCAAATGAATGGAAACGGGCACGGCTATGCTGATGGCGACGAGGATCATGAACGGACGGGCTTGCTCGGGAATGAACGATAGCGCGAATTTTCTTTCTTGGACTATTACTATATTCACAATGATATCTAATTCGACCAGCGGCACAATACCAAGCGGATTCGTTCGACACTAGAGTGAAGGGCAATACAAGAGCAGATTCGACACGACCATACTCCTTGGCTCTGGGTAGCAGTGACTCATGTATTAAGCCCCTTTAATTGGAGACTTCATAAGACCACGAAACAAGGACCACGGTGGCGTGATGTGCTATCAGCAAGTCTGATATGTCAATGAGACCTTTTAGAGCTTCACGGGGAAGCATCTGACCAATTCGGTCCAAAGTCCAGTTTGACGCGCATGCGAAAAGCTCAATTGGCTGACCTTCTGCCATTACACGACGCCAAAGTGTTGGTGCAGTCCACTCAATGAGGGAAAAGCTCTGGAAAGATTGAAGAGCACCATTTCAAGGTGGAGACGCAACGAAAGGGTCTCCATTCGAGCGTTGTGAATTGAGGTCTTACTGTGCATATGCCCAGGATTGAACGGATACATAATTGGTGGAAGTGAATAGGAAGCCATGCCGTTCCGTGGTGTGCGGCGATATCGCCGATCATAGGTGGATATTCAGCTCCAGGCATTGGTAGAAGTCTTCTCGGGCGAATCTTATTCAAGTCTAATGACACTCAAATGATATGCAAGCCTGGTTCGTACCGGGCAATGCCGAGTCGTTCGAGAGAGACGCTGATATTATGATGGACCCGGTTGAATGAAAGCTGGGGAAACGCCAACGCTGCGGTCAGTGCTCGCATCGTTAATGCATAATTACAATACCCTTAAGTCTGCGGTAAACCTGCGGAAGACCCGGTAAGTGGCGGCAAGATGCTCTCAGTGTCAACCCTCGATGAAGGCGCCATTGGATCTCCTATACGTCTTGTTCTTCCAAAGGCCGCCGTGGAGGCAAGATCTGGACGCACTCCTGAAGATCCCGAGAGGATAAGTATAGTATGTATGGTTGCAATGATCAGGAGTATGGCGCGCAAGTGAAAGGGTATGTAATCATGGGCATCTGTAGCTAGCTGACCAAGGGCGGATCTTTTGTCAATATTGTACAAGGGAGTCATCACGCCAGAATGTTTGATCTTGCGTGCGAGATGATGATGGTGCTTCGCCTCCAGCGCACGGATCGCGTTATGACCGCAATTGGACTAGCCAAATATAAAGCCACCAATCACAGCATATCATTTCTTCTTTCTTGTGTTCTCTTCCGGACAACCCTCCTTCACTTTTGCTGCGAGAGGAGCTTGCTACGCTGAGCGATCAACATTGAACCAACAAAGAGGCTCTCCGAAGCTCTACTCTAGTCTCTGCGTACATCTGCAGATGCACCAATGCAGGAATGGGAATCTTGACTTGTCAATATGAATGCCAAAAGTCAGCGCGAATAATTCAGGGTTAGGTTCCATTGCCTAGCTCATGAGAAGCAACTGGACACCACGATTGCAGATCGTCGCGTGTTGTTTTACTTTTCCGCAATGTGGGGAAGAGCCTCAGTCTGACATTTCCTTTGTGACGTGCTCGCGGACGTTAATGGTGTGACGGGCTAATAAGCAAGGGAAGAGAGACGCGCAGCACAGTAATTTATCATCCCATACGAATGCCTCAAATACACGACTACATAGGCCTTCTTCTATCTTTCTCTCTCAATCATCTGTCTTCCTGTGTCAGTAACGTCCATCAATTCCGATATATTCCCTTCCACACAGTGTCTTTGTGCCTTAGCATAATCGTTCTGCATAAAATTGCGCCAAAACAAGATATCACACACCGCACTACCCTTCATTGTCAACATACGTTGTTCACAATGGCCCCATTTCTAGAAGAGCCAAGCACCCGTCCTACATATTCCGGCAAGCCCAAGATCGATGGAGGCATTTTGGATCTACCTAATAAGAAGAAACACAACATTCAATACGAACCCGGTCGGACGATTGTCGAAGGTCATGGGGAGTACGAGTATGACGACCTTCGCCCAGCATTCCCCGATGTTCATTGGGAACCCTTAACAGAGGTACCATACCATGATCGAGGTACCAAAGGTGATCCTCAATTTGGTAACCTACTTTCCGATGCCACCAATATTTTCGATTACAACCCCAAGATTGGCACCGAAATCAGTGGAATAAATCTGGCGAAGCTCACAGACGCCCAGAAGGACGACCTAGCTCGCCTCATCTCAACGCGAGGAGTGGTTTTCTTCCGTAACCAAACGGACCTTGATATTGACGCCCAACGCGAGCTTGGCCAGTATTTTGGTCAACTTCACAAGCACGCTACCACTTCTGTGCCTCGCCGAGGGGATCTAGATGATGTGCATGTGGTCTACACCGACGAGAAGTCCAAAGAGCAGCGTGCCCAATTCGCACCTACGTTCTTGTGGCATTCTGACGTAAGCAGCTTGTATCCCTAACAGCTCCTATTTTGTTGGGATATCTGACATCAATTAGGTGACTTATGAAGTACAACCGCCATCGTATACGTTGCTAAAGATGCTGACTGGCCCTCCACGCGGTGGAGGTGGTGACACACTGTGGGCTTCTCAGTATGCTGTGTATGATCTTTTGTCGTCGGGTATGCAGAAATACCTCGAAGGACTTGAGGCTTTGCACTCGGCACAAATCCAAGCGGATGGGTCCATCGCTCTTGGCCGTACCGTGCGACGCGAGCCTGTCGTCACGAAGCACCCGCTAGTTCGTACCCACCCCGTCACTGGGTGGAAGTCTGTTTTCTTCAACCCTGGTATGTACATTTTTGGAGGAAGTCTTTCCTATTCTGGACTCATGCTCGCGCCGTGAAACATGCTCTGATTGAGAGAGAAGCATCCTCAACGACCTGTCGAGTTGTCTCATTGCTCGGGTCCTTTGCCTCGACCCACCGATGCTGACCCCGAAGATATAGGGTTCGTCACGGATATAGTTGGCATTCCCAAAGCAGAAGCCGATGCAATCATCCACTATCTGAACGAGCTGATCACCACGACTCAGGAAATTCATGTTCGATTTCAGTGGCAGAAGAATGACGTTGCCTTCTGGGACAACCGCATATGCGTGAGTAAAGCTCGCCCTTCTGTCTACACACAATAGCTGACACGCGAAAGAACCACTCGGCATCCTACGGCTTTGCCCCACACCGCAGACACGCAGTGCGTGTCGCATCTCAGGCAGAGTGCCCGTATTTTGATCCTAACAGCAAATCTCAGGAAGAGGAGATGAACGCCCGCTATGGCCTGCCGAAAGTCAACAAGGATGGGTCGGGCCGATCGAACTACAACGATTGAGCAGGTGCCAGTTCTTGAATATGAGCGATGGATTGGGAGTAGCAAATTTTGCATGCATTTGATGGCCACCTTTGTCTTGGTCGATGCGATTTAGCGCGCATGCATTATTGCATCGATACCATAGACTTCCGTGAGGTATGGATGAAGCAAGGCTAGTAGAGCTCGCACATGGTAGCATGGCTCTGATCATTGTCACGACATCTTGCTATGCGAGGGGATGTGATTAAAGCATGAAGAATTGGAGATTGGCGACCCAACTTGCGCCTCGTTACAAGTACAACCATTAAAACCTTGGCGTGATTTTGGATCCACCTACCCCAGGTTTCCCCGCATCCGATGCGTAATCTGGGTGCATCTCTGCCGCATGTACCTGGTTCCGCGCTGAGCTTTGGCCATGGTACACCATGTCACAGAATGTCGAGCCTCCAATCATCGACTATGCGCGCTTCTACGCGCTAGTGCAGAATCATCTCGAGCATGATCCTCTGCAGGCACTCACTTTACCCGAAAACCTGGGGTCGTTTGACTCGCTTCTTGACGATCCGCCTGAGCTATTCCATATCCAACTTACAAATGTCAAGGTACCCGAGGAGCGGTTGGCAATCGATGCAGGCGCAGCATCATTCCTGTCATCCATCGCCGAGTCGGTAAAGTACTCGCCATCACAGTCTGATCAAGATCTCGGCATCGAGAGACACCGAGTCCGACGCATGAAACATGAGCTACCATTGCTACGCTCAGATCATGACATCGATGTATTACGCTTCGCGGCCCCCATCGTACCGGATCTCGAAAATGAGTTCCTACCCTTCGAGACGGCCGATGTAGAAGAAGACGAGGGTCTTGAGTGGCCGTCTAGCTACGATGCATTACCGGATCAATTTGCCAAGAAATCACGCTCTGAGAAGATTGAGGCCTCGGAAGGTGACTTTCTGTATCTGCAACAGACGCTGAAATTTCGCTTTGAGGGTGTGGACCACGGAGCATTGGAGGTCGATGAGTTATCTTATAAGAGGGTCAGTCCTCTGCATCTCCCAATGTAAGAAAAGTGATAATAACACTGGACAGAGAACTATTCCAGAACCAGCATCACCTCCATTGCTACCATTGTCGCCCAGCCCTGAACCTTATGTACCCTCATCGGACACCGGCCATCTTGATTTCCTATCCGACACTACCAGTCCAACCCGAGAGGAAGCACGCGAAGTCGAACGAACGATATTTGCTGACGACAGGATTCTACCAATCAAGAAGCAAGATGACTCACCCTCGCAGAACTCAGACCCAATGTTGCTGGAGACAGAAAGCCTCGGAGATATCTACAGTCCCCTCAAAGGCATCAAAAATCCGCCCTCATCTCCCTCACCCTTTAGAGAGCGCCCGAAGGACCTCAAGGTCGAAGTGCCGCTCTCACCTTCACATTCTGAACAGCCTCCGCCATGGAAGAGGAAGAGCGTCTCGTTCAGCGAGGCATTGCCGGAGCTGATCCCCGAGCTTCCATTGCCGATAACAAAGCCGGAGGATACCTCGTCTGACGATATTGATGCATTCTTTGAGAGTATCATCAAGCCAGTGGCTGCCAAGGCTGAGCGTGCTATTGAGCAGGAGCAATTGCAAGAAGCTGATACGACACTAAGGGTCTCGGTACCTATTATGGACTTCTCTTTGCCAATTGCTCCATGGAAAGCAAAGAGCCATGGCCCAAAAGCCAACAATGAAGGCGAAGCATTGAAGAAGACTTTGACCAAGATGAAGGCGCTCCATTTCAGCAAGCATGTTTGGCCTACGAGCGGTGAAGCCGAGCGGGAGCTGAAGTGGGCACCCTTTCCGGTGGCACTTGGGAAAGTCGAAACCCAGGAGAGCATCCCTGACAACGGCTTCATCGACAAATACATAGTACCCCCAGAGCCTGTGGACATTACCACTCTGACATGGAAGCCTGATGGGCTGCGCATCTTTGATGAACTTGCCGAATCGGATGAAGAAGAGCTGGAAGAAGGAGACTTCCCAGAAGAGAAGGATATTAATTCTCTCGTCAGGAAAAGAAAGCTCGAGCTAGAAGCAGGCGATCTCGTCTCACCGCCGTCAGAAGACGTCTCACGCACTGCTAATGCTAGAACTCAAGGCAAGCAGAATGCCAATACGGCCGTCGCTAAAGCCACAGGCATCGTCAGCAAACCTACTAAAGAGACCACAAGTAAAGGAATCAACCAAGAAGTCTCTTTCACCAACAGCTTCTCCGCGATGAGTGCTTTAGAAGATTATATCAATGTCCGGAAAGGCCAGATGACTCGACGAAAGGTCACATCAGACCACCACTTCGCCAAACAATCTCAAGTCCAACAACTCTCTGAACCAGCCGATTTGCACCCGCCCAAACGCGTATCTCAAATCGCCATACCAGCACCTGCCCAGCGCGCGCCCGTCCTCGATGCTCCAACGCTGTCACTCCCTTCCTCTCCTCATTTCTTTATCGTCTCAGCCTCTTTCCTTAGGAATCGCAGCCTCTCTCGCCAGGTACAACGCGTCTACCCGTCCGCCGAGTTTATCGAGCGAGATTTCATGCTCCACCAACAAGGTCAATTCGAACAAAGACCCCAATCGAAAGTACACACAACAAGCATGAATTTTGGAACCATGGCTGACGAAGCAGACGTGCTGCTCTCGCCTAGCACAGGCCTCATCTGGACCTCCCTGCAAAAGATCAAGCAACTCGCCTTACCAGGCCAAATAAACAGATCGGCCGTTCGAGAACGCGTTTCCCGAACCAGCCTACGTTACGAGAGGCTACTTGTTCTCGTCAGCCAAAATCAAAACACAGCCCCTTCATCCGACAGAACCAACATCGATATCCAACCCCTGGACGACAAAGATTGTACCGCCCTGGCCGAATTCACAGCTTTCTGCTCCACTCTCCCAGACGAAGTCCAAAGCATCTTCATAGCAGGCGGCGAAGAGGACCTAGCAAAATGGATCGTCGCCGCAATGGTCAAGCACGGCCTGAACACTGACCAGGAATTCAAGCTGCTACAAGACGAGACACTGTGGGAAGTCTTCCTGAGGCGAGCAGGCATGAACGCTTTTGCCGCTCAAGCTATTTTAGCGACGCTCAAGGCGCCGGGTCGAAATGAAATCGACGCCGCAGGGACGCACGGGACTGCGTTTGGGCTGACGGCTTTCGCCAAGATGTCGGTCCAGGAGAGATTCGCGCACTTCGAGACGCTACTTGGCGGGAGGAGGTTGCTGGGGAGGGTGAGTAGGGTGTTGGATGCGAGATGGTAGGCTGAAAGCAAAGTGGCACTTGATGCACTCGGGGTATCTCTGGCTCTACGCTCTTCTAGCCGGACGTCAACATTTCCAACACGTAGCGATCTAGCTCATCTTATGCTCCTTAGTCATCACAGCTTCCATCATATCTATGAGCACGTCATAACCACCGAGCTGACCACGTCCCGATGCTACAGGGACGACCCGAAGTCACTTCACGTAGCAAAGAGAATCCAAGAAGAAATTCACAAGAACCTCAACGCTAATCTCTTCATCCTCGCCGAGCACTCCGTCATCCGCAGATTTTCTCTCGACGGATCTCCAAACCCCTGATCAATCATCCGCCGCACCTCACAGCCAGCACGTTGCCAATCCATCACCTTCTCACCTGCCGAGCAAACCCATCGTCCCCCGGCGAACAAACAGCAACCCCACCACTTCTCCTCGTCACGATGGTAGGACATTTGCGGAGCGAAGAGACGATCGAGCTTGCGAGAAGGCCGGTCAGCAGAACGAAATTCCTGTTGAGAATTTCTATCTATCTTCTTTCTTTCTTTCTTTCTTTCTTTCTTTCATTCTTTCTTTTTTTCGAATACCGCTTCAGTAGTTCCGTACTCAGACGCTACGGAAGGCAAATGAAGGCACTTCATCCCGATGACTATATATTAAAAAAAAGAGGGGGGAGGTCTCGCACATCGGGTTCGCGTGGATACTGCAAAGGTTGTCCGTGTATGTTTGTCATCATGGTAGAACTCTTGCCGGGAGGAGAGAGGACGAGTACTCGAAGGAAAGCCCTCGATGAGATTGTTCGAAGTGCTCCAGTTGTTAGAAACCAATGCCAATTCTCGTGCAACTTTTCCTAAGAAACCGTCATTTTTACCTGCGAGAGAGAGAGGCAGAGAAGTTGTATGATTCAGAGGCCGGTGCCGGAATAACATGACCATTTTCATAGACTTCCGCGCAAATTTCCTTGTTTTCTCTGTGAGAGAATTTTTCTGTGTGTTTGATCCTTTCCATTCAAGATCCCTTGACAGAAAGAGCAAGTCGGTTCGCCCTGAGTGATATTTATAAGAATATGTGTTAGTGAAAAGAAAGAGGTTCTCTTCTCTACCATGAGGTGAAATGCTCTCTACGCATGACTTGTGCCACATCCGCTTACGTGTCAGCTAGTTAGCATCTCGCTACGACAACGTCCATCGTGACGGGTAAGGGCCAGTACGCCGCCCGAGCCAAAGCGCACCTTGACCCTGCCGGCCGATGTGAGTTCTGGCACGCCAGTCCGCGTGGAGGACTGCAACTGGTTGAAATCGGTTCGTCGGGGAAGCAGACAGGGGCCAGGGGAGGTGGGAGAAGGAGGATGTTACGCTCAGCTGAAGCAATGTTACCATAAGGACTTCAGGACAAGGGTGAGTTCAAACATGCTCGAGCTTTGTCCTCTGTGGACTTCGCTCGCTCGGAGACGTGCCAGCCGACATGGGTGTCACGGATTGCATCGGAACGATCTGGTCGTGGCTGTAGGATAATGATGGCAGGCAGACGTGCGGATAGCAAGCGGTGACCATCCCGCGGAAGGCCGGCGGATCACGATGACTTCGTACGTGGCCGGTAGCGGCGCATATCTAGACTTCTGTCGTTGCCTTGGTGACGTGCGCCAGGCATGATTCAAACGAGGACTCCTGCTGCTCGTGTTCTGGGAGAAAATCCCGCTACGGGGTTGACCCGAGGCTGAAGTTGAAGGGCAGAAGGGGAGATGGTTGTGAGATCTTGTGGAACCCTTGCGGCTGTTTGGATACCGGACGCTAGAGTAGATGGTGATGGCGCGTTCATATACCGTATTCAAGAATAGAAACAATCGTCGACACGATCAGTTTGCCGGGGACTTCTTTCTCTACTCTATTAAACGCATCTGTGATGCCTGAATCACAGATATACGTGAGTCTTCGATGGAGGGTCTCCGAATCAAGAGACATTGATACATGCTATGCGTGCTTGATAACTGCACGATCACTTCACACGTCTATGAGACCAGCTAAGTATGGAGAAGAAAGAAAGACGGTAGGCGTTCATACATTCGCTTTAGAAAGGATAATAGCGTTCTCGAAGTTCCATATGAGCGCCGTAGCTCTACAACAATTGAGGCACTCTTGAGTTCGTATGATTGCTTCAAAAGCGTCGTCAGGAACGGGAAGTAATTCACTTCTCATTAGAGCCACGACACGGGCAATCATATTGCCTCTGAAGTGCCATAACGCAGCAAGGCCCCCCCTGTCGAGCTCTTCGATCTTGAAGTCATCAGTGCTCTCCAGAGCAAAACCATCCCTGACAGAGCAACCAACTCCGCTACATGCCACGAGACCGAAAGCTGCCAGGAACTTAGCGGTGTATTGTGAAGGCCCTAGCAATGCAGTGTTCGCGTTAGAATCTTTGACAACGATTCCTACCTGAAGCGAGTCGATGGATTCGGCAACTGCAAGTGAGACCTGCTCGTAACGATATTGAAGATCAGAAGGGCTCGGGCAGTCGTACAATCCGACCTGCCCATTCCGGGCTTGATAGTCCATACCTTCAGGATTGAAATCGCTGAGATCGGAGAGATAGTTAAACGGGCGGCCATCCATGCTGATGTGCCCTGGGATGACATGGCAGAGACCCATTCTTTCTGGATCGTCTGAGACATCCAGCAGGGCATCCAGAAAGACGGTAATGCCACGAGCACTGACTGCACTAATAGACGAGCCTCTCTTGTGAGTGGTTCTTTCAACTCTGCCTCTGCCAAATATCCTGGCTGCTTGCTCCAGCCTACCAACCTGAAGGTGATGTCCTATTACTACTCCATCTAGAGCTGTACCGAAATTTAGCTCCAGTATAAATCGGACTGTCCCAAGCTGTTGCAAAAATTCTTTGCCATTGGTAGCATCTTCAGTGTGTATTTGGACTTGGTGTCGATAGGAAGCTTCGAGACCGACGAGCAAAGGGTCCAGCTTCCCGGCGATAGAGATACCAGATAACGATCTGATGACGACCAAGATCGTTTCGACGATGAAGATCAGACATAGCTGGCCTTGGATCACTTCAACTGAGGATCCTGCATCGCAGAATCTACACCCACAGATACGTCCAATATCTACAATACAGGCTTCGTATGTTCTCAGAGCCTCTTCGGTAGATTTTCTGGCTCCAAGATCCATTTCTCTTCTGAACGCCTTCAGCTCTGGGAACTTGGTGACCGCAAAGCTTACGTATCCAACTCCATAACTTGAAGTAAAGTAAGAACGGCATTCGGATGCTGGCGAACCGTGAAATCCATCTTCAGCATTTTTGACTGCTTCAAAAACTCGTGCTGCGCAACCTAACACTGTTCCGAATGCGCGTCTCATTTCTATTAGACTTGTAAAGTATGACCCAAAGGTGTCAGATAGAGCAGAGCTCCATGGAACGCGTCCACAGATGAGAGGGGCACCATTGATTCCTTCTCTGACATTGATCACGTCCATAATGTCGCGTAAATGAAAGGTCTTAGCCCGAACCTCCACCTCGTATGGCCGGTCGCTTGTAAGTTGATCACCAAGAAAGACGTGGACTTGGGCGTCTTTTGTTGTCCCGCAGTTGGCATGAAGCAAAGTCCCTTCGAGAGTTGAAATAGCAATTCGGAGATCGAACATCCACTCCGCCAGTGCAGCTAGCCATCCCGCGTCAGGTCCTCCAACTATTGAGATGGATAGAACTTTTCCTGTCGACACTTCACCAATGCCTAACAGAGCCCTGGCGATAGTATCTGGACTTGAACAGCCTCTGCTATTCCCATGGACTCGGTCAGCCCTTCCATGGCGATAATTCAACCCCATCAAATGCTCTGCAATGGTGGAGAATTGAGTCGCTGCAAGACTGCCTGCGCATGCTCTGATCAAAAACGTCCACTGAAGTGCTGATGGCTTGAGCATGTCGGAAGCTTTGTAAAGCCGCACTAATTCCCACATGATGTTTGCCGCTTGATCCTCAGGATAACACTCCACAGCGGCAGCGCAAAGCGCCACAAGACAGCCGCCTTCTTCAGTAGAAGTTAGATTCCGGATGACACTGTTGATACCAAAGCCAAAATGGACTAAGTCACCAATTGATCGCATGGATAGAAGGCCTATGATTGCTTGTTCAAAGCGTTTCTTGCCGTTGGGGCCAAATGCAAACGATCCGGCCATCCCTTGACCAATCAAGACTGTGTATGGATCGACGTTGGCAGCTGAGTATCGGGCGAGCACGTTGAGCGATGCGGAAACGGTGGTTTTGCCGACATCCATCCAAGACAATTGACCCTGTTGCTGGAAAGAACCCGAATTGTCAAATCTCTTCGACAGTAAGCTAGTCGATGCATCATGCAACGTGAGACTTGACATTCTCCAAAAAGTGGTCGTGGATCCTGTGTTTGAAAGGTAGTGACAGTGTCCGAAGTTGAGAAGAAATTGCGAAGAAGGGCTATTAGTTCCACATGCGCGCTCAGCCTTGGTCAATCACGCCGGAGGCTGGCTCAATGCACTTCAAAACGATTGTACCGTTGCACCAATGATGGGATGCAGACAGCGAGTGCAGGGATTCTTGCATTGCCCTACCTTTTGCACTGCCCCATGAAGTAAAACGCCCTGTACCATCTGCTTGGAATGGGTACTTGAATCTCCGGACAATGTCTAATCTCGGTAAAGGCATTGAGCCCGGGATATATTCCAAAGGCTTTTGATAGTGTTGAGAAGAAGATAAGAAGATGAGGGGGAGGAGTAAACAATCTTTCGATAATAGAAATGGGACAAACAAGAGAATTGATGAGTTCATGAAGGAAATGAAGGAGCCGAAAAGTGAAGCATGAGTCAAATATAAGAGTATGTAGCAAAAGTCATGCATATTGCATAGAGGGCCATCCGAACTTAATTTTTTCCAAGTCCTACAGTGGTAGCCCTGTAGGGCTGACTGGAGAACTTTGCGGAGAATCCTTGATTTCTCCACTGTAGGACTTGGAAAAATTAGACCTCGGATGGACCTCTATGCATCACTTTTGCTACATACTCTTACCAAACACCCGGGTAGCAAAAAAGCCCGCACACCCTAACCAAATGGAGACGACTGCCTTCCTCCAGCAGAATTACCTACATTATTGAATGATTCTCTATATAATAGCCAGTCATTTGACCGTTACCGTCTATTACAGCCTGAAGCCTTTCGGGCGACGACATGGTGCTTGATAATGAGAGAAGACTACTAAATTTGTGTGTGAAATGTATGCGGGATGGCCTCGCTTCTCCTAGCCACTTGCGGGTTAGGGTGTGCGGGCTTTTTGGCTACCCGGGTGCCTGCATGAGTATAAAAGCCGGTCTGTCCCAACGAGGACGTTTTGTAAGGCTGAATGTCGAATGTCAATCTTCATTTACCCAGCTACACGAACCAAGCAATCTACTACGTCTCCTAGTTGTCCCTGTCCCTGCCTTGTCAAGTAGACGAACAGTGTCAAAATGCTCCATCAGCAGCCTGATTCTTCGGTTGGAAATCGTCTGATGTAGGCTGGGAAATTAATGTGAGAGGTCCATTGATAAAGTGGGTCAAGTGGTGGGCAGGCCAATTCATGTGCGGATCCTGGTGGGAGGAAGTGGCAAATAGTGGTGGGATAGGATAGGACAATATGCTCACATACCTACTAGGCGAATGGTATGTTAGCAAATTGTGAAAATTGTGCAACTTTAAGCAAAATATACAATTCTACCCAGCCCTAAGGTCAAAGACTAAGCTGAGATGGGACACCCAATTCTGTCACATTTTTCCCATACTCTTCCATACTCTCACCAGAATCTTATACGACGACTGGAAAACATCTTGGAGACTGCAGCAATGTTGTGCTTCACCAGATCGTGGAGGCACAGATATCAGGACCTCCGCGAGCGCGGGCCTCAGACACTGGGGAAATGACGTCCGCCGCGGACGAAAACCACCCTTCCCAGCCTCGACTCGTAGGCACTACAGCAGACCTCTACCAAGGCAGCATAACCGAAACAGCCCTCAAGGAAGCTACACTCCTGAGCGAATATCCTGAAGCAGGCCTGAGCCCGACAAAGAGGTCCGGAACCCAGAATGAATGCAACTACTTCAAAAGCGCTCAATGGTCCCCGGATGGCACCACCATCCTCACCTCCTCTGCAGACAACACCCTCCGCTCTTTCGTCCTGCCAGCGGACCTGCTCACTCCCCCCCACCCGCAAAAGCTCCGGCCTTACGCTCTCCATCTATCCCCTGAGCCCTTGTACGCAGCCACATTCCACCCGTCCTACAGCCTCCATGAACCATCCACGTGCCTGACCCTCGCCTCTCCGCGCGCTCTGCCAATCAGACTCTTCTCTCCTTTCACTGCGGACAGAATATTGGCATCATACCCGCTAGTCAGTCCGACGACGGAAGCGTGGATAGCGCCGCATTCGCTCCTCTTCAGTCCCCAGGAAGCGAGTACCTTCTTTGCAGGAAGCGAGAGCTGTGTGAGCGTATTTGATGTGAACAGGGCCGGGGACGAACCTATGACGAGGATGCACACCACGCCGAGCCGGCGGGGTGGGGCAGCTGGCCGAGGCCAAGGCATGAAGGGAATAGTGTCCGCGTTGGGCATGAGTTCCGAGGGGATGTTAGCAGCGGGGACATATTCGAGATGGGTGGGTCTGTACGATGGGTTCGGAAGGGGTGGGGACGCCGGCGTCTTCTCTGCCGGTGCCGAGGATGAGGTCGAGCGAGCTGGTGGGATCACGCAAGTGATTTGGAGCGTGTGTGGGCGCTACCTCTGCGTCGTGGAGAGGGCCAGTGACGGGGTCGGAATATGGGATATCAGGGGCACGGGAAAGAGGCTGGCTTGGCTGCGAGGCAGAAATGCAAGGACGCAACAGCGGCTCAGCGTCGAGGTAATGGGAGGAGAGGTGTGGGCCGGAGCCTTAGATGGAGTGGTGAGGGTTTGGGAGGGGCTTGGTATGGCGGAAGGGGTGAGGGATCCGTGTTGGGAGTTCAAGGCTCATGAAGACACTGTTTCGTCGACTACCCTGCATCCATCTGGGTCTGTCCTGGCTACTTGTTCTGGCCAGCGGCATTCATTTCCTTCGACTCGCGAAGTCGAGGACTTCTCGGACATCGAATTCGACAGTGACTCCTCATCTCCACGTTCCTCGAGTTCGGCAAGTTCACTATCATCAACAAGTGCATCCTCGCAAAGACCACCTCAGGCGACGGACAATAGCTTGAATCTTTGGGCATTATGAAACAAGCAATTCACACAATATCTCTGAGCGTGGGGCAATCCAAGAGCACCTTTGCGATTGGATTTTAATGGAAGCTATGTGCTTTGAAAGCAGTATGAAGGTGAAGTACATAAGATGGAAAAGCAAGGGGTATATCCGCCGAAACACGCTCTGATTACAACGCCGATACAATGCAACTATCATTCTCGGCCTTTCCCTGCTTGTGGGACAACGCCCCCAATGCTCGCCAAAACGCTGGACGTAGTAGTGCACAATGTACAACGAACGAAATATGCTGTCTCAAGTAGCTGCAGCGACTCTCTCAACTCTGCCTCTCGGCTTCTTCTGTCAGCTGCTCCGTCTCATCCAGTATCTCGGTAATTTTGGCCAAGTTCGCAAGTATATTGCGTCCATGACCCACAAGCAGTAGCTTCTCCGCATTTGCTGGTAATCCAAGGTACGTAGGAGGTTCACGCTCAGGCAAGCGATTTACCCACTCCATGAAATCCTTCATTTCGTTCCCCTCGGGAACAATCAGACTTCCATCCCCTTCACTGTAAAATTCTGCCTCCTCTCTTGGCGCCCCTCTGACAAGCTTGTGATCATGCTCAAAGGCCTCCGGTGTCAAGAAGCTGTTCACAAGCTGAGATAGCTGCTTGAAGTCCGCTTCATCGTCGACCTTTCCGCCATATGTCTCTGTGATGAGAGTCCGAATAAGATCCCAGGGGATTTTAACAGGGGCGATGTTTGTCCTTCCGTTTGCAACAGCATCCATCCACGTGTCGATGATGTAAGCCGCGCATTCGTACTGCGGCTCATTAGTATGATGGCACGATCTAGCAAATTGGAGACTACTTACATCGCTGTCATTGAACTCCCAGAAACCCTTCCATCCCAGAGTTGGTGCGTAGCGCAGTCGTTCCTGAATCACCGCGTGCAGAAAAGAAAGTAGTAGATATAGCCTTGCTTTTTCTCTTGGTTGCTGAACGGCTCGGATAGACAGCGTTGACAAGGAATCTCTCATATTCGCTCGCACTCCTGCCGGCTGTTCATACATCAACACTCTGGAAGCTCGCAACAGGTTGACGGATATCTTAGGACTTGTTTCCATGGAAAGGAATACGCGGAATTCAGGATGCGGTTTCAGCGAGCCAAGTCTTTTTTCCAGACTCTGCAGCCATATCGGCGCAAGATGTACGTTCTTGATGAGCACCCAATTTCCTGTGGCAGCTGCATTACTGATAGCCTTGTCCGCACTGGCAACGCCTTCGATGGAGCCCATAGCAATGTAGGAACACTGAGCTTTCGTTTTCTCGACCAGATTTTCGACCTTATAGCTTGCATCGAATCCAGGGCTAGAGCTTAGCGCGATGGGAGTTTTTGGTGTGACTTGGCTCACAACTTCTTGCAGGTCGCTAGTGGCCTCGAATACAGATTCGCCGAACACGGCTACGACAAACTTCTCGGCAGCTGGTACGAAACGATCGAGCCTGAATAACTTGACCAACAAAAGCGATCGAAGGTGCCGATCCAGGATGCTTGTCCCATCGTCCCAGACCCTTGGCACAAAATTCTCGGCTAACTCTTCGGTACAGAAGCGGTCCCAATTCTTGTCAGAGATATCGGAGATGAAAGGCTTCAGAGGCAGAAGACGAGCAGCTTTGGCTTGAGCGTCTGTCCAAAGACTACCGTTGGTTGATACGTCGTTGCCCTCTATTCCTGGATTCAAGATACTCTCGATGAGACTTTTGTCCATCGGGTATGGTGAGGCTTGAGCAAGAAGCATCGCAAAGGTAACGCGATCTCTCTGCAGTAGACTCAATGATGTTCTCCGGTAGGTGTTGATGAAGAGATCACGCAGGATGACATCCCCTCTTGCCGTGTAGTCTTTAAGCGCTCGGAGATTCGCATTATTGTGCAGGACAGAATCGAAGATGTCAATGAAATAGTGCAACGAGAACTGGTAGAAGTGATTTAAGTGATGTAGCTGCTCAAGAACCGCAAAGACAGCGCTGCAGGCGCGAGCAACCGCGGTGTATTGTTGGGTGATGGTTTCGACTTCAGCCATTACACCATCTGTCTCTGCCACCTTCTTCGATATCTCGCCAGCCTCCTTCTTAAGCGTCTCCAGCGTCTCGATGACGACGTCATCATCTAGAATGTTGCCTCGTGACTGATTGAGAGCCTGAAGCAAGCGTTTCTCGAGACCGCGTAGATGGGTACTGAACTCGCCTTGCATCTTGACAAGATTCGTACGCCTCTGGTCAACATCTGGCCTCTCAGACTTGAGCACATCGTTCAATGACTGTGTCTGAAGACTACTCTGCGTCACGGTGAAATTTACAAAAGTAGTTCGGCTGCAGATGTCAGGAGGGAACATAGCAGATGGGTCTCGTGTCGATAAGTAAAGCTTGAATGCAGGTGAGAAATCGATCTCTTGCTTGCCAAGCTGGATCAGAACTCGGCCGCCGGTCTTTTGGTACTCTTTGTTCAACACGTGATTCAGGACCGGGTCCAGATGCTCTGCGTCTTGAATCAAAATTGGGTTGCCAAAACGGAGCGAACTTTCAAGCTGCTTGATGAAGGAGTCATCCAGGAAGCTGGTAACGGTGAGTTGGCGCTCTTTGCTTTCGTTCTGTAAAAACTCTGTAGCGCGTCCTGACGGATCGATGATTAGAGGGTAACGGTTGAAGCGCTTCAGAATGATGGCATTCTCGGTGCAGAGGTCATCGACTGGCAAGCCATGCTCTTGCCACTTGAGGCGCTGGTCTGCGTGTGAGAGATACTCCGTTACAGGGTTGTGCATCTTGTACTTGATGCCTGACTGTGACAATTGATCTAACCAGTCATCAACCATGGCTTTACGTAGCTGTTGATCGTACAGACCACTGTAGGCAAGGAATGCAGCCGCCACCAAAACATCACCGACGATGGTGCTGATCTGCGTCTCGAAAGATTTGCTTCCTGATTCCCACCGAGTCCGCTCCGCAGAAAGACTGTCAAGCAGCTTAACACTTCGATTGACCTTATTCTCAACGCGGGACATCTCTGACTTGATGGATTGTGTTTCGCTAATGAGAGCAGCGTATTCTGACTTATAAGTAGCGATGCTGTTCTCGAGGTTGACGATGGTGTTCTCGATGGCCTTGGCTTCCGCTTTGGTCTGTAAGGCTTGCTCCTCGAGGTGATCGGCCTCCTCACGCAAAGGACCTATACGGTCTAAGATATCTGAGAAGTTGACTTGTGCCTCTACCCACTGAACCAGGGGTCCGCAAGCTTTGCTGGCACGGTTCACTCTTTCGTAGGTAAAGTCGTCCTTAGAGAGGAATTCATTTTGCATCCTGATGCGATGACTTCGGGTCATTTGACGCTCATTGTCATAGCCAACAATGCTAGCTATGAAGTCGTCTCTACGCACTATAGCCTGGATGGTCTTCCAGTTGTCGATTTTGTGACCCAATAAGGTGCATACCGCCTCCAGAGCAAGCTTGACGCCAGCTGGAGGATTTCCCATTGATCGCACTTCGGTCAGATGTTGACGCTTGATATTGCCGACCGCTTCTGCGGCATCCAGTACAGCGGGCTCCGCCATTGCCAGATCAGCATTGACCACTTCTTTCCGTTTCGCTACCTCTTCTTCTTGTTTATCAAGGTGGGCTTGGATTTTAAGAGAAGCAGACTTGCGTTGTTCTGCTTCGCGTTGATCGGCAACCATTCGCTGCAGCTTCTCGTTGGCCTCGGCGTCCTTCTTCTCTAGCTGAACCTTCTTTTGCGCCAGACTTGCACGTAAGTCCCTCACTTTAGCCACAGTGTCTCTTAGCTTCTCTAAGCCAACATTAAGGTGTCGTTGCTGCTCTTCTAGGTCCTCGCGCTTCTCGTTGAAGAGCCGCACACACTGATCGACAAAGTCGAGGAAGTGCCTAGGCGTAAGGAAGGTCTTCTTGCCTTGTTGTTTTAGAAGACGTTGATTGAATCGATGTAAAGAGTGGTGGAAGTAGACCATTGAATTAATCACGGCATCGCGGTGGGAAGCTGGGAGTGAAAGATCGCCGTACGCAACGGGAATGCTATCAGGCGCAACGAAATCAGGACGATCGAGATCAACCGATTGAGTAAGCTCTGATCCAACTTGGAAGAGCGCTTGGTCTGACCAATCTCCAAACCAATTCAGGACGCAGCGATTGAACAATGCTGGACTCGTTGCAGCCTTTGAGGACAAGCCATCTTCTGGCGGATTCATTGTAAAGACGATGTGCAGGTTCTTGATTATCTGCTGAGTGAACCATTTGTATAATTCTTCTTGGGAGTCGAGGAGTAGGCCTTGGCGCTGCGCGCCTTCCTTGCAGGCAGTCATAAGTGCTGCGAACTCGTCTCCTTCAAATAGACCTGGAACTTCAGCATTGGCGAGTAAAGTATTCATACGCTCCAAGAAGCCCGAGTCAAGGACGTTAGACTCGTCCATGATAAAACAAATCTTTTCGCCCTTGCATCCGGAACGGCGAAGAACATCCCGAAGGTCATCGTCAAAGTCGCTTGCAGAGTACTTGCCGTGCACCCTTATTTGAAAGACCTTGAGTCCGTTCATCCAAGCTACAAACCGTGAGAGTGTTGTTTTACCACTTCCGCTGACGCCAATGAGAATGAGATGTCCTTGGGGCTGACGGAAAACCCTATCAATACGAAGCACATGCTCAAGCACATCATTGAATAGGATGATTGGCGTATCCACCTCTTCTTCGCAGAATGTCTTTAGTCTTGCCTTGACGAAATCCCTGAGCTGCTCACGCCCTACTGGGACATAATTCTTGGAGAGCCAATTCGAGTAGAGGATCGGGCCTTTCAAAGCTGCATCATCATCGATGTTCGGGAAATGCTCTAATGCAATGCGCCGCACGGTGTCATCAGTCCATTTGCGTTCATCCTCCGCTACAAGTCTGTCTTGGAACAACCGCAAAGCCTCGTGGGCCCACAACCGGACCAGCCCTTCTACTGAGAGAGTCTCTAACGGTCTGATGGCTTCGTACAACCCACGAACCCATCTTGTCAGCTCTCGAGGCGAGTAAACATAATGTGGTTGAATTTTGGGTGTGAAACGTGCCTGTGATTCAACGTAGAGCTGTACCATTGCTTTGGTGAGTGGATCAGAGTAGCCACGAAGGTTGGGAATGATTTTCAAGACAGCGCCGTTAAATGTGCCGTAGATCTGGTGAAGAGAGACCTCTCCGGGATAGTCGACCATGACTAGAGGAGCATGCCTTAGGAACCGTGCGCCCATCGGTGTACGTCCGGCATCAGTTGGAGGATTGCAAGCTCCAACGAATTGGATACGTTCGAGCCTGACCCAGGTCTTGTCTGATGTTCTCCAAAAGCCATTCTGCTCAACCAGCTGTCGAAGGAAGGATATAGCTCTTTGGGTCCCATACTTGTCAGGAAGTGGAAGATTGATCTCATCACAGAAAAACACAAGCCATTTACCAATCTGGGTTGGGGACATGACTACACCGTTCAAAGTTTTCCGGTACTCGCAGTATTGGTCAAATGTTTTGATCAGCAGGTCTGGAGTCGTTGCGCTAGAGAAGTTGAGCCCAACTACCTCCATGTTTGGCAATTTACGCAAGGCGCTGAAAAGCGTCATAGTCTTTCCGGATCCTGGCGGGCCACATAGGACAAGGGGCTTGTGTTCTGCGAGCCAAGAGTAGAGAACGTCCTCATGACGTACTGTATCAAGTGTGGGGATGACAACATCGGTGTCGGTGATTGAGTGGGTGTTGATCTCGACGTTGGGCACTTGGTTCTGCCAAGGTGTCCACTCTGCTCGTGGAAGGGAGACGTCATAGTCAATTAACGAAGATGAGTCGCTAAGCAGAGGAGTATCAAAGGTTGTCAAGCCGGCGATGTGTTCGCCAAAAGCTCGCCGTTCTCTAATCGGGCAATCTCCAACCAGCGCCCAAACCAAGGCAAGGAGCATCTTCTTAGAGGTAAATGATTCGACTTGGTCTGGCTCGAGGGGAAAGTCTTCGTGTTGTGCATTGTACTCCATGATTGTTCTGCAGGATTTGTTTAGCAACGAGAACAGGGTATTGAGTGCCCTAATCTCTGTGAATTGCATAATGTGACTGTACTTGTGTGCTTCCATCAAAGCATTGTCAAGAAGGTGCTCGGTTCCCAAGAAATGCTGGAGTAGATCCGCGACCTGTTCCTGTAGACCTAAGGCGTTTGCCGACGTCTGGCCAGTGCTATCCTCGTCGACTTCATCAAATGCCGTGCTTCGCAAACCCTGAAGATAATTTGATACTAGCATATCTGATGTAACAGTATCATCACTGAACCAGACCATACCACAACGACTCACAGTTGCGAGAGTTGCATACTTCAGAGTCTCGACTTCGAATAGTATTCGGACATTTGGCGGCAAGCTCAAGCGTTCTCCGTTTGGCAAGGTTAGCAACTTGTTGTCGTCTAGCACACTGTTCAAGTTCTCTACCCACTCAGGATCTACGTCGCCATCAAAGACGATCCAGTGTCTCTTAGAATCTTCTCCGCGTAGATTGTCGACTATCTTTCGCAAGATACTGGTAAACAATCCATCGGTCCACTCACGCGTTGTGCTGTCAAGGTTGCCGTACAAAGCTTCTTTTGACATGACTTTCGAGTCAATTATATGCCATACACCTTCGGTACCTTCCATGCGTTGGAGGGCTTTTATGAGGACTTTCCATATTGCGGATTTGCCGGAACCGGAGTCACCTACCATCATGACACCGTGATGAATGCCCTGGATTTGATACAATTGGAGTATCTTTGTCATCCAGGTTTCATTTGTTACCAGGTTTCTCTCAGCAGCTTCCTTTCTGATTGCACCTTCCAATCCTTGCAGGTCTGCAGATACGTAATTCACGCCTGGAAACGCTGCCTTTTCGACTCGCTTCATTGTCTCGACATCCTCACGGATCAACTTTGGCGCAAGGGTCTCTCGAATACTCTGAACAATGATCTGGGGCTCCAATTCTTCCTCTGCCTGGGAATTTTGCGTCCGAGTCGTCAGCCTCGTGCGTTTGAGCCCGCCTGAACTGACGAGTACACTCTTGAGAGCCCGTAAACCGAAATCGTAATGGGCTTGTTTTGTCAGCTGAGCTGCGCAGCTGTCAAAGAACGGCACGGTTTTTTTCGAAAGCTGTTTGGCTTGTTTGAAGCCTTGAGAATAAAGCATGACTTCGGCAATAAGTTCTTTGTCCGGTTTTGACATGGCCACGCTACGGAATAGTTTCTTCAGGTTGTCGGGCAAATTTGAGCGTCCTGCGTAACCTGGATTCATCGTTATGAAAATTCCAGTGTTGGCGTTCACCGAGAATTGCCGTCCGGCCAATTCGATTTGCGCATTGCCGGTGTCGATGCCTTTCTTTAAGCCTAATTGAATGTTTTGTACCTGCTGAGACACGGCTGAGAGAATGCGCTCCTCCAATCGATTGAACTCGTCGAAACATCCCCACGCACCAACTTGACATATCCCAAGAAAGATACGGCCCATGGCCTGGAAATCGAAAGTATCGTCACAGTTAAAAACCAATGTGAACCTTCCAAGTTGAACACCAAGAGCTTTGACTGACTCTGTCTTGCCGGTACCCGCTGGGCCATAAGGAGATCCTCCCAAGCGCTGGGCCATAGCCTGTGTGCAGGTGAGGAAACAGCGATCAGTCAATGGAGTGCGGACAAGTCGTTCAGGCACTCCCAGGTACTCAAAGCCGTATACGAGATCAGCGTTGGCCATCTTGATCCGTAGACGATCAGCGAACTCGCTTTCAGGCTTGTAAACGTAACGCATTTGTAGGAGCCACAAAAAATGCGTTGCACTCGAGGCTTTCGTGCTTATGAGTCTCGCAATGACATCTCGCTGATGAACAAATTCGGTGATCAAGTGCTCACATTTCTTTCGCATCAAGAGGTCAAGGTCTCCTAGAACGGTTGATGCAAGAAGATCAAGGAGCTTGTCCGATACATCGTACAAGGACTGTAGACGTTCACCGCCGGAAGCTAGAGCAGCGTCGACCGAGGTAGTCCAAACTACTTGCGTTGCAAGTACAACAATCTGAGCCGGGAAGGTGGCGACATAATCGTTGAAAAACGAGGCACCGGTCATAGAATTATCGAGCAGTGCTCCAAACGACTGCACAGCTTCTCCAAGAAGCTCAGCTAAGGACAGTTTCATATTGCTTTCTAGCGCTGCAAGCCAGTCATTGATCTTGGGGGTCTTTACCAGTGAGATAGGTCTCTTAAGCTGCACTTGCTCGCCTTCCTTGGATACAAAGCCTGTGATTGTAGATTCCTGGTCCATTAGTAGACCAGATAGACCTGCAAACATCTTTCGAAAATGCTTTGAGATTCTTATGGTGTCATTGCTATTCCCGATGATCTCAAGCAAATCCTCGTCACCAACGAAGTAGAATCGGGGGAAAGACATGCGTTCACGCTCGAGATACTCTCCTAAGGCCTTCTGGATCTTGTTGAGAAGCTCAGCCAGGCGCTCCAATGACTTCTGCACGCCGGAGATGTTGAGAACGTCCAGTACAAATGGCGACTTGTAGACCTTCTTTAGCACGGAAAAGAACTCCGAGTTGATGTTTTGGAAGCGCGAAGACTCAACAGGAAGTAGATGCTTGATATCCGCGTTGCCGGTGAAAACACCTTCAAGGTAGACCCATTGTCTTTGCACATCGATCCAGACATCGAACAGGACATGTACTCGGTTGAGCTTGTCTTCCCAGGATGAAGCTTCTTCTTCGAATTCCTTGTAGTATGGCGAATGTCTCATTGCTTGTAGAGAGTTGAGGTTCTCGCTGCACCTGGCGAACAGATCATCCCAGCCCCGTATCAAACGACATTTGTTCTGGTAGTTGACCAGATCCAGAGAATAACTCTGCCAGGTGTCACGGACTTGCTTGAGGAATTCTTCAAGCGCCATCTCTCCCTGCGCTTGAGCGACAATGTCCCGGATGACTGCTTCGCTCGCAGCAAGCTGAAGATCCCAAACATCTCCGAGGCTCATCGAGACGGACGAATATCTCTTTCCAGGCCTCAAGACTTTGTAGATTTTGACCCAGTGACGTTCACGGACTGCTTCTGATTTCATGTCAGAGAGGAGAGGATTCTCTTTCAGGAGCTGCCGAAGAACTGATTGTATGTGCTCAAAGGCAGCGTATTGTCGCATACGGCTTGGCATATCTTTCGTCATCTTGATGAGATTGTCTATTGACTGTCGTAATTTTCTTGGTTGCACACTGGTCCAGAGGGTATCACGAAGATCGTTCAGGCTCTTCCAAATGGTTGACAGAGCAGCCCATACGGACATGAAGTCATGGACCTCTTCTAAGATCGCAGCTAACGCTGTATCAGGATTACCAGGCAAATTCAAGGCCTCTTTGGCCTTGAACACCATATCTGACTCGGAGCGCAGGTTCGTAAGCCGTGTCTCGAACGAGCCAAGCGTGGCAGACGCTTCGTTTGGAGGGATGCTTCCAGATATCGGCTTCTCGTCATTCCAGCTGGCTATCACGTCGCCGACTTTCTCGCCGACAACTTTGTCCTCAGCCAAGATCTTCGCGCGCAGTGCATCAGTCTGGTCTTCCACGATCTTTATTTTGCGATCGAGGATCTCATTCAGTGCAGTCCATTCATGGTCAACCTGATCAACAAATAGCCAATCATTGGCGAACTGATAACGCTGGCGGTTTAGAAGTGTCTGGCCTCGGCGAAAGATCTCAATCTCGGGTTCCCAGACCTCCACCTTTCTTCTGCATTGCTGAACAACGGTGATGAATGAGACGGCTTGGGCGGTAGACGATGCTTCTAACGATTGTCCCTCAAGATCTCTTCGAGCTTTCTCGATTTCTGCGTAGATCTCGCGCATCCTGTTCCCTAGTCTACCTGCAAACTTAAGGCGTATTTCGTGTTGCCATTGATCATATCTTCCGGTGACTTTTGTCTGAACTTGCTCATAATCAATTGTCACCGTTCCAAAGCTCTTGCTTGACTCAGAGGTATCAAATGTTTCACGAGTCTTGCGAATCTCCTGGAGAAGCTGTAGCCATTTCGCCAAATCATCTCCTAGAATATCATAAACGTGCTCTGGTTCGAGGTCCCACAAAGACTGGAACTGAAGCCATTTATCCACGTATCCAGAAATATCATGGATCTTGTCCTCAATAACTTGATACACTGTGGACAAAGTATCTATGCACCTGCTCGGAAGATGTGTGAAGCGTGACATCATTGCGCCAGGACCATTAACGCTAATTTTCATCTCGTATCTTGAAGACATGATGATAGGCAAATTGCATGCCACAGCAAGCCATTCATGCAACTGAGACAGCCAGCTGGCACGAGTAGACTCGATGGGAGGATCTAGGTAGACGACTTGGTTTCGCATCAATACTTCAAGGACTAATGCTCGAAGTGGGGGCACATTAGGGTTTTCATCGTGATCTACTCGGGCTCGTCTACGAGCACTATTGTCGTTGGCCTTTTCTGTTCTGGACGCATTGAAAGTCTCGACCCAGGCGTGCATTGCCTTGTGAAGACGCTCGATGAGAACATTCTCGATGGTCTGGTTCATCTCGCTGACCCAGAAAGCCAGATTCGTGTAATTTTCCAAGTTGAGTTGATCGACCGCTGTTTGAATGGTCTCTAAGCGCGCCCCAAAGGCTGGTGCGTCATAAGGGCAGGTTTGCAGGTCGTTCATCGCGTTCTGGACGTTGTCGTAGATGATCTGTAAAGCCGAAGTCTTGCTCTGCAATACCGAGGTGGTCGAAGCAAAATCACGTACAAATTGCACATGCTTGCTCTCGCTTCGACCAGCAGTAGCTGACCGAGCTGCTGGGCCACCCGCAAGCACTGGGGCGTGCTTCACATGGAGGTCGTATGAGTGCACGAAAGATTCCCACTTAAGATTCACCCCTGTGAGAATGAGGGTTTGAATTTCCTTCTGATAACCGCTTAGCAGCATGGAAACTTTTGGCATGGAGTCGATAACACGACTCGTCTGGGCCAGAGATCGAACGCTTTCCATGAGACTAACGGCGTATGGATAGACCCTCTTCGCCTCCTTCGAAATGCTGCTGACTGCGTGCGGGATCTGGTAATTTAGCCAAAGCAGGTTTCTTACTTCTTTGAATAACACAATGACTTGCGGATCAAAATTAATGGCAAGCTCCAGTGTGTTTCCCATTGCGCGATTTCGAGTGATGCCAAAAAGTCGACCACCAATTGAGATGTTTCTTCTTTGAGTATCTTGCAACCAAGACTCAAATATTGGTCTGGTGTCAAGCTTCTGACGGAACATTGTGCTTTCCGCTTCTAGCTTCTGTCCTTCCGATTGTAGAGCCCAATCCTGACCTAGGACCTGCTCCACCTTTTTCATGTAACCATCGAGTTGCCTTTCGATTTGACGAGCCCATATGATGGCCCCCGCTATTGGAGGCAAGTCCCGGAGCTGAGCCATGGCATGAGCTTCGGAATGACCATACTGTTGCTTAAAGCGTTCGTGTAGATCAGAAATGTCATGCTTGACATTATCCATGAGCTGAGATTGATACTCACCGATCGCTCCACGTATCTTTGGTCGGACAAAGAGGGCATTGAATTTCGAGAAGACCCGAAACATCTCTGTTGCGCTCCCTTTAGCAGTCGCTAGACGATCTCTGAGGCGAGCGATGATGGAGTTTTCTACTCTTGAAGTGCGCTCGTTGTAGGTCGACTCTGCTTGCACCCAGATCTGCGTTCCTTCCTCAGACACATCAAGAACATCGACGTCTTTGAGAGCCGCGTATGCTTGAGCTACTTCTTGCACCGCATCAACATCTCCAATTTCTTCCACGAGAACGACTTGGTCGCCATCTGCTTCATCTTGCGCGGTACTGCTCAAGCCTTTGTTGCCCAGAACAGTGACAATTGTCCTTTGCAATTGCTCGTGGTTGACACGAAATGTCTTGATATAGTTCATGCGATCCCGTGTTCTCAAATGGCGGCCAGCTACTTTGATCGGCATGAATTTCTCGGCTCTCTTTCTCATGAGCTCTCGGGCTACGTTTGTGAAGTCTTTGGCATGTTCGTCCCACGTAATCCATATGTTTTCTGCGACATCCATCACGGCTTCAAAGTCCTTGAACTCAAGGTGCATGAGCGTTCGACCATGGAGAAGAGAGTGGAGCTGAGTATCGAGATCTCCGGAAATGGCGTTAACGAGGGGCAGAGCACGTGCGATGGGGTATGTGGTGAATCGAAGCTTTCTGTTAAGATGGCCGAATATGGTGTCCAAGGAATCCTGCACTTTCTGCAATGTAGTCGAGGCCAGAAGATCATCTATAGGGAACTCCCGCATCAACTGATTGTACTTCTGGACGATGTCCAAGGCGTCTTTTAGTCCAGTATCTGCATAAAAGCTGACTTTGACCTGATAGCGCTTTGCGTGTTGTAGGATATCCAGCGTGAGTTGTACCCCATCATTCTTTGTTTGTAAGTCGATGCTCTTCAACGCGGATTCGAGAGAGAGCCAGTAGTTGATCTCTTGAGTAGCCGAGCCACTATCAGGGTCGCGAAACATCTTCGTGATTGCCTGTATTGATTTGATCCAATTATTGACTGTGTTTTGAAGGTCATTTAAAAATCTGGTATCCGACAGAAGCTGGGAGGGTATCACGTCTATCGATGGTTTGGTATTCCTCGCAGCTGCTGTATTGAGAGCTTCCTGAACAACATCGGGAAAAGACAAGACTAATTCAGGGATTTCAACATTTTGTTGTAGATGCAAAAAGCTGAGCTCGAGTTCTGCCAGCTTCTTCTTTGTGCCAGGCACGCCTGTTTTTGCGTCTGCATCGGACCGGTCGTGGCTGCCCGCCAACGACTTTTGACCCCGGGTATAAGCATTGAAATATGGCGCCAAGGCTAAGTGCACCATTGAATGGAGGATCTCGTATGGTGAGAATGGGTTTCCTTGGATTGTGCTGCTCTCGTCCAAAGTTGCGACACCGGGTAGGTTGATGACCTGTATTTGTGTGGAAAGGGGTACCCGTGGATCTATAGGTTGCGGACGTTTCATGAGGGCCACGGAAGCAACTGTGCTGGGGGAAACTGAAATCTCCGAAGACAGCGAGTAGACGTAGTGGCCTGCATGTTCTGGATCGAAGACTTAGCAGCTATTTCACGAGGTAATTATGTGGCGTGTGGCATACCGGATGAGACATGGCCGTTCGCCCTGCTGTTAGGCACATCTGGAGAGATGACGTCCTTCTGGACATAGAGGGCGACTTGCGATTCGGAAGCGAAGCGTGTACACCGCTGCACCGTATCACTCTTTTTGAATTCCGAAAGTATGCTCCCTTTGCTTTCTAGATCCTCTGTAGTGGCCCCTAGTATTATTTCAAGAAGGTCCACAAGGTATCGTACGACCAGGTTCGGATTAATGGTTACTGGTCCAGGAGAGGAGGACGGATGGCCATTGGCCCCTTGCCCTGGAGAGACTACCTCCATAATGAAAGGGCATGGGCTATCTGTGGTTTTTCATGTGTGCGTGGCCGCAGGGCAACTTCGAGTTTTTGTCTCTGCTGAAAGGTATGTTGTTGATGTTGAAAAGTGACGCGCCCTCAACTTCGGCTAAACTACGGTTACCATCATAACACTACAAAAGGACCCATCCTCCCGTCCTCAAGCACACAAAATTTTACTCCTTGAACCTTACAAACTCACGGAATGGAGGGGATTTTTAAATCCTAGGTACCAGGCGTCTAGTCATACAGGTAGGCATTAGATGTAATGGCAAGAGGAAGCAAGCAGATAAACGGGCAATACGCGTCAAGAAATGAAAGTCGCCTCCGTGAATAACTCTCCTTCCTCTGTTGTTTCGACCCCATCAAGCTTGACCGTGATGGAAAGCTTCTGCTGCGGTGCATACTGTGAGACGCATTGTTAGCGAAAGAGAAACTTCGAAATCTGCTTAAAGACAGCGTACCTGGTAGATGTAAGGTTTCGTCCCTACTACTCCACCAACAATAGTCTTGATAAAGCCAGGAATTTTCGCCATCACGTCCACCTTATCAAGTCTCTTGCCCAAACTTCCCGCAAGAGTGGCGGAAACAGGCTTCTTGTCCTTGGTGACTCCACCCCAGACATATTTGACAGCTTCTGGCTCTGGCCATTCATTTTCGCGATCTGGCATGACTTTGGTATGCTCGACAGAATTTCCTTGGGAACCTGCACAGAGGATCTCTCCGTCTGTTGCTATCCCACCAACGTTAACGATAGTAGAGCCATATGAGGGTGGGGTTGTATATTCCATCATGACAGCTGAATAACTTGGAGACTGGAAATTGACAAAATTCCACTTGGCAGCTATTGAGTCATCAGTAAAAAAGAAAGTTGGTGGAGAGCGCGATCAGCTCCTTACCCGCGTGATGAGGCTTCATTCCTTGAAGAGCATGCACGAAGAAAGCCCTTCCCTTGAAATTCACTTCTCCAGCTTTGGTAATGATACTACCTTCCGCTTGACATCGAGGCCAAAATCCATGTCTCATGGAACCCCATGGATGCTTTGGATCAGTGCCAAAATAGCTCTTCCCATCCTTTCCAACATGGAATCCCGGCGCTGTCCGCTTGATTGTCAAATTCACGATGCTAGCTTCATTTGTCGCCGATTTGACGGTGTATGAAGTTCCGTCCTCGCCGAGAGTAACGGCACAGTCGTCGGCGTAGCAAGAAAGCTTCTCGGAGTCGAATTCAAAGTTCTTGAGCGCATCGGAGGACCAGAGGTTGGGGGTTCTGCCGTCGGGATAGAAGATTTTTGTGTTGTATTGGCATGTGGTGTGTATACCGCTAACGTGAGCGTATCAGCCTGCTTCTCCACATAGGGTAGAGGTAGCGCTGTCTCACGCGACATTGCTGTAGATGACTTGAGCCATTCCAACATGCCCACTATCCGCCATCAAATAGAAAGTCTGTGTCTCCACACACGTCGATGTCATTGCAGCCCATTTGAGGTCATCCTTTTGCAACTCGGTGTAGGGTACTTGCTCTGCCTGCTCGGCGACTGACTGTATAGCGGAAGGTCCATAGATTGGCTCTTGCGTTCCAGCAACATTTGCTACCCTACTCTGTCAGTATCAAATGACGGAAAGGTGTGTAGAACACGTTCACTTACTGCTGCTTTATCCAATTCATGATTAGCGATAATGGATGTGTGTAGTGACAAAGTGGTGTTGGACTCGAGGCTACAGAGACCGACACAACCTCGGAGACATCGACGTGCAGATCCGGGACGGCCCGCTGAGAAGATCCTTGGAGTTCGGATTTCAGAGCAGCAGCACTTATTCCAAGACCTCAGCCACATTGGTGACAGCAAGGCTATGTATCGAGGAGGAGGGCAGTAGAGCCGAACTCAGGAGTCTTTTGCTCGCGATCAGCTCTGGACTCTGCTTGAACGATACAAAGCCCAACCATCGTTACCCTCATCAGAACTTCACAACGACCTTTCCAATGGCACGAAAAGCGATAGCCAAAGACCAAGTCGTCAAACTCATAGTTGGTGCCGGCCAAGCCTCACCCAGTCCTCCTGTCGGTCCCGCTCTAGGTAGCAAGGGAGTCAAGTCGATTGACTTCTGTAAAGTAATTCCTTCTGCCCTTGCCCCGTTCCAAGGATCATCTCTGAACTCGCCCTCAGGAATTCAACGCTCGAACTGCCTACATGACGCCCGGTATACCAATCCCTGCTCGAGTCACCGTCCGCCCTGACCGCTCATTTCACTTCGAACTGCGCACACCTACGACATCTTACCTACTACTTCAGGCAGCGAATGTGAAAGAAAGGAAGGGCAAAGTGAGGGGGGCTATGTTGCCAGGGAAGGAGAGTGTTGGGGAGGTTTCGCTGAAACATATTTACGATATTGCGAAGATAAAGCAGAGTGAACTGAGGTTGAGTGGGTTACCGTTGGATGGATTGTGCAAGAGTGTTATCGCGCAGGCGAAGACAATCGGGGTTACAGTGAAACCATGAGGAACTTTGCTCCTGTTCGGCATAGCGACGGTGTCATATAGTACATCCGGACTTGAAATCATGATCGCCAAGCGGCTTGTCACTCTAAACTTACCGTCGTCTCGTGAATGCAGGAGGGTCATTTATACAAAATTGGGTTCACAAATTAAAGATTTTAGTTATGCTCTCAATATCTGCACAGACCAGTGTTTGGCAGTTCTGCAGCCAGACTGTTTGTGGGTCAATTCTTCACTCGAAACGTTCCTCCCTCCCTTACAAGCCCAGCTTGGAACTGGTCAATGGTGGGCTGATGTTTCACCCCTTTCAGCACCAGTTCGTTCAAGCCTCCCGATTCTCCAAGTTTCTTAAGGAACGGCTTCACCTAATGGTAAGGTCAGCAAACGACTAGATCCAGACGGTGGCAGAATCTACCAAAAGACCCTCGCTTTCGGTCAACTGCCATTCTGAGAAGTCGAGTGTCAATTTTTCTAACGCAGGGAAGCCGAGTCCGTTTCGGCCACCCCATGGACACAGGTCGTCGCTCTCGCTGAATAATGTTGTGGACCTGTAAAATTGTTTGAGTCAACAGTCCTCCCCCGGGCCAAATTTTTTGAGCGAATTGACAATCAATAGGGGTGTCCGGAGCCTTCTGCCGCGAGAAAGTATCACGCAACTCATAAAGTGGCCTAGAAATGTGAAAAAACTGCGCTAAAATGGTACATACCAGTCACGCCAAATGTGATCTCTGTTCGGAGCGCCGCGTGTCCCATTGACCCCGATTGAGGAGTGCCAACGATACTCCGCGTTCAGATTGATGATGACCGAGCGGAGCAAGGTCAGCCGTCCCATGGGGGCCAACTTGAGATTGAATGCTACTTGGTCGCCATCAGTAGGTCTCATCATATGTAGAAGATCGCGATATTAGCGGAATGTGGATTGCCTTACCCAGAGGATAACCAATGAGACTCTTGCTCTGGAAAGAGCGGATAGCATTCGCCGAGGAAAATTCGAATGTGTTCTGGCCGTAAAGAATGGGTAAAGCCTCGGAATAGATCATACGGCATGTTCTGAGAATTGTGGAATCAATTTCGGGGATTGGCTTGTAATTGTCGAGCAACGCTGTCTCCTTGCTGCCCAAATGCTTGTGCGGTTTCTCTATTGGGTCCGCTGTTGTCAAGAGATGATGGAAAATCATATGTCTTATCTCAGCGGGCACTGCAGAGAACAGCGGGCATTGACTTTGATCCTGAGGGATGATTGGATCTTCTGTAGAATCTATCTTGACCCCGCTGGCGAAGTTCCCAGTCAGCAACTACTGTTTATAGACGGAAATTGGAGTCATGAAACGTGTGCCTGGGAGGATGGGAATCCCGGACTGTGTCTCGCTGCTCTTAAGGACGTCTATTTGAAGGTATCTGCGGCTGCGGAAGTCCTACCTCTTCTAACATATTAGTGAACAGACCCAAAGTCTTGTTAGAATGATTGACCTACTCTGGCCATATCGTAGTCAGTAATTGCAGATCTCGGATCATATCTGCCCGGAGATGACTCTCGGGGACGGTAATCAAATTTGAAATTGAAGAGGTTTCCAACCCCGAACGCGAACGACAGGTGAGTAGGCATCGATACGTAGTCGGAGCTGCCTGATTGCAAGGGAAAATCTGGTCGGGCGACTGGCTGACCCCGCGAGTCAGAGTTGTTTGGTTTAGCTGTCTTGATTTTCCAGTGTTTCAGTATCCTTCGTTAAGCTGAGAGTGTTTACTAGAGTATAGGACGCTTGCTTTTGCAGGTGTCACTAACACGAAGTCTTTGAGGGCTTAACGCCGGCGCTGATAAGCTTTAGAGTTTACGCTAATGATAAAGTACATATGAATCATCCCACCTGCCGAAGATCACACATCCAAGAACCGTTACAGGTCTCAATTGCGGTTGAGTATGAAGTACTATAAGTATCTTATCTAACGACTATCCCAACGGCTTTCTGTCACTTTCTGCTTTCTTATACGCCAACAGCATACTCTCCCGTCGTGTTTCGGTCCGTTTAAGTAGTCTGCACCGTTGCCTCGCTGTCCCAGCATGTTCAATTGTCGCTCCGAGGCCTAATTCTTCGCAACCCCAGTCTCCCAGTTGAAAAGGGTTGGACTGTGAGGATGGAACCAACACATCCAAAAGATCCATTGAACTTTGAAGGTCTGTCAGCTACCCGTTAAATTTCGTGGCGCAGTGTGTCAGCAGCTGATTCCACGAGCAACCTCAGGTGAAGAGGGAAACGCGACACCAGGGCAGACACCATCCGGCGCACAACCTTCTGAACCTACGTTACCACAAACAGTCAGATTCGCGTCTGTCAACCAAGAAATAGAGCCTGCCCAAAGCCTACAAAGCAATACAGAAGCTTCAGAATCTCCAATATCCAGAGGTGAACTTGGCTCGGGCGCAGAGGATGAAATACGGAATTTGTCCCTGGGACTACATCATTCACACTTGCACCAGAGACGGACAAGTA